AGCCAGCGAAGACTAACTCTGTGTTCATCATGGACTGGCTCAAGGAAATACCAGACAATGGCGCAACACCGAGTTCGGATATCCATCCCCTATATCATAGAGCCGATTGTGAAGCTCAGAAATGGCTACAACAGCGAGAAGATATAGTGGACAAAGTCGATGGCTGCCAGACAGCCAGTGAAAAACGAGTGATTCATTCTACCGAGGAGACTCTCCATATATTAGACCTCCTATCTCAAATAGACCAAAAGCAACAATTACAATCCAGCACAGCACTCCAGGATTCATACTCTTCTTATGAAAAGTCTGACGATTTCCAACGTCAGCTTTCGGATGTTTCATCGAACGCCCCCTCCAACAATCGAAGTGCGTCATCCGCAGGAAGTTACATGTCGTTCGGTTCTAGAAGAGGCAGACGCCAGGTATTCACGAGTATACCTTCTTGTTCACGAGAAGAACCAATAGACCAAGGAGCGATTCCCGAGCCAGGGTCTGATAATAATCCACCCAAGTTATTGAAACATAGTCCTCGATCGGCCAGACGGGATAGTTGGTCTTCTGAGTTCAATGTGGACTTCAAAGGATTTCCCGAGGGAACTATTCCACTAGCATTATTTATAACGGATCAGTGCCAGTCTCAATCTCCTAAAGACAAACCGTATCACTGCACCTTTTGCTCGTCAAGCTTCGGCTCGGTTTATGCCTGGAGGCGTCACGAGGAATCTGCTCATGCTCCCCAGTATCAATGGGTCTGTGGCCCACTAAGGCGCACTTGCTCAGAAAGACTCTGTCTATTTTGTCTTACAAATGAGGAGTGGTGTGAACATAAATTCGGCAAATGTTGGGCAAAGGCCAAGGCGGGCCGGACATTCTTCAGAAAAGACGCACTGAAGCAACATCTCATCCTGGTACATTGTAACGGAGACAAGACTTTATTACGCAAATGTGATCTTGAAGCGTGCGCTGAGCCGGTAAATACGAATGCGTACGATCTCACTTGTCATTTTTGTGGCTATGAAAACCAGGATTGGTTTGAGCGTGCTCAGCACATAGGGAGGCACTTCAAGGCCGGAGAGACAATGGATGGATGGCGGCCGAGAGGGAGTGGAAGATCTTTGCAATCTCCGCGTCTCGCCAAATTTGATTCCTAGCTTGATGTATCTTCAAGCTTGTCCGTTACGCCAGGTTTATTCATCTCGCTACGTGAAGAGCAGTATCGACCACCTCTTGAGAATATAATCCTAGCAACCCTGACACGTCTCCTCTTGAGCAAGATGTGTAATTAGATTGATGTCTTCATAGTCCCATGGTAATTCTCAAGTACAGTGACAAGCATGAAGAAATGTGCAGTGTCTGTGAGCGTGGGCTTGGTTGAAGCACTGCGCTTCCACCACAGCATGAAATCAAGAAATGAACAATCATTTTAAGGATCCTTTTATACTGGCTGCTTGGCTGGTGATTTATATGCATGGGATGCCATTTGTGGGAAGTGTAATGAACCAGTTGCGTTAACGGGCATGAGAAAGAAGAAGACCTGGTTAAGGCATGTTTAAAAGGGCACTCTCCCAAATCACAGCTTCTAAGTCGGTAGCTAAGGGATACATGGATGAAACGCATCCGTAAAATTAGACTGAGTTCGAAGAAATGGGGTATCAGAAGTGTATCATTTCTTCAAAGCAAGAAGCTCGTCTCAATGCCGAGAGTCGGTGAGTGATTACGCTATTATGGGGTTGTTATGAGGATTCGGCCTTTGCGTGAATCCTGTTGTTCCTGATACGTCTCCCGTCACCCAAGTACGACAAAGCCACCGCATTGTGCATGACATCGTTTATTAGGGCCAGTCTTGAATGCTATCTTTCGAAAAAGCCGATGCGCAAATCTCACCAGCGCAAATAGTTTATCGTGCCAATTGTTAGTTGTGAGCCCTCTGAAGGATTACCAAGTCTAGCCCTTCTGGGGCTGAGACCTCACGGACTCTCCCCTTCGGACCCCGAAGGCCGAAAGAGTGCCCCGCGTCAGAGACCTCGACATATACTCAAATAAATCCTCAGCGTTTGTTCTGGCATATCTTACATGTCAATCTTTCCTCTTAATATTTCGCGATATACCGCGTTATCGTGACATGCTTTGCACAAAGCCGGCTTAATTATGAGGGTTCTCTGCCTTCACGGGCACGGTACAAGTGCCCAAATATTCAGGGCACAGACTGGTTCGTTCCAGCGCCTTCATGTCTTAATGACAGTCTCTAATATTGCTTTCGCAGCCGCTTTTCGATCCAAGCTCGACAAATCTTGGCAATTTGAATTCGTCGACGCACCTTTTCCTTGCCCCCCGGCGCCAGGCATCGATGTTCTCTTTACCAAGTCCGAGAACTACACGTGGTGGCCCAAGAACTCCGTCCAAGCCATCCGCGCGTCGCACCTCTGGTTAGACGACTACCTCGAAGAACACGGGCCTTATGATGGAGTCTGCGGCTTTTCTCAAGGCTGTCTACTCATCAACAGCTACTTGCTTTACCACGCTAGGGAAACACCAGAGGTGGCTCTGCCATTCCGGTGGGCAGTGTTCCTTTGCGGCGGCGTAGCATTTCCAGTATTAGAGGACCTTGGCCTGCCAATATCGAGGAGAGCACATGAGATCAATGATCTCAGTAGCAAGACCATGAAAGCGAAAGCCTCTGTACTGTATGACATGGCAGCCAACCCGAGCCAGATCCAGCTGGGTGTCGGGCTGTGGGACAATACGGCAGACCTGTTGCACGACCCGAAGGTGATGCCAGATGAGCGGGATTGTTTTGGGCTGGACTTCACTAAGTTTCCGAAGGATTTGCGGATCAGGATTCCTACGGTGCACATCTACGGCGGGAAGGATCCGCGGTGGCCGTCAAGCATACAGCTTGCTTACTTTTGCGATGATAGGAAGATGTACGATCATGGAGGCGGGCACGATGTCCCGAGGTCAAGCGATGTGTCTGTCAAGATTGCAGAGTTGATCAAAACAGTGAATAAAGAGAGCTGAACGACTGTGCCATTTCTTTTTGTTAACGCGGTTCATAAATACTCCTTGATTGATTAGAAAGATATTCGGGGGCCAGAAAGTAAATACATTGAAATAGAATAATGACAAGCAGGCTCGAAATTTTGGCTTGTAGTCGGCTACAGTGTATGATTTCAGGGCACCTTTTGTTGCGTATTGCAGCTCGAAGCAAAATGAAGAACAGCAATGACATTCAATGGACTTGAACCGACAAGTTCACAACGAGAAGAGGGAAATACCATGCGCCATAGCCACTGAGCTAGGTAGCCATGAGTGACCTATACCTAGCCACACGTAGATGGCAGCCAAACGGTCCCGGTCCTCTCGCGCCATCACCCAAGTGGTTGCTCGCTGCTTGGGCGACAGGACACTTCACCGTCCGAATGGCAAAAAGCGAAGTTGATCTGAGATCAACCTTTGTTTTTCCATCGAAATGGGACAACTGCCAATGCTGGTTTTCAGCTACTTCGCTGAGATTCTTGCCATCATTTTGCAGTTATAGCTCTTTAGCAACAGAATGTTGGCGGCTAGGATGTCGAGTGGTGAGCTCGCAACCGTGAGTGAGTTAGGCCGAGATCCTACAGCAAGGGCGACAGCTGCCTACGTCCGCCAAGACTAACACCAGACAGAGGATGCGAAAAGAACAAAAAAATAAAAATAAAAAAATGCGACGCGTATGGTTTGAACGAAGGGATAGATGCACGTTACTATTTGTATTCAGATACTGCTAATTGAACTATCTTCATATGTAAATAGACGGTGAGGCCTGAAGCCCTTTCAGGTTCAGCGGGTGCCATTCCCTAGGGTTAAGACTAAGATGGACTGTGAAGACTTCAGCGTCCGTCAAACATCGACAACAGGAAATGCAAAAAGCGAAGGGACCCACGACAGGCCAGTTTATCCGAAGACTTACTAACAGTATTTGCAGCTACTTCACTGAAAGATTTTGGCCCATCTCGAAATTATAACTCCTGGCGAGAAGCTGGGCACGCTGAGAGCCTACAGCGGAGAAAGAGAGAGGGCTCTAGGCTACAGCGGGCTATGGCTATGCACCTAGACCCCGCAAGTGCTCAATGCACACCAGCAAAAAGAGATTGACATATCTGGATTTGTCTGCACTATCTCGGATTCGAACAGTACCTAGGTTTCTATCCTCGATGTATGATATTGTAATCGTTATTGACGCTGAATCGATACCACTGCACCATAATGCAAAAAGATGAGTTGACCTACACTGGCTCATAAGCCACATCAAGCCACCACCGTGGCCTTTGCCGTGCTTTGGGTTTACAAAAAGCGAAGCCGGAGGGCATCAAGAGAACATTATCCATCTTCAAGAGATGAATTGAACTCCCGGCCCTTGATCTGGGGAGAACTTTTGTCATCTTTTTGCTACTTCGCTGGGAATTTGTTTCGTATTTGGATTGATATCTTCACATGTTGAAGTGCTGTCGATAAAGCAGCTTGAGGCGTTACATCTCTTTGGTAGCCTAGTCGGCTTGGTGAGTCACTAACAACCGCCCCTGTCTTTAGGAGCCTCTGAAGTTTAGGACAAGTTAAATGCACTGCGAACGTTGCGAATTTGAGAAAAGCCTTTCGTATACACAATGGTTCCTGTCTATTTTGATTTCCGACTTCTGTCTACCAAACTAATTCCGTGACTATATAAGCCATGATCGAAGAAAAGAGACCCGAACACCGGACGACGCCGTGCCATTCAAGCCGTGAGGTGAGAAAATCTGAACTGGAACGAAAGAGCCACCAAGCATGCCATGCCTATTTTTTTGGTGATGAATCATCATTCATAACGTTCGTAAAGGCCGTGAGCCAAAGCAGAAACGCCCGCCAACTCCATCGCTCGATAATTGGTAATAACACAAGGAAGAATGAAAAGCCTGTCATATCCCAAGCGTCACATAGATAGATACATTGAAAAGGTCATGAACAAAATAATCGGTCAGCAATCATCTGCGTCTCCTGCCACCACCACCGGCGGCGATGGGGCCGACGACAAAATTGCCGAGAGCAGCTTCCGTGGCCTCGCGCATAGCAGCGTGGCGAATGCCGCCCTTCTTCTTGGGCATCTTCTTGGAGAGGAATGTGTCGACGAGAGCCGCACCCAGTGCTGCAGTCACAACCTTGGCGCCCTTCTGAGATAGCCCACCAGGCCCGTGACTAGCCTTGATCGCAGCCACTGCCCCAGCCTCAAGTGCGCTTGTCGCCGCCGTTCCCCATGGGATTTGCGAGATGGGCCGGGGCTTTGTGCGAACAGACTTGCCAGCGCCCCCGTGGGACACGGCGCGTGTGGTACCGGGGCGCCGACTTTTACTAGTTTTCACGTTGGAGACGCCGCGATTCATGCGCGGGCGAGCTGTGTAAGACGAGCCGGCCCTGAGAGTGCGCGGGCGAGCCGGTGTAGTGTAAGAGGAGCCGGCGTGGTGTGTGCGGGGCCGTGGCCGGCTGCTAGCGGTTGCGCTGGACGAGGTCTGAGGTTTTGCGGCCGAGGAAGACTTGCGGCGATCGGCCGACTCGTGCCGGTCGGAGTAGTGATGGCTGCGGCGGGGTGAAGAGTGCTTCCTGTCATGATCCGCCAGGTCCAGATCACGATGCCTGTCTTCATACTGAGTCGTTTTGCGTTCTGGGCCGTAAAGATTGTACGGGTCATCCTCGGCGGACAAATAGTATTTGTCTTTCGGGTCGTAGTCGGTATCCCACGCATCCGCATCATCCAACTCCGGCTGCTTCACCGTTGACGGTGCGCGGAGCCGCGATCCTGAATGCCGACTGCTCTTGCGATCATAGCCATCATGATCCCGGTATTCTCTTGTGCGACTGGAGCTCACCGGGCGCCTCTGGTAGCCGTTATCGGTCTCGCTGTCGCTGTTGTAGGCGTATCTGGGACTGCGGGAGGTGTGATGTGAAGAATGCATTTCCACAATTAAACTTCGAGGATTGTGACGCTATCCCCGACAAGTGACTAATAGATACGGAGAGAGGCGTGAGAAGGATTAAAGCCAAGACGACGATGTCTCTTGGGGTATGATTTTGACAGTTTCGAATGTCTTAGTTTCGAGCCAAACTTCTCACAACAATCCACCGAGGAGCCGAAAGTGCACATTTCTATATATACGTTGGTTCATGCTACTTCAAAAAAGTCTCCCTCCCTCCTGGCGAAAGAGGGGGCGTCGATACAAAACGCATAACCCACTCGTCACGAATGTCGATCGTCTCCGATGGCTGCACAGGCCATTGGGCCAGGTCGGTGGCGGCGGGGGGTTGCGGTATCTGGCGTGTCTGGGAGTCTGGCTTTTGGAGACGGGCTCGAGACGGGCATGCAGGGACCTATCGCGAGCGCTGTCGAGTGATGTCATCTTGCTGATTTTTCAGCCCGCTCTGTCCTCTCACACCACTGCGCGCTACACGCAACACCCGCATTTCACCCAGCGTGCCAGCGTACGCACTCTCGCCTTCCTCCGGATGTGGTACGGAGAACCTGTTATCGGCTCCGTCCTACCTGTGAGACATGCAGGTCGACGCCATCTCTCGCCTGATACGTCTGCCGTCTCCCGCTTCACCCCGCCGCGGATCCAACAGACGGCACCTTACTGCACGCTCTGGACAGCTCAGGGCCTAGATCTTTCGATGCAAAGTGTCGCCTGAGCTGTTGACATCATTCTACCACGGGAATGGATCGGAGACAGTCTCACTCACTCACTCGGAGCCGCCCTGGAGCCGCTGTCCTGTCCGTGAGGGGATAGTGTAGCACAGAAACGGTCAGAGCTAGGCCATCGTCATCCCTATATGGGGATTCTGATATCGATATCACCAGCCCGCCCCATTTTAGCAATCTTCTCACCCACCGCTTCTTTTACGTCAAGTTGCATCAAGTGCCAAAAGTCAGACGACGAGCGAGCGTTGGCAATTCTAGCACAGACCACTTTCTCGTCGATTCCACGATGAAGTTATTGGCCCTTGCCCTCTGATAGGATGCCCAACAGAGGTCCGATTTTTCAGACTCGTGGATCGGTGCGAGCCGCGGCCTGCCTGTCAGTGAGACCGATGTGTTCGGTGAGGCCTTTCCTCTGGAACCAGAATGACCTGCCCACTTCAAGTGATATTGGCACGTACCTACAACCTGAATTTTGAGCATGTTCCATTTCCCCGGACTCATTTTAAATGTGCACTTTTTGAGGCTCCAAGATGCTAGATCTTTGTATCACCTCAAGGAAGTCTTTCAACCAATTCTACAACAAAATGATCGAACGAGTGGGTCATCTTGCATAATTCGGACTTAATCGCATTTCACTGCAATTTTAGCCTGCTCACAGCGCCTCCCTCAAGCCCTTACCACAGCACTCCCGCTATAACTCTCAAGATATTGTACAGACATTGAAACTGTTAAGCGCTATAGTGAGATTTGATATTTTCTTCCTTTCTTGGTGAATTTACTATTTTCAGAAACTGGTATCAGCACATCACAGGCAAGCACCTTGTATTCCAGATCTTAGGCTCCCCGGTATCAGTGGATGACAATTGAAGCACGTGATTTCCCGATCGCGGTGACGATGAAAGCATCGCGCAAGGAACGAGTCATTTCAATCACCGCTTCTCAAAAGACACGTTAAGGTTGATGAAGGGCATTGCGAGTTCTTCCAATGTAGCCATGTATAGATCCATCGGGCTCGCCTAAAGGCTGGCATATCTTCAGCTTCTCCCTCTCCGATGGACCGACCGGGCCGAAAGAAGCGCTCAGCGCCCCGATCTAGAGCCGGCTGCCTTCCGTGTCGGCGACACCATCGGAAATGCGACGAGCAACGACCCGTGTGTGAACTTTGTCGAAAGAACGGGCGAACGTGTGATTATGGGCTATCCATCAAATGGGGTGGGCGACCATTCCAGAAATCAACCTTCGGCCAATGTCTGTCCGGAGCCCGTTCTCAAATCGGCCGTATTCGGACGGTAGATGAAGCTGCTGAGGATGTCAGTAATACCTCCCGGATCACTCCTCCGTTCATCTACGGAATCATTAGGCCAGTGATTGCAGAGCCAGCAGCCGTTGTCGAACAGGAACATTCGCCGTGGCCGGAAAATCAAACTGGACAAGATTTGCAACAGCAAGGGCTGCTGTCAGCTTCGGAGGATGAGACTACTCATCCGCATGTTGCATTGATGCTGGCCAGAAGAGCGCCAGATATATTTCCTGAACTACCCCCGGCATACAAGTCTCTACTTGACTACTTCACTCATGCCGTGGACTCGTTCTCTTGCGACGAAGTCGTCAAACGAGACTTTTGTTCCACCTTCTTACCCATGGCTTTTGACACATCTCACGTCATGGCGTCTATGCTCAACTTGGCTGCGGTTCATCGGACGAATGCCGGATTATCACAAAATTCGAAACAGCTAGCCCTCTTGCAGGTTGTCTCTGTCGAACAGCTGCGATCCCGGCTCTCCAACACTATTACACCACCATCAGAAGCGGTGATGGCAACAATTTTGATGCTCTGCTATTCCGAAATTGTGGCCGGAGGGAAGAAGGCTCATTCATGGAGACTACACTTAGAAGGCGCTGCCTCGTTATTCAATCGTGACCTATCAGCATGGACGACGTTGTCACCAAATCCTACACGGGCATTCATCGCCCGGTGTTTTGTTTCACTTGTGGCGCTCGCAAATATGTCAGGATGTCCGCCTTCGGAATCTGTGTCGAGACAGGCTCTTTACATGGCTGGTGGTCACAATGAAACTGACTCTATTGACGAGTTCACAGCCTACTCGGCTGACCTTCTACATACCTTTGTTGAGATTGGCGGTCTTCTTCGAGAGCGGGAGTGCATCTCATATCCTAGAGATACGCATGGTTCATCTAGCATGGAGGAAAGATGTTCAGTGCTGATACGAAAATTGAGTACTGCTGCTCGTAGGAGGCATGCGAGAATGGAAGACAGAGTTTTCGCCGTCTTATCACCAGTTCGGAAAGCGGAGTTCATCAATATCAACGAAGCGTATCATCAGGCCGCGTTATTGCACATTCATCAAAGAATTCGACGACTTCCTTCAACATCTTTCGAGATACAGGAAATCGTTCAACGCATATTGGCTCTCATCTCAGGCGTAGAATTTTTGAATGGACCATGTCCTGGCATCGTCCTTCTCTTTCCTCTGTTTTCTGCAGGCTGTGGAGCTGTAAGGCCCACAGACAGACAGCAAGTACGGAGCCTGCTTCATCGAATGGTTAGAATGTATCAAATCGTTGCAGTGCAGCATAGCATCAAGGTATTAGAGGCGTTGTGGTCACATCGGGATGAATATGGAGAGTCTGAGACCAACACTTCCTGGGAGACCTTTATTGGTAAGTCATCATTGTCCTTTGGACTCCACTGTGAATTCTAATACTGGCCCATAGATGGAGATATCGATCTCATCCTGTATTGAGTGCATTTTATTCATCGTTATCTCTGCATATTATCCTACCATCGTAACTAACGACTTCATGTCTTCTGAGATGTCCTCGAACATAGCATCCATCTCCTTTCGCAACTTCTCCTCATCGACAGCCAAGACCTTGAAATCCTTCATTACCAATCTGCCATCAATGATCGAATGCTGAACAGCGGAACCATTACACCCAAACACAAGGTGACTCTCCAGCATCGTCTTGCGTTTTGGCGGATCTTTCAGCAGCGGCGTGAACATCTGATTCTTAGTGAGATCTACAACGATAATGTCGGCCTTCTTCCCGGGGTGGACTGCGCCGGCATCAATACCGAGCGCTTTGCAGCCGTTTTTCGTCGCCATTCGTAGGATGTTCGGAGGTTTCCCCAATGATGCATCTTTGTGTAGGCCGCGTTGGATGAGTGAGCCGAACTTCATCAATTCAAACATGTCAGGGCTGTTCTCGCACTCGAATGCATCAATTCCCATTCCAACATTAACGCCTGCAGCTTGCAGATCTTGTAGTCGTACAATCCCGTTGCCGAGCTTGGCATTTGAGCCTGGGTCGTAAGACACTGAAGTACCTGTCTTCGCAAGTAATGCAATGTCGTTGTCCGTCAGGTGCACACAATGTGCAGCAACAGTGTCTGGGCCTAAGCAGCCGGACTCATAAGCAATCTCGACTGGTGTTTTGCCAAACTTGGCTTGAATATCTTGGACTTCCTGCTCCGACTCGCAGAGATGGATGTGAAGTCCTGTGCCCAGTCTCTTCTTCATCTTTCCCACTTGGGCCATTAGTTCCAGATCTGAGGTGCACATCCATTCATGGCCCACCCATACCCTGACACGTCCCGATTCCCTGTCGTTGTTTTCTTGAAACGATGTCTCGTTATCTTCAATGAGATCAAGCTTGTACTCGGGAAGCGCCACCTCGTTGCTGAGTACGGCTCGAATGCCAATCTTGCTGGCGGCGTCTGCGAGAGATCCTACAAATCGATACATGTCGTTCACCGTAGTAGTTCCGGACTTGATGGCGGTGCAGTAGGAGTGCATCGCCCCCGTGAACGCTCTTTCTTTGTTGAGAGCCCTAACACTCGGGTACCAGACCTCTTCCAAGTACTCCTTTAAAGGAAGCTCATCTCCAAAACCCTAGCCAACCGTTAGACGTTTATCGTCAAATGATTTAGAGAACGTACCTTTGCGACGGAGGTGTGGAAGTGTAGGTCCACAAGACCGGGCATGACCAATTTGTCCGTGCCATCTAAAAGTGTAATGGAGGAGTCGCTTAGTATCTCGTTGCCCGGATTGCCACTATAGACTTTCGATATTCGATCATCTTCAATCTCGACTGTCCCCGGATAATAGAAGCTATCATCATTGTCCAGAGTGAGGATACTCGCGTTGTAGATCACCGTGCGTGTCATGATTGCTATTCAGGGAGGGAAAGTTCTCACGAGTAACCCGAGGTCGCACAAGTGTAAAGGGTGTCAAGTTTGATTTCCATAGAGAATTTATCGCTGCATTGTCGCAACCTATCAATTGCATCGTCAGTGATTGGGCGGTTTCTCGCTTTGGTCTATAATTTCCTATCTGGGATGTGGTCTATACTTTCCTTTTATAGTTTAGTGCGGTCATCAAAGCCAATGATTCCAGTCCCCTCCATCGCCTGATTTCTTATCAACGAGTCACTAAGATCGTCTCCTTTAACATACAAACCCATTATCAAGAAAACTCGCGTCAGAAGTCCTCATCCCAGTGAGACCGAGTCAGGTACGATTTGGTCTCGCAGAATGAAGCGCACCAAAGTCAAGACACTAAGCTGTTAGGAAACTCAACGACTCAGATTTCGCGTAGCAAGGTCGGCGTCAGGGCTGTAAGCCTGGTTCCCGGATGCTTGGCCGCCCCAGTATCGTGTCACTTCAAAAATTCGTAATCCACTATGCCGATGTCTAAAAGAGGTGTAATATGGTCTATAGTTTCCTATTTTGTTTAGTTAGATCGAACCAAGCGGACAGCCTCTACCGAAGGCATATCGGAGGCAAATGCTTGGCCTCTGATACGTTAGATAACATGGCATGCTATGGTGACATTTACAAAATTGTCTTATCCATAATCATTCCGGTAGGTCTTGGTTATCTGCCAGTCTAAAATGTCAAAAGTACAAATATAGGCCTTGTCTTGTGCCTTCTTTGCTTCATCGCTACATGTATTACTCACAGCAGTTCATCGATTCAGTGTCCCAAGCCTTTGAGTCCAGCCATGGCGTCCGAAAAGTCGGCCAACGAGCGCCAAGACACAGTCACGGAGGGCAACTTCAGCGAGTTCAAAAGCAGTAAACTGTCTCGAATTTGGGAGCGAGTACAGCACATTCACGGAGTTGAACAACATGGAAGCGAGCCGGTTGCAGCCGAAGAGCAGACAGATCGTCGCTATATCAACCTGGCCACATTGTGGTTCTCCATGAACTTCAACCTCATCGCGTGAGTGAAGTGCAGACATAGGGATTGCCGTCGCTAGTCATTTGCCTCCAATCATTAACAGTGTATCTCTGTAGGGTCTCAACAGGAATGGCCGGAACGCTGAGCTATGGTCTTGGCCTGCGAGACTGTTCCCTAGTCATTCTTTTCTTTGGATTGCTTACAGCGCTCTCTGCGCCCTATGTTTGTCATCTGGGTGCCCTACTTGGTCTTCGACAAATGATACATGCAAGATACGCATTCGGGTCAGTCTCCCACTCTTGCCCAACATCATGCTCTAGTCACTCACAAACTTGATGCATTGCAGACTATTCGGCACTGCGATCCCTCTCGTCCTAAACATGGCTACCCTTGCCGGGTACGGCATCATCGACTGTATCCTCGGAGGCCAAGCCTTGTCCGCAATCAATCCCAATAAACTATCGATCAACGTGGGCATCGTCATTGTAGCGATCATCAATTTGGTCATCATATTTTTCGGTTCCAAAGTCATCCACCAATTTGATAGATATGCATGGTTTCCAACTCTCGTTGCAATGCTTGTGGCTGTTGGTTGTGGAGGGAAGCACTTGCACAAACAAGTCGATGCACCGGAAGCAACAGCTAGCAGTGTTCTCAGTTTTGCAGCCCTTATTGCCGGGTTCTTCCTCCCCTGGTCTGCGATTGCCAGCGACTTCACGACCTATTTCGATCGTCGATCCAAGAAGTAAGTATACGTTCCAGGATTCCATGTTTGACGAACCACTGACTAAGAACAACAACAGAGCCTCGATCTTTGTGCCCTCTTATATCGGTCTCGTCACTGGGGCCATCCCTTTGATGATCCTTGGCGCAGCAATTGGCGGCGCTGTTCCGAACGTCCCCTCGTGGGAAGAAGGATACAATACCAATAACGTTGGAGGAGTCTTGGGCGCGATGCTCGAGCCATCCGGAGGATTTGGGAAGTTCTTGCTGGTTCTTCTTGCACTGAGCGTTCTTGGGAATGTTGTTGGCTCGATTTACGCTCTCACCCTCAACTTTCAGGCTTTGCTCTTTCTCGTACGCATCCGAATTCCTCGAATTGTCTATACCATCATTGCCACTGCAATCATCATCCCAGTTGCAATCAAGGTGGCGGCTAACTTCTTTGATTCATTGAGCAACTTCCTTGGAATCATTGGCTACTGGCCTGCAGCTTTTGTCGCTGTTATTGTCTTGGAACATCTGGTCTTCCGGAAAGGTAAGGCAGAAAACTATGACCTGACACAATGGGAGACAGCACGAGGGTTACCCACGGGACTTGCTGCTCTAGGCGCTGCTGTGCTTTGCTTTGGCATGGTGATTCCCGGAATGGCCCAAATATGGTATACCGGGCCTATCGCAGTGCACACGGGCGATATCGGGTTTGAGATGGCTTTTGCCCTCACAGCGGCGCTTTATGTACCATTCAGGTTTTTGGAGGTCAAGCTTCTTGATCGCATCTAGTTATCGCGTTTATAAATATGAGACTTATTCACCACGTAGTTCAACACCGAGCTGAGTATACCACTGAAATTCCCATAATTGATGATCACTGGAGGCTAGAGAAACTGATAACACGTTCGTGCGGACGTTTGCCTGTCTTGTTTTTGGCACATGTCTATTGATCGATGAATTTGCTCTCGGCTGAAAAGCGTTCGGCATAGATTCAAAGAACCGCTCATTCCTGCAAAACCTCGAAGTAATGAGAGAAGAGCCTAAGCCCAAGTTACATCTACCAAGATGAGAACCCCATCGCACATTGATTATTGACACCTGTAAAAGAGCGACTAAATACTAGATTTTGCAACCACATTCACTCTCGATCGATATCACTTGGTGTTACTCATATTGTTATCTCTCCGATAGGCATCTTTCATCACACCATCGGCCTCGCAATGACGTGCTCGGATGAACCCGACAAGTCCGCCAATATCGTAGATATTGAGCTCTTCTAATTGAGGAAGCTGCAAAGCCGATCGAACCACGAGCTGAAAAGCTTGCATAGAAGGCTTGAGCTAGAAACATTGCGTGCTTATAATTGAGGAGACATGGAACAGTATAAAGGCCGCATTACGGCGTATATAAATGTCTTCTAGCTCTTCCACTAGAATATCTAGCGTACAGTTACAAAGCTTCTTTTATCCAATCCGCCGCCATGAGTGAAAGCGTAGAAAAGGACACAAGCGTCTCGGACCCGCTCTCCGCATCTTCGGGTCCGGAGAGAGCGGAGGCGTTGCCAGCAAATCCACCGCCGGTGCACCATCCGACCTCCGGCGCTGATGCAGCACTTGAACTCCTTAATGAAACTGGAGGACTCAGACAGCCTCTGGATCCGGAACGTAGCCGCCGCCTCCTCCGACGAATCGACGCGCACATTATGCCATTGATCTGCATTGTTTACTTCTTACAGTACATCGACAAGACATCGGTCTCCTACGCCAGTGTGACTGGTATTATTCAGTCAACGGGCCTGAAAGGCAATGAATTCAATTGGGTTGCATCCATCTTCTTCTTCGGTCAGCTCGCTTTTGAGTTTCCCACCATCCGCCTCATCCAGTTATTTCCTCTGGCTAAGTATGTGTCGGTCAACGTGACGCTCTGGGGTATTGTGCTCGCTTGCCTAGCTGCGTGCAAAAACTACGCGGGCTTGCTTGCCTGTCGCTTTTTCCTCGGAGTGCTAGAAGCGGCCATCGTGCCTGCGTGGGTGCTCTTCACTTCGCAATGGTATACTAAGGAGGAACAATGCTTTCGAGTGGGGATCTGGTTCTCTGTCTGTGGTGCTGCTCAGATGTTTGGCGGTTTCTTCGCCTACGGCGTAGCCGTCCATGTTGGGGGGGATCCCAACGCTTCGCTGCGCGGTTGGCAGGTCATCTTTCTCTTCCTCGGCCTGCTGACAGCAGTCATCGGCATCGCCTTCTGGTTCGTCATGCCAGACTCGCCTGCTGTTGCCTACTTCCTTGACAGGGAGCAGAAGGCCAGTCACCTGGAACGCATCAGACACAACGAGCAAGGAATCGGATCCCAGAAATTCAAGTGGGAGCACGTCAAGGAGGCGTTGACGGATACAATGACCTGGCTCTACGCGTTCTGGGTCTTCGCCGCAAATATTCCCAACTCCATCGCCACAAGTTTTGGTAATATATTAGTCAAAGGCATGGGATATACTAGCCACGAATCACTATTGTTGGTGACGCCGCTCGGAGCATGGGAGATTGTGGCACTTGTTGGATTGACTTATGGAGCAATGAAAACTAACCAGAGGCTTTGGTGTTGCATCGCTGGCCATATACCGGCCATCATTGGTGCGATTCTCATGGCAACGACCGAGAAGGTCCCTGCACTGATCGGATACTACACATCGGGGGGTATCCCCATAGGCTGGACGACCATTCTTGGTTTGCAAAGTTCGAACGTGGCGGGCTCGACCAAGAAAGTCACCGTAGCTTGTATCGGCACTGTCGCTTACACGGTTGGGAATATTATCTCACCGCACACATTCCAAGCGCGTGATGCTCCAAGATACCTGCCGGCAAAGATCTCTATCTGCATTATCTACTTCCTGATTACCGTCGACTTGTTTGTTATGAGGTGGGTGCTTGATCGAAGGAATAAGAAAAGGGACCAGGAAAAGGAAGCGCTTGGCAATGACTACAAGCTGGAAGAGAACCACGAATTCTTTGATTTGACAGACCTAGAGAACAGAGAATTCCGCTATCAGCTCTAATAGCTAGTCGGAGTGTCAACAAAATACTCCGTCGAATTTTTGATAAGAGTTCAAGCGCGCCGCTACTTCGCTCAGCCGAAGCTAGGTCTAATCCAATTTGTGCTTGAATCACCTACCCTCAGAGCAGTAAGGAAATCACATATAGATAGGAAGATGACTTTAATGTAGTCTAATCTTGTCTTTCAGTTTCCATGATGCTATGGAACGAAACTTTGATAGCCCCAGTTAATATTTATCAATGATCTAATACCTCTACGAAGGGATCTCTTCACTGGAGTATAGCTTAGCACTCTTGTAAAATTGCTTCAACACGCCGTCTTTCTTAGAAACAGCCACACAACTAATTACTTTAGCGTAGGATTGAAGTCTTATACTCTTGACGAAACTTCTGATACTCTTTCATCAGGCCAACAATGGAGCTGGAAATATTCGTTTCAGGGCATGAGCCTGGCATCAACTTAGACCCCAGAACCTGAAAAGTCTCATGATCCCAAGACAAGGAATCGGGGATATAGCCAGAGTTCGCTTTACCATTTGCCATTGTCACTAACATAGTTTTGTTCATTGGTGTCTCCGACCTGAGACGCCACCCGATCCGAGTGAAGATCTCAGCACCGACTGTTGCAAGCGCGATATCGCCAATGGCCAGCACCCCAGTACGAATGTCGACATCGGGCCCAGGAGCGTACACTCCTGGTACACCTTCGCGCGCACTATCGAGCCTCACTCTTCCGGGACAAGTTGCGTTGGTCTGCATGCTCCAGATGGTCGGACTGTCATCCCATTCGTTTGTCAAAGACATGACTCGAATCACCTCCTCGCCAATGATAATGCCATGTCCTGTCAACTCGTCGAACAATGCGCGGGTGTAGTATGGATCAGGACGATGGGATAGACCAATGGGAATGTACAAATCTCGAATGGGTTCCTCGATAGGCTCTTGGGGTACTGTAAGTCCCGTGATAGGCACTTGACCAATGGATGCGAGGTTGTTCGTGCCAGTACGGCGATAAAGGGGGTTGACGTCGCCAGATGGTGACTGGGAGTTGAGAGCAACGAAACCGTTGTCACCAAAGCTCTTCTCGATCCATCGTACCATGGCGCCTGGCCAATCTGCGCTCGTATAAGAGCAGAGATATGATTGGACAGGGTGCATTGAATACGTGGTATAGACGGCAATAGGAGTCATATTGGCAGCCACGAAACTTAAAACTCCAACTTGCCGATCAACTGGGCCAGTGAGGTTTGCATCTTGAGTCCAGCGGCCTGTAAGAGGATTCAGGTAGTCGCGATTGACGTTGTTGTAAGCGTTGCCGGTCGAGAAGCCCACTTTGCCCGGCGTCATTCTGGAAATGGCTTTCTTCACAGCATCCACGGCCGCATCACCAAGCGAGGGATAATGATACAAATCGCCATTTCCCCAAATTGGACTTGTTAGCAGGCCGGTGCCGCCCGCAACAGCGCCGTGTGTATGTGTATGTGAAATTACGACGTTCGCGATGGTGGTACTGAGAACATCGGCAACTTTCTTTTGGGCATCAAGAAAAACATTGTCAGAAAGATCTGCGACTTCCACACTGATGAGTGCACCGCTCTCGCCATTGTTGGAGAAGACAATCGCTCGCACATGGAGTTTCTCTAGCTCATATTCATTTAATGGGAGCCAGTTTGGATTGGGAGGTGGTGTAATGTCGACCTTGGCTGCACCGACTTCGAAATTTCTTGTGCTGTTACTTCCTGCTGCTACAGCATATGGGAGAACCAAGGTTCCGACAAAAGTCAAAGGTGATTTCAAAAGCATCTTGAGATAGGCTCTTGGCAGTGACGATTGCTCATGACTCTGCCAAAGCTTTTTTTATCTTTTGCTACCATCGCAACAAAGCTACAGTAACTATATAACAGCTGTTCCTTAAGCCTCCGTGACACTTGAAAGTAAGCTATCAACTTGGTCATCGAAGGCGACAAACATTGCTCCTCTTGTGCCGATGTCCCTGGCAATCGGGCCGTTTGTCAGATCATATCGCCTTGAATCTCATACTAGCATGTTACCTATGATGCTGAACGAGTTGTTGTTGGTGTCACGACCGATCAGTTCTCCGCTCCGGATCGTTGGGTCGGCTGCGGGGTTTGCAAACCGCGATACCGCCACACCGATCTCAACGGTTGCTAGCAAAAATGGACAAGTGAAGTCTAGGGCCCTAGTTCAGGCAGTTGCAGTAGGGCTAGGCTAAACCTATTAGGGCATTGTCTCAGAAGAGGGCGACATCACCGTCTTACGCAAGTTACTTCCAAAGCATGACCCTCTTCGGCCCGACTTATCGCTTCTGCACAACCGTGAGAAAGATCTATCATCTCGGAAATCCGAAGCGATGGCTCAGACCCGTGGGACTGATTAGTAGATCCAGCAAGCTGTATCGGTTGTCACGCTATTTGTGCTTTGCTATTTTCTTGTCTGCTGCAAAATCGATAAGATAGTCCTGACTCTCCCGGATCATACAGATATTGTACAAGTTGTTGTTACATGTTGTTAATATATCACCAAACTGTCCGCAACAGCACAAACACTTGCCTTGAAGCTCACCATGCAATTTTCTAAGTTTATACTTGCATCATCCGTCGGTGTCTTGGTCCAGGCTATCAGGTTCACGAATCCAAACTTTAACAACATTACTCTTGACAAGCCGTTCAACATCACATGGGCAGACGCCGCGGGACCTGTCACCTTGAATCTGCTATTGGGTGGAACGCCGGCTTATTTTAAGATGGTTGGACCTATTGCAAGTGAGTATAGCCACAATCATCCAAATTTCAACTACATCGCAAGACTTACGGAACGTTGTAAGGCGGACTAACGGATAGTCACTTCGTCTGGACACCAAACTCAACCCTACTGTCAAATACGTATGACATTATGTTCGATGATGGGTCGGGCTCGCCATGCTACAGTTTTCAGTTTGATCTCTTAGGAGCACCGATGTCAAGCATGACGACCAGCTCTTCGGTCGCATTAGCCACGACGACTTATGCAACCACATGGACATATCCATAATTATGGCGAAGAGAGGGAGGAGATCAGCTTTAGGGTGGGCCGACATTAGTTGTTCGGACACAGGACCGCAATAGTGTCCCGTCATTTGAGAACACAATAGTGGCTATCAGTAGTAATCAACACTGCTGAATGATGAATAGCAGTAGACACGTGTGAAGCCTCCCAGGTGTGGAAAAAGAAATCGCTGGTGTCAATTCTGGTATCGTGATAAGCTAAGCAGTAATGGAAGTCTAATAAGACTAGAAGAAGACTGATAGTCATCTGATCAGTGGCAAGGATCTTCTCTTAAACCCCCTCAGACTCTGTCTTCGCCCGAAGATCAGCCACCAAGTTACTTTAAGCCAATGATCCTTTAGCGTAACTCGGGTGGATTTATATTCAGACAGACATTCGAGACCTACTTATTCAAACACCACGCTCACTCGTAGCCGCATGGGAATCTTCCCAGAGGTCCTCCGCTTTGTTGTCTATCTTGCTAGAGTCGAGCGGCCAAACGATCTTTGACAAAGCTTCGCGTACAATAATCCATTCAGTGATGCCACTGGCAGCGCTCCACCTGTGTATGCGTTCGTTGATCTCTCGAAGCAGCGAGCAACATCGAACATACAACGCGGTGTCAGCCTCTGACGCCGCAGTGTCTGCATCGATGGCGTCCAGGATCTGCGTTAGGTAATAGGCTCCTGAGAATGCTTTCCATAGCCAGAATGCCCGCCGATTCTCGTCATTGTGCGCGGCAGTTTCAGTTTTGTCGAGATCCATCTTTAAGACGTCGACTTCCCGGACGAGTATTCCGAGATGGACATTCTGACGAGGGTCGGCCCAATCCAACACACCCTCGAGATAGAACCGGCCGGCTGTTCCAAGTCCACAGTACGAAGATCGAAGATTCTCGAGCAATGGATGCCTATAGGGATCAAGACCAGGTATGAACCCCTCACTGATGAACGCAGAAGGGTCCGATGCCTTCGTGACAGACTGCGCTTGTGACTTGACAGCAGACATCAACATGGTCACCTGGCCACGGGCATGCCACATCATAGACCATGGTCCGCCTGCGTTAGGGTATCCTTTGTCGAACATGCCAGTCATGAGTCGTAATTCTCGAATCGTTGAGGACGCGTCTATCTCTCGAGGGGACGCCCTCTCTGGAGAGTTGAAGAAGTAAGGAACTTGGCGAAGGATCATAAGCCTATCAGGCACCGCCAAAAATGCCCTCCGCTGCCATTCTTGGTTGATGTTCATCACTCCTCGACTCCTGATGGCTAAGGTTTCGCGTACCAGTCTTGCAGTAAAGTTCAACGCTCTGTAGTAATAGTCATTAGATCTCCAAAAGTCTTTACGCAAGCTTTTGTGCTTGACAGGGTACGACTCACATGAGAATGTACCGCGCAAACATTTCGGTATCGTCTTCATTGTCTAATTTTGACGGTCGTAGGTCGAGGAGCTTGTATACTGCAGCAAGGTGCGCCGACGCAGCCTCGGGATTACCTAAACATACCTAAGGGAAGTTAAGTCTCTGTCGATACGACAGTGGTGTACAAGGGCCATCTTACCTCCACGAGGCTGAGAGTTGTAATTAGCTTCACGCAACGCATTGTCAATCTCAAGTCGGGGCTATTTAGCCACTCATTGACCATGCGGATACATTCGATCTTGTGGAAGAGGTACGTGGCCTCGAAAGACCGCATGCTAAGAGTCCCAACATTGCTGCCCCAATAATGTAAAGCAGCAATTAGGAGGGTGCTTCTCAGGGCAGCCGGGTCATCGACCGCAAAATAAACGCTTGGGAAGGAAGAATATCAGCAATCGGAGGAGTTACCAGGGCGTAATTTAATGATCCTTACCAATCCTTTTCTGGTTTTGACTTGAAAACTCCATGACAAACAGTAACTGGGGTGGGGTCAGTTTCGGCAATTTGAGAGAATGAGGTAGGAGATCACTCACAATACTGTAGGAGTTCTTTTGACTTATATGGCATGCTGATTGGCAGACAATCGAAAGGGTCTGCCGCGGTACGTGCTGGCTGCCCGACTGCAAGCCACGGTGCATCGACACCAGGTAGCCGCGCACGCTTGCGCTCTATGGAGGGGACATAGACGGTGTATTCGCAGGTCTTGCCGCTTAGCGCACATTTACCACTACGATTGGCGAGTTGGTTTAGTCAAAGACATGTCAAGAGGCGTTGAGGTGTCGGGTCCTGACCCCCAACATGCGGCGATCCGCTATCGTGTAGATGGACGGAAGCAGTAAAGCGAGGGCTTACCAGATGGGACGTTTCTCGTCGCAGCGAATATGCGCTCGCCTGCAGCCCGCACAGCCATTTTTGCTGCGTTGAGTGAACCGTCGTACGCGTGCCTCGTCGTCCACCAGTTTGGGCATCTTTATTCTAGCTTATACCTCTTGTGAGACAGACAACTCAGCCCTACCAGAGATTCATTCAGAACATTTAGATTCTCGCCTGAGCGTCCTGGTGTCACGAGAAAAAAGCTTTGAGGTAAAGGTGTGCCCACAATGTCATCAGGGACTGAAAAGACGAGTCGTCCGAACAGAGCTCTTACATTCGATGCTTGATACAGTGACGCCAGGATCCACCGGAATCTGATGAAGGATCGGCATGGCATTGCGCTAACCTATTTTATCGAATTACACGTTGGCACTTTGCCCCATTAGTTTATGGGGCCGGAGTACGGAGGCCGGGAAGCGTTAGAATGCGCTGTATCAAGCGCGCAGGAGCCCAAAAGGGGTAACACAAGCTAGTGAGTCGTTGACTTTGGCGAAAGGATTATATACTATTCAGCAGTACTCATGTCTGTAGCTCTAGTACGTATTTGAAGAGGTTTAATGGCAAATGGCTATTGAAGATCCTTTCTCAAGCCAAACAGACCCATGCTTTCCCTTCCTTTTCCTATTTAATGAGAGCGACTGTCTAATGCTGTGCAATATTGAACATGCCAGAGCTCGATCTCCAAAAAAGCCATACACTAAGAAAGCAAACGTCTTCTAGGCACAAGAGATTAATCAGTCACCGAATGAATTCCGATTTTACTATCGACGAATACAAATCAGAGTCATGCGGACTTGCTCTATTAAGCGGGCTATGCCTTGAAACTGGTTCTGAAGTTGGGATAACGGGAGCCGACAATAGCCTCATGGGACGAAAAGCAGGCAAGCCAAAAGATTATCCGCTTGCGGTTTACAATAATCAAGCTCGATTTTGAAGACGAATATGTTCGGTGTCGTTCAATCAATTACAGCCCTCCTCAAGAAACCCATTATCTAAAAATGTCACTATGCAGACCGACGTTCCTTTCCGCTAATAAGATACACGCCCGCTCTCACATCGAGCAACGGATCCGCCGACGGCTCCAAGCCGGGCACTCGCGGGACCGGGTCGAAGATGATGTGCTTCTGTTGCGCAGCGTCGTCCTCCTCCAAGCCCTCCAGACTGATCGTGCCGAGCTCCACAACCTTGCGCTCCTCCGGCCAGTGCACACACGCGTCGTCCGTGACGTCGCCCTCCTCCGCGACCTGCGCCGTCAGCTTGAACACGATGGGGGCCTTCTTCAGCAGCTCGGGCACGGCGTCAAAGAGGTAGTTCTCAGGCTGGGCCTTTGCCTCGTCGTCGCTGAGCGTCTTGAATCCAGCCTCGGGCACAATGCGATACCGCACGAACGTCTTGTTGCCGGCGCCGTCGACGAGCGCGATGGCGTTGACGCCGAAGAACTTCTCGGTCGCGAAGCTGGCCGGGAACGGCTTGGGCAGCTGCACAAAGGCCAGCGCCTTGGGGTGCGAGCCGAGGTAGTCGCCGATGGAGCCGTCGGCCAGGGCCTTGAAGAAGGCCAGCGCCTCGTCGCCGTTGCTGCCGGGGAAGGCGTCCACAGAGTGCGCGACGATGTCGGTGTGCACGCGGCGCGGCGTCTCGGCCAGCTTGAAGCGCACGGCCAGGCCGCGCGGGTTGCCGTTGGCGTCATTATCGGGGAGATTGGGGATGCCGGTCGAGGATGAGAAGCGTGCGATGACGGGCGTGGATGGCTGGGTGAAGTGCTGTGCTATCGAGAGCGACTTGGCCGTCTCGGTGGGTGTGAATGTGCCTTTCAAGAGAACGCCCTTCGCATGTGCTACACAACTGTTAGCATAGAATCACTCGCTATCTTGAAGCGACGCGAAAACGCATACCTGGACGAAAACCTGGATGAGGGCCAAAGATGCCATGAAGAGTATCAACGAGGCCTTGGCTGGTCTCTACAACGTGCTTGTCCTCGGGCAAAGGCATGATGGTGGTGATGCTAGCAAGTCGATTCTTCAAGTCACAGGCAAGGAAGCAACAGAGGCAATGGGTATCAAGAGAAGAAACAGAACAATGGGATCAGCAATACCCCTCCTGATACCCTCAGTAATCGAGGGGACATGACTTATATACAAGAACTCACTCACTCACCCACTCAGATCACACCCGCATCCAGTCGGCAAGGCTCCCGCCTGTGTGCCACTGCGGCTTGCGACATTCTTGGATTACGGTGCAGTGGAAGCATGTTCCTCGGGGATCTGCCAATTAGCTCAGCAAGCTACCTACCTATCCGGGTTCTACCTCAGCACTTGAAACCGAATTGGAGGCATTCCGTCACCCAAATTCCAAATAGGATCGATAATGGAGTCTTTGTAATTGGCTGGAGGCTAGCTCGTCGAGCTGCAGGTGGTGCTGACTGAGATGCAGGTCTTGCCAGTAATTGCCCACCCAGTAGGTAGCTTCTGGGCACGCCATCAAAGACCCCTCACCTGGACCCCTCTCCATCATAGCTATTAGCACCCCTCGCTGGCCGCGCCGAAGATGTAACTGCTCGGCGTCGGCAGCGGGGCTTGTTCATAAGCCTGTGATATGGCTGCGATTGAAGATGAGGGCTACTCATTGGGCGCCTCAATCAACCTTTTGTTTTACTAAACCTTCGCTGCTGTCTGCATGGTCTTCGGTGTAATTCGTCCTGATGGGGGTGAGGCTGGGCCTGTAATTGTAAGTAGCGGGCACATGTGCTATTGTTGGAACACTACAAACAAGCTTTACCGGGTCTAAGACGCGTTATCTGGTCGCGATTAGTGATGCGGCGGATTACTAAGGAGATGACGACAGCCGTCTAGCCTCATTGCAGATGGCTCTCCGCATCTTTCCCATCAGAGTTGTCGTTCCGCAATGCATCAATAGATCACAGAGATTTGAGATTCTGAATGACTAACGGATTAGGTGAGGCAAGTATTGAACTACCAAGATTTAGTGTCATTTGCCCAAAGCATAGATTTCTACGTTGCTCAAAATGTGTCTTTATACTGGGAGCAAAGATAATGGAATCCCGACACTGTCTAGTAGCCTAGCCTACGTCTAGGAAAGAGTCAGCAACCAGCTTTTTCTTCTTCTAGAAAACGATCACTAAGTCACGTCGTGGATTTCTCATATCCGTTGATTGAGAACGTGATGCCAAGTAGCTTCCCCTATCGATGTTCAAGTGCAACTTTGCGAATCGGGTCGAAATCGCATCGGGCTGTTCTGCTACAACATAACGTTGATGGCCTCGCAGAGATGGCTGTTGTGTTCAACCTCTCGCATACGTACTAATTTCTTTCTATATAGAATTGCCAAGAGTGTCTGATAATGGTCATTAAAGCCGCTTACAATACTTCTAACAATATCGCAGACATACTTGTAGATAGGTATAGGTAACGCCTACACAAACAGATCGCAATTCTTTATAATATTATCGAAAGCCATACCGGCTTATCATTAAGTGGAACTTTTAGATTCAATGATATTGCTTTATGAGATCATATCCGATGTGTTAGTAAATTGAAAGACAGGCGCTGCCTGGTAATGACTCCGGAGTTTTGGAAACATCCATGCATCGGCCCCATATAATTCGGAGGCTCGGGCATCGGACAGCCCGGTAGGAGGAATTGAGGGTGGGTCTTAGGCCCACATTGCGGCACTCGGAAAGGCCGTTGTAGGCTACCAAACCTCGATACGGCGTCAAGCAGTCTTCAAATCCTTGTCTAGAATATAATGTCCGTCCGGTTGGTGATGCAAAAACATTTCACGGACATATCGGACAATTTACTTGGACATACACTTCAGATCTTCATTTTCACCTATTATAAAGATGTGAAGGTCTGCTCATTCTTTCTCAAGCATCATTGATCTTCACTAAAGTTTCAAGAGCATTACATTTTGCATATCTAATTCCACCATGGCATCTGATAAGACTATCATTCTCATTACTGGTGAGCATTTTACGAGACCTAATTCATCACCTCATACTAATCTATATGTAAGGAGCCAGCAGCGGCATCGGCCTTGAGACTGTTCTTGCCCTCGCTCAGGAATCACAGGATTTCGAGATCCTGCTCGGAAGTCGGTCCGTGGAGAAGGGCCAAAAGGCGCTGGAAGACCTCCGTTCGTCGCACGCAGACTCGCTAAAGAGCAGCATCTCCGTCATTCAGATCGACATCACAGACCAGAAGTCGATTCTCGCCGCAAAAGAGGAGATCGAGACGAGGTTCGAGAGGCTGGACGTATTGATCAATAATGCCGGCATCATCGTCACTCGCCCGTGCGACACACTTACCAACTTGCGCGAGACGTTTGAAACGAACGTTTTCGGCCCAGCCATTGTCACAGAGGCATTTGAACCTCTTCTGCGGAAATCATCAAGTCCCCGGCTCATCTATGTCTCATCTGATCAAGGCTCCATCTCCAACCGACTGGATCCAGCGTATAAGTATTACAAGGCCCGTGGAGATCACTACCGCATGAGCAAGTCGGCGTTAAACATGCTATCTGCGTGTCACAGAGTCAACTACGCTGAGTTCGGTTTCAAGGTTTGCGCCTTCAACCCGGGCTTCTGCGTCACCAACCTGACAGGGGAAAGGGGTCGCATGATGCGGATAGAACATGGTGCAAGAGACTCTCGGGATGCGGCAGTGGCGCTGGTTGGAGTTGTGATTGGGAAGAGGGATGCTGATATTGAGAAATCTGGAATTGTAGACCTTGACGGAGGTGTGATACCGTGGTAAACAAAACACTTAGGCATGTGCTCGGTTTCTACACTAGTATTTTATGCGCGAGTCTTCATCAATTTGTAGCAGGAGATCACATAGAGAAGTTAGACACCTCCAACATGATCGAGGGTCCAAGAAAAAAATAAAAAACATTCATCATCAAGCACTACTACAGATTGACATGCCATGGAGATAAGTCTTGACCCTAAATAAAAAATCTGGTCAAAACTTGAGACACAGAGATTACTTGACTTCCCTACATTCGATCCCTTTTTCAAGGTTACCATGCTTTGTACGGCTCACAGTCTTACGTCGTATCCAGACAACGGTTTTCCCTAGTCGCTGACGCCAATACCAAATGGCCACCGAGAACAGCGTGAGTGGGATGAGAAACCAGATAAAGGGCCAGAAGAGATCAGATATGCCGTGCGTGTCTGACGTATTCAGAACGCCAGAACTGAAAACACCCTGAAAAGGATACATTAGTAATAATGCAACCACTCAAGACAATTTGACAGGAAAATATCGTGACTTCAAATCATTGTGGTCATTATTGACTCCTCTGCAATCCAAATCCTCAACGAATGTCAAAAGTGTTACTGAATGGCCGCAAAGCTAGACGCATCTGATGCAATGTGGAAGAACGCACAAAGAATATCCAACGATTCTTCAATGCAAATTGGGGAAACTGATTTGACAATCAGAGGGATCTCATTTGATGAATACCACAAGGCGATCAGCATCGATCGTCTAGGTGAAATCTATCCCCTTCTCAACCCCGACCATTTCTTTGCGGAGAAGGACGACAAAGGCCTCGTACTAGTAGAGACCTTCGGCATGTACGGTGCCCCATCCGAGCTTTACATACACCCCAAGCAAGATATCGCGGTCCCGGTCACGCGCCTAGCTGATTATCCGATACTGGTGGCTGGTTTCACGACCCTAAGAGACGGAACGGACCCTAAGATGCTCGCTTACCATCAATACAAGCCGATGGATGATGGTTACAAAGTCAAACTCTGCTGCATAATGCTCACGAATACACCGAAAGAAATCATGGATGCACACAAGGTGCACATGGCGATTGAGATTTGGCAAGGAGCTAAGATCGCAGCGGCAGCGCTTTGAAACAATCCTCAATTTAAGATTTAAGAAAGTGTTTAAGCTCTACACCAATTGTCCTTGGCAAGTAGTCTCAAGATGCACGGTCATCCTAGTCTTCAGAGAACAAATCGTAAATGGATCAGAGCTAGTAATTTGTTTATACCGTAAGGGACAGTTTATATACATGTGAATCATTATGAACAGTAACACTTTTCTTTTTAGTTCCCACAAGGAACACACCTTTAATGTTGCTCAAACGCCAATTGTCTGGAAGGTTATGCAGACTAGTAAAAGTCTTCGCCTGGTTTCTATAGCGGCGGCGCGTTAGGATCCATCATGCATTGGTCCACGCGCATGAGTTGCTTTCCCGTTGCCTTCGCCAGTTGAATAAACTGGCGTAGATATCCCACAGTACTTGGGTAAAGGTAGTGCATGACTACGAGGCTCCCGCCTTTGGCCAGATCGCGCTTGAACGCTTCAAGCTGCTTCTCGGGAGTCTTCGTCTCGGCCCATAGCCAGTCCTCAACATCGACACTCCACATGACCAGGTAGGGATTGTCGGTGCCCAAAGCTGCGGACAGACGCTGGCGCATACGTGCTCCTTCAGTGCCGAAAGGGGGTCGGAAATACGGTGTGTGTAACCCGTCAAAGACTTGCGAGACAGTTTCGATATCATTTGTATACTCCCAATCGATAGCAGCGTCACTTGGCAGGCCTTCCATCTTCGGATGCGTGAAGCTGTGCAGAGCAATCTGATGGCCTCTTTCGCGCATGTCACGATACAAGGTCGATAGGTTGGTCGACGGGTCATCTAGTGGTGCACCGACCGTGAAGAAAGTCACGTTGATGTTTTCTGATCGTACAATCTCCATGACCTCTTGCGCCATTGTCGGATCGCCGTCGTCGATTGCGAACGCGAACGAGTTTGGCCGCTTGCATGCGAAGACGAGATTGCCCGAGGGCAGCTTGTTCGGGATCTTGAAACCGTCGGGGATGGTCGGAACAATCTCAATCTTTGTGAGGACAGTTGGGTCCAATGTGTAGAAGCCTTTAAGAGCCAAGCCCATCACCCGACTAAGCTCAATATTAAAGTGAGATATGGGCATGTAAATGTCTGTTGCAGTTGAATACCTGGCTACCTCGAGAGAATCCCACGTCTCCGGATACGGGGCAATGTTCTCGTCGCATAGCGAGTTGTGTTGTTGAAGGGCTATTGAGAATTTGTTACTTCCACTATAGATGATGTGAAGGTAAGAGTCCTGGTACGCTGTTATATCTGCACAAGTCTCGCTGATTTGACTGTACCACGCAAGATCCGAGTCGTTGGTCTTAATAGTCATCCTACTGGAGCCAAAGGTGGTCGTGATACCTTCATCTTCGCCATGCCAAAAGCCAAGGTTGTTCGTGTCTTTGTCCTTGAAGGTGTCGATAACTAAAGGTGATGCAGTGCCTGCCGGTGCTGCTACCGTCGAAGTAGGCACTGGGAGAGCAATGTCAGGAGTGATAATGTACTCGGAGATGGTAGCACCGCAGTATAAGGCCATCGGACCAAATGTTACGGGTCTACTTAAGCCCTGGATAAGAACGGTATTGACCTTAGTCAAGTCAAACCCCGTGAACTTGGCGAATGGAATAGTATAGAGCTTTTCTGTGCCGTCGAATCTCCAGCCAAGCTGAGCTGCAGTTAATGTTGCGAACTGAGTGTCGTCACCACCACCGCAAGTCTTGGGGGCTCCTAATTGAACCTGCATAGTGGATCCTGCTGCTGCTTTGATACGCAATGAGATACCTCCATAAGTACTTGCGACATTCATACAGCCAAGCTGGGTGTAGAAATACGACTGCGTGTTCTGAGGAGTCAGTGTCACCTTGTTGTTGCTGACCACAATCGACTTCATCGTGCCGTCATCGCTCGACGAGAGGTGCATGGCATTGTAGTAGATGAATGTGAGGCGAGACTGAGACTCCCAGTCATCTATCAAGAGAGTAGTGCAGCCTGCCGACCCAGAGGGACTGGGCGCCGACGTTGTTTTGGTAGTGATTGACGAGGTCTTTGGTGGTACCGTAGAGAGTGTTGTTATAGATGTTGATTCTGTCGCCGGTAGAGAAGTCGTTGTCGCCTTACTAGACGAGCGGACAGTACTAGATTTTTGAGGTGTGGAGGATACAGCGGGTTGTGAAGTGTTACCAGCCGCACTACAGACGAGTTGAATGTTGCTCAAGTTCCAAGCAACTCCATGATCTGACCAAGTTGCCCAGACGAATGCCCTGATGGCGTTTTGGTTTGCCTTTGGCCAGGAGCTAAAAGGAATGACGAAGGTCTGCACAGAGCCGCTTAGGCCCTCGACCTTGAACCATTCTCCATCGTAACTATCACTAGAGCATGATGAATGTGTCTGGATCTCCAGCCTGAAGGAGGCTCCAACTGGTCCTTGGATCTCAAATGAAATCGCATCATAGCCGTTGTTAGTGGCCTTCTCACATTCAAGGACTTCATAGAAGTATGACTTCGAATTTGGTGTGAAGTTGAGGACACCTCCACTAACTGATATTGAGTTCATAGAACCATCGTCTACATATGTCTTTAGTCGTGCTACCAGCGCTTGTTTCAGAAGAGTGGTTGGCTTACCGCTTCTCCAATGGTCTAGCTTATTTCTGTTGCTACTCGACCACTCAGAGAAATCATCAACTAATAGGTTAGACGAACATGCGGCATAGACGCCAGTCGCGAATATTGACGCAAGAGCGCCAAGCCTCGGAAGAATCATCACGGGCCAGATGTGCTGTATGAGTGTGAGATCAAGGAGTCAAGGGAGCGAGGGTCATGGAATGGTTAAGGAAACCCAGAAAGAGAGGTATAAAGAAGGACATATAGAAGGAATGAAAGTGAGTTGGAACTTGGTCCCGGCTCACGGCATGGGAACTTGTCAAGAAATTCAACTTCCTCACTGCTAGAAGACAATGTCGTGGAGCATCGAGAATATGACACTAGCCATACTGTCAGGTCGGATCACTGCAAAAGTCTGCAAGTGAGCAGGGAGTAGCAGTGCAGGAGCCGAGCCTGGAATAGACATACTGATAATTGTTGCCAGAAAATCAGATCTGATCGAGCCGGATGCAAAATTTTGGCCAATTCAGCCGGTACAACGAGGTGAAATCGGGAGCCAACCCAATTGGTGGCGTCTTATTCTTGCGCAGACGAAGAAAGCAGAGTGTTGATGATCAGAGTTGCACCTCTTCGTATGCTTCCCCACACTTGACATGCAAGCGGCTCAGGGGTCAGGTACCCGTATATTGTTTCCTCCCCAGATGGATGCACGGGAGCGCCACCGCCCTGGGGACACAGAAGTCTTGGCACAACTGCCGTAATGTTTGTGCCGCCTCAGCTTCCTTGGTCTCATTTCTTTTAGTCAAGAGCCGCCCGGCCCTATCATACACCAGACATTTTTTTGACTATGATATGGCAAATATGAAAAGAAAAGGCCGCTGCTAATGCAAGGCGAACCTCTTCCTCCACAGACATTTGTAGTGTACCTTGAGGTTATCCTTCAAGACATTGTCAAGACCGATGAACTTCGTGAAGACAGCTCACATCTTTTTTTGGCCGTCTTCGATGAGAAATCTGGACGAAGGATAAGTACAATATAGTCCTTGGATATTCAATCACTCCTTGCGAGTGATATGTGCCGGCTGATATTTCGTGATGCCAAGCTGGCTATAATGTGCCTTGGCTATCAATATGGACGCAGTCAGAAAATTGGAGTTGCATGAAAATTTAGAAAACAGCTCGCGGCATATGAAGGTGAGAGGTGGAGAACGACGCGATTCCAGCTTTCTCAGGATTGCGCAATTGTGTCTTACAAACAAGTTGCTTTCCCCGATGCTTCGTTGTCGCACATGTATTCAAGCAGCTCAACAGTATGTCGGACGATTTTCTGAAGCCATGGAATACCACGTTACGTGAGGTCGGGAACCCCAACCAGTTGGGGAAGAGGATCGACCAGGAACATTAATACGATGTGATATGGACGGCTCGGCTGAATGCCAAGACTTCAAGCGATGCGATCCAGCTGTCCCTACCTCTGCTGGAGATCCGCTTCCAATACTGCTGTGCCTTTTGGTAATAAAGGGCGGTATGATGGCTCCGGCCTGGCAGGCAGAATTACGTAGTCCTCTGCCGCTCATTGAGATTGAGGTTGGGCGAGAGCCTAGACCGCATGCACCCCAGACAGCGCAGACACCGGCCCATCGTCAATCACTTGCCGGCGAGGAAATTCCTTATCCCGAGCAATGCGACTATGGTGAAATAATTCCGTGTAAAGAGGAAACCGCCTTTTATATCTTGCATGGATCGTTGTGTCAGACTCTTGGGAACCCCATATCAGGCATGCACCAGCAACTCTGGCCAATGACCGGGCCACTTGCAGCAACCCTGGCTCCTAACGCTGGACTGTCCTCCACGACTACGGTGCATTTGATATGCCTACTTTGAAGAAAATCTACGTGACTGCATTTTGATATAAGCATTTCGAACCGAGGTGTATTTCAATGGTTTTGTAATAACAGCTCAAATGAGTGGCCCGCCGGAGACTTCCCTTTAGGATGTTAGTTAAGACACATGAAAATGTGTTTCGACCATGATTGTATTCAGAATAAACCCCATCATCATCTGAGCCTTGTACCAGGCACCAGAAAATAATACAATCAACCACTTGATTCAGTGTCCACACGGACATTGAATAATTGACACTGACACACCACTTCACAAGTTTCTTAGAGCATGTCCACACATGAGAATGATCAATGCATTCAATAGGGCACTCATGTCACCATAGATACAAGTGAATCGCAACGCAAACAACTGTATAGAATTGTTGAATCGCGAAGTTGATTGTTTCTATGATGTTGGAGGCATTGTGTTGTGAGGCAAGACTCTTTGTTCAATGTCATGTTTATTTTCAGGGACTTGTTAGTGGAGTTCACACCAACACACCCCCGGCCCCAGCCCACGTGATTGATAAGATAACCACCTTCAAACCGGGGACTGGGCTGGGCTCCAGAGCTGATATTACCACCATCGGCGTCACTGGCAAAGAGCAGCACGATCAAATCCCTGGGAGCAACTTCTCAATCACCTGCGACATTTCTACGTCGAATATATGCCATTCAGCGCTCATAACTCAACCAATCAGCTCGATAGATGTACGGTTCAGCTTGCCAATCCAGATCCAAGACCTGCCGCGCTGCCCATTCAGATCTAACGCTCCACAAGCCTCGGCGTCGTTAGACCACCAGCTCCCGATCCCAAACTATCGAGTTCAGCAGCGGGAGGGAGGACAGACTGTTCTCCTCGCTGCGCAAGTACAGACCTTGCTGGTGTTCTCATAGCCTTCAATGCAGCCGGACGATCATGCCTCGCCGACGGATTCAATACAGTCTCTGCCCACGACGGCATCTGCCATAAGACTACCGAAGAGACCAGCCGCCGCCGCTGCCGAGGGTCTCCCACTGTCGCAGTCCGAAGCAACACTGCCCTACCGAAGGTCCACTCCCACGGCAGCGTCTCTCTATGCCTCGACCCTCACGCCACCGGGGTCACGGTCCATGTCCCCCGTCGGCCGGGGCTCTCCTGGGCGCACCTTCTCGGGTTCAACTCTCGGCGCAACCTTCACGCAATCTCTGCTAGACACTGGGGCCGCAGACACGCCTGGCGATCCGTTGAATCTCATACTGAAGTCGTTCGTGCCGCACATCGCCATATACCCGTCCGAGGATACAGACAAGCTTGTTAGGGACAAGGGCTTTCAAAATGGGCTGTGGGAGCTGCTACGGCCCTTTGGCGAGCGAGTACAAGGCAAGGTTACCATAAGGGACAGTAACGGTGCAAGCCGGTCTTGGGAGGACTTCTCGGTACGATTCACTCGCTTCGGCGAGAATGTCGAGCTGCCGGAACCGATGGTGGGTGGTACGAGATCTGCGACGGGTCCGCCTGGTGCAAATGGGCAAACAGCGGGCGCGAAATCCGCAGACAAGATAAAAGACGTGGAAAATCTCGTCGGGCGCCACCTCACTTACGCAGAAGAGTCGTATATGGGTCTTGTGCAACCGAGCACTCCCAGCAAACAGGGGCTTGATATCGACGCAACGTCGCCGTATTATGCGCTTTATCTACGCCGCCTACTATCAGGAATCCCTTTGTCGAGCCACGAGACGTTTGCTCATCCGGTGGCATGTGTGATTGCTATCAGCTCGCATACGCCGGATCCGATCAAGACGCTGCGAAGGCTATACGACGAATCTAGTCAGGGAGAAACGAGGCTTCCTGCCTGGGTCGACCCAGAGTATCTGCGATACTATGTACTAGTTCACGATGAGGAGAATAGCGACATCACGAAATCAATGGCTTTATCTGACCAGATGAAGCGGCATCTCGGTTTACATTGTCACCTCTTGAGGATACGAAGCTCTCAGAGCGCCGAGACGGACGACGACAGCATACCGCTGCCACGGAGCGATTGGATGACTGCCAGGGAAGAGTTGGATGATATAGAGCGCCACGAGGCGCAAGAGGATATTGACCTAACACGATACATATTTGAGAGCGACGCGACGGCGATACGGACTTTTATTCGCGAGATGGTGACGCAGTCTATAATACCCACTATGGAGCGTAATGTATCATTATGGAACGACCAAGTCGCATCAAGGAGACGAGGCATCAGCGGACGCTTCATGAGCCTCTCGAAAAGATGGGGAGGGTTTGGCGGAGGATCAAGAAACTCCAGTGGCGGCAGCAGTTCTTCCAACTACGATCCCCTCGGCTTCTACAGGCCAGACACCCCGGAGGCTATCATGAGAAAGCTGGCCGACTTCGCATTCATGCTACGTGATTGGAAACTGGCCATGTCGACTTACGAGATACTCCGCTCGGACTTTAGCAACGACAAAGCCTGGAGATATCATGCGGCGGCAAATGAAATGGCAGCGATAGCGCTTCTGATCATGCCGCAAAACATGTCGTCGAAGACTCGCCTGGAGACGATCAATGGAATGATTGAGCAGGCGTTCTACTCATACCATACGCGCTGTATGACCCCATACGGCTCCCTGCGCTGTCTTGCTCTTTCGTTGGAGCTTCTGAGGCTGCGCGGAGGTCCTGCTATCGATGAAGCCGTGCGCTGGGGTATGCGACTGATGGAGACTCGCATCATTGGAGTCGTGGGTGATGCCCTGTTCAAGGAGCGCATGGCAATCGCCTGTGCTACAAAACAAGGCGTTGGATCACAATCTTGGGGCAGTTGGAAGCGGAAATCAGCGATGTGGAGCGTGCTGGGGGCAGAGGCTTGGATCAGTCAGTCCAAGTACATCCAAGCCCAGACATGTCTGAACCAGGCCAGAAGGATGTATTCCATGCTGCAGAGCGAGGTTGGCATTGGCAAATTCCTGCTTGCAAGTGACCACATGGCACAACTTAATCAACGCCTCAAAGAGGGCCTTGCGATCGAGGCCACTGAGGAAGACGAGGCTGCTGATACGGAAGATGTTGAGCTCCTCGTTGCAGAGACAACCGAGATGCTGAGCAAGAGAAGGTCCAGGAGACTGAGCTTGGTTGGCCCTCCTGGTGCCGCCGGTGCGGGTCTGGAGACGGCGCCCATGAGGCCGCTAAATTCAGTGGAGAGTGAGGACAGCGATACAGGGCCGAAGGATGGTTTTGGATAATAGTCGCTGGTCTTCGTCGCGAGGCGAAGCATGGAGCAATAGATTAATGATTAAATCGACAGCATTGGTCGGCGTTTGAACATACAACCAAGAAACTTGCAGTAGTGGGACATGACCGTTGTTGTATCAATAGTCTAGGGACATACAATTAAGTTGTCATGTTAGACTGGCCTTCACACCCAAGCTATTTAATTTGTCTATGACGGCCTTCGCGAGGCCTTCCTCTCTGTCAACACACTCAACCCCATATCTCTGACAGACAAGCTGAACGTTGCCCCTCTTCCAATACCCCTCGGGGCAGCACACAACCGACCTGCCAGCCCGCCTCGTCGACAAGCCCAGCTCCATGAGGCTAATGGGCGCCTTGCTCGCGGGGTGGAAGTAGACAACAACAACGTCGGCGGCGTCCTGCTTCTCGAGCTCCCACTGGACCTGCTCGCGGAAAGGGGCGAAGGAGACGTCCTCGCGCCATGAGCCGTCCCAATCGGGGCGCAGCGGATTGTAGACGGTGACGGGCAGGGCGACGAGGGCGGACGTCAGCGTGTCGCGCCAGTCCGGCTCGCCGGGCACCGGGCTGGTGGAGCCAGCCAGGAAGACTGAGGTGCGGTGCTGCTGCGGGGCGCGGGAGGGGGCGAGGATGACTTGACACTTGCCGGAGATAGAGGAGGAGCTGGTGGCGTCGTTGTAGGAGGGGAGCTCGGAGAAGAGCATCTTTGGAGTGGTGATCTTGTAGTTTGATATAGGATGTAGTCTGCTTAGTATTGCTCTTGGGCGAGTGTGACTACAAGTGATGCTCATCCGTTTTGTGCCGAACAGCATTGAATGTTGAGCATGCTGGTCAAGAGAGGTTGATTTGACATGTCAGGTTCTCAGCCTTACGGATCACCTTGTGAGGAGTCGCTTTGGTTGCATTTCACAGCGCCCAATTGTTGGACAATGTCCTTACAGATAAATGCCAATTCATCCACCTCCTGCACTCTTACCTGACAGCTTGAAGCTACTCAGCTCTTGCCATGCCAGACAATTTATTCAATATCTCAAAACTTCAGTGTCAAAAACAACAAGCTGACATCACAGTATGCAAGATGCGTACATTGCCTACGCAATGCACATGCAGTTGCGGCTAGGGCCGAGTGTGTTGGAGGCGATTTCTTGTAGCCTAGCAGGCGAACAGCGCCGTCGGTTTCCGAAGGTTGATTGATGACTGCTGGATTGTACAAAGAATTGAAGACGCGGGCGATAAGCGACCCAGCCATGGCGCCGGGCTAACACTAACAAACGGCGCAGTCCTGTTGCGGGGCGTCGGGCGGCTCCGGGGGGCAAACATACACACATATAAACCGGCCCGACCTCGCCGTTTCCGATTTGGATTTTCATCAACTCCTCATCATCAACTCTCAGAAACTCAAGCAAGACCACAGTTACAGCACCGTCTAGCAACGACTCTTGACATTTCAAAGTTGAGATACCCTAAACTCTGAAGAAATCGAATAGCAGATATTCGCACATCTCACATACACAATGCCTCACTCCACGGCTTCACAGGTCAAGGTTGAGCCTCTTTCCCTACCGGAGGGCTCCCAGATCAAGTTCGGCGCTGCCGTTTCAAATGTTGATATTGAGAATATCACTGGTAAGAATTATAAAACTGCCTTTCTATTTTAAGTGACTTTGTATTGTAAAACAAGGGAGACTACCCGTGAAATCGGTAACCTCCTCGGTAAGCAACCTCTCTTCACCTTTTAACTCGAACAGCTTCGACTAACATGGCTCTCAGATGCCGACTTTGATGTGATCCGTGATGCTCTCTTCCACAATCAGGTTCTTGTCTTCAAGAACCAGGGACATGTCTCGCCCAAGGCGCAGTTCGAGCTCACTCAGCGCTTCGATCCCAAGGCCGACTCCTATGGCCATGGAAAGACTCTCGATGCCAAGCGTAGCATCTTGCACCCTGACCTGAAGACCATTCCTCACCAGCCTCAGGTCCAGGTCATTGGCAATGGTTTTGTGCCGGAGTATGAGGGACTGAAGAACATCCAACTCAGACATCCTCACCACCGCACATTCCACGCCACCACCATTCCTGACGAGGACGACCTGGACTTCACCCGCTACTACCGGTGGCACATCGACGCCGCTCTATACGGCCTCGCCCCGCCAGTCGTAACCACTCTCCTCGCCGTCAAGGTCCCCGGCGGCAGGCGCCAGATCTGCCGCTACGACGACGGCACCGGCGACGAGAAGGACGTCCCGCTCGGCACGACCGCCTTCGCGAGCGGCTATGAGATGTTTGAGCGCCTGTCGCCCGAGGACCAGGATTTCGCGCGCACCTCCAAGGTCGAGTACGCGCCGCACCCGTACATCTGGATGAGCGGCGCCAAGTCGCGGTCCGATGGGCTGGGCCTCGTCTCCGAGGGCAAGGAGCTCCCCTTCGACCAGCTGCCAGAGATCGACGAGGCCAAGATCCAGGTCCTGCCGCTGTGCTGGCGCAACCCCGTCACCGGCAAGCTGGCCCTGCAGGTGCATCCCTCTGCTGTGCGCAAGCTGCACCTCAAGGACGGCACTGTCATTGAGGACCTGGCTGAGGTCCGGGAGATCATTCACCGCCTCCAGCGCCCCGGTATTGCTCCTGGTTTGGTGTATGCGCATGACTGGCAGGAGGGCGACTTTGTCCTCTTCCACAACCGCGGTCTGCTGCACTCTGTTGTCGGTGCCTTTGCCGAGGACGAGGTCAGGCTATTCCGCCAGTGCAATGTTGCTGCTAGCCACCTCCCCGAGGGCCCTGCTGAGGTGGCACAGGAGGCCTAGATTGATATTATAGTTGCACTGTAGGATATGGCGGACGATCGAATACAATTGGGCTTATAGAAAGCGAGATGTTTGGTATTTCATAGAGTCTATTTCGGAAGAATCAATACAAATGAATTTGCTCATGTTTCGGCTTGTAAATCTCGTTTTTCCATTGATAAAGAAATAGTCAAAAGGCGTCCTGTCTTCGTTTCCCCTTGATCAAACCAACATCAAATCCACTAGAGCAAAGTCAGCTACCTAGATATCATCAACTCTAACAAGACAACGCCAATGGAAGATAGAAACTAATCCGGCTGTAACGTCTGGCTGGCGAATAACACTATTCCCGCCTACTGTAGCGGTGGACATTGGTCCACGGTATCATATCGACTCCAACTTCTAATTATAATTGATTGGTCTCGAGGAGTAGAGAATTGTCGCGTGTACCCTCAAATGAGGGGAATAGGGGTAAATGTAAGGGTAGGCGGAGTAGCCCAAATCGAAATCGACATCTTCTAAGGTGTATGTGGCGCTCCTCTTCTCTTTGCGCGACGCTTTGCTCTCTCTTCCGCTTCCTTCGCGCGCCTGATGTTGATATCATCGTTCTTGTTCTTGCGTGCTTTGGCAACAGCCTCTGCTGCCTGGCATTCATCTAGGGGTTGATTAAGATTGGCATTATCCCATCTGGATACATTACTGGTGTACTTACTTTTGGTAACATTGTTCATCACCAGAACTCTATCACCGAATCGTACTCTGTGCGACTGCTCCTTGTCAGATCATTATAACCTAGAAGAGCATGCTATGATATAAGAGTCCTTACTATGTGCATACGAGTCGCATCAAGTTCAGCTTGGCGGACATACTCGATTTCTTTAGTATTGAGGTTGCTTGCATCTCCTGCGCAATCGATATTGTGTTCTCCAAAATCATGCTGGAAAGTGGTACAAGCAGGCTTGAGAGGTAGACTATCTTCAAGGTCTTCCTGAAAAGTATTCACTACCAGGGGTCAGAGTAAGTAAGATTTCGGATGGCTGAGTAGGTAGGAACGGACGAACCTTTTGTTGGCGATGGAACACTGCTCGCGCAAACCCAAGCATTGACAGCTAGCTCGCTGTTCCTCATTCTGTGCGATCTATCTCGAACTGAATAGCTCAAAAGGCCCGATGTCTTTAGTACTATATTGCGCCGCCCTGGTCAATGACTGTCGATGGGGGAAATGGATTTCAAATTGAGGGCAAGGCTACGCAGAGGACTGTGAGAAGAGCGCGGTAGTTCTGGCCCCTCACTCGCATACTCATATCATGCCGCAGCAAACCATATACCAGCAACATTATCGGCTCATTGTTTCTCCTTTCTTGAACAGCGCCTTCTGGTGTTACAAGGGCTGAAGTCACTCAGCCTACCTCAAACCTCAACTGGCATCTAGGGTTTCTACACTTCGCCTGAGTTTGTGGAAGCGAATCATATAATGTGAACCTCCGCCTCTCTAAATCAGGTACAAGAGTCTGGAAGCTGAACTTCTCAAAACTCAAAATCGCCCCTTTGCAATATGCAACGAGACAGCCCTTTTGCGTTGCCTTCGCTGAGTAGCGATGGCTTGGACCGAAGCCATTCACATATTTCAGACGATTCAGGTTATCACAAACTGTCCATGCTTATGGGTAAAGCCCCAGAAATCGCCATGTTTCGAAGTTTTAAGGAATTGAATGTGATCACACTACTCCGGTTGCAGGCAGACTCCAGGATATGGAAGGGCAGCTTCGTGACATACGAGAGGAAGATCAGAAGTCTGGCGATGCTAGCCGCGAGAACTATGTCAAGGATTTCGGACTTATGAGAGACTGTGTGGATGAAGGCGACCATGAACAATACGACCTTCTCCTTGATATAGGGAGAAAACTGAAGGAGTATAGTTAGCACACAATCGTCTCAGTGTCGCCTTTACGGTACGAACTAATATGCGCAAACAGATGACGCTCTCTCCCAAGCACGAGAACTCTGCAGTTACTCGGCTCCTTCTAGGAGAAATATAACCTTCTTGAGACGCTGGCTTGTTCACCCGTCCATGGGTAATAGTTATCTAACAGCCCGGGAGAGAACCATCTGGGAGCCAGAGAATGAGCCAGACTTGATCACCGTTCAGCATGATGACCGTCATGATGATATCTTCTTTTCTTTTCTTAGCGGGCCTCTGATAGAGCTTTACCATAGTCTCTGGGGCGAAAGAAAGAAGGTATGTAAGAGCACCTTTTAGAAGCAAGTCTCTAGTTGACAAATGATGGATAGGATCTAGAGTTTGCACAATTTGGGCCTGGCATACAGCGATATGACGACCGGCGTCTCGTGACAGTGGGCCATGTGGTCAGCGTTACGGTTTCCTCACTATTGCCAACGATTGCTATTCTCATTCTCTACATTGTAAAACCGATATACGCTAGAATGGGACTCGTGATCGCTTTCACTGCGCTCTTCTCCATGGCCCTTGCTACACTAACAGCGGCAAAGAGAGTAGAGATATTCTCTGCTACTGCAGCGTATGCCCCTGAATGAGGTTCTGCTGAATTAGAAGTCGATACTAATTGTCTCGAACTAGGTTTGCCGCCGTGGAGGTCGTTTTTGTAGGTAGTGTGAGCAATAATGGATGCGGTGCTTCGGGAGCTGGCACCCAGCAGTGACTGCTGGCGTCTAGATGATGCCTCAGAGAGAATATGGCCTTTCTAGCTGGATTGTCGATTATTTCTTCACTCTCTTTCTCAGCTCATCGCAAGTAATTGTAAAGTTGGAGATAGCCAGGTGTAGGTCCTTCATGAACTGATATGCTTTAGTGACTGATCAGCGCTAAGAGGTCTCACATAGTGGGGCATCCCGGCTCATGACCCACCCCAACCCTTCTTAGTCCTCGCCCGAACTAACGTGCTAGGGTACGTTTGTACAGCATCATTGCATCATCCTCCAAACACTGAGCATTCACAGCTGACGCCTCTTCGAGTAGGCTGGAGCTTTTCTCGATTAAGAGCTGGCCTTCCGGGCCCAGGCTAGACTTTTGCGCGACATCTACCCACGATATCAGTGGGCATGGAGAACGGAAACCCTGATTCTGTGGGCGAGGGCACCATCAACGGGGGCGTGGGGAGCGAGCCTCCGTCGCCGGACCAGAAGGATACGCCGCCCATCTTCCCGTTCCTAAACAACAGCACCGACACTCCGCCCGTCACTGCAGGCCAAGCTGCCCAGGCTCGCGCAGCCGACGACGACACCGATGATGACGAGCCGGCCGTCGCGAAGCCATTCGTTCGAACCACAAGCCCCGACTCTGCACGCTCGACGCCGAACAGCACCTTCGAAGAGGATGACATTGCCACAGAAACCGAGGTCGTGGAAGATGGGAAGAGGCGGCGACGTCTCGTGCACAAGATGCACAAGTACAGTCTATACGAGACGGCAAGCAGATACTACATCGTGGGCGCCGATGTCACAGAAAAACGCTATCGTATCCTCAAGATAGATCGGACGGCCGACGGCGACGACTTGAGCATTACGGATGATAAGATCATGTACAGCCAGAAGGAGATGAACCAGCTCCTAGACACTATTGACGACGGCAACAAGGGTACAGGAGGTATCAAGCTGAAATGCACAACCTGGGGCCTATTGGGCTTCATCAAGTTCACGGGACCATACTACATGATCTTGATCACGAAGAAGAGCACAGTAGCCATGATCGGCGGGCACTACATATATCAAGTTGACGGCACTGAACTTATACCCCTGACGCCGGCGAAGTACAGGACAGATCAGAGGAATACGGAGGAATCACGATTTCTGTCCATCCTGTCCAACCTGGATCTGACGAGATCCTTCTATTACAGCTATTCCTACGATATCACACGGACGCTACAACACAACATCACCAAGGAGCGTGCTTCCATGCTGAAGGGGCTACCCTGCTCATGCGACGATGATCAGAACTCCATGTTTGTCTGGAATCACTATCTGCTCCAACCGGCAACGCAAGCCTTGAAGGATCCGTTTGACTGGTGTCGTCCCATTATTCACGGATACATAGACCAAGCATCGATCTCCATTTATGGCCGTACCGCTTTCATCACCATCATAGCCCGCAGGAGTAGATACTTCGCAGGAGCACGCTTCCTCAAGCGTGGTGCCAATGATCTTGGTTACGTGGCAAATGATGTCGAGACAGAGCAAATCGTCTCTGAAGCAAACACGACCTCGTTTCATGCTCCTGGAGGCCGGCTGTTTTCAAGTCCTAATTACACCTCATACGTGCAGCACCGGGGAAGTATCCCGCTATACTGGACGCAAGACAATACGGGAGTTACTCCGAAACCACCCATCGAGCTCAACCTAGTGGATCCCTTCTACAGCGCAGCGGCACTGCACTTCGACAATCTCTTTGAGCGATACGGTTCGCCTATATACGTCCTCAATTTGGTGAAAGCTCGGGAGCGCACACCCCGCGAATCCAAGCTACTAGAGGAGTACTCCAAAGCAATCAAGTACTTGAACCAGTTCCTACCCAAAGAGCACCAAATCTACCACCGAGCGTGGGATATGTCACGCGCAGCCAAGGATCGCAACCAGGATGTCATAGGTACTCTGGAGAATATTGCCGAGGATGTGGTAATGACGACAGGCTTCTTCCACAACGGTGATGGCAGGACGAGCCCTACTGAAGTGCAGAATGGTGTGGCCAGGACAAACTGTATTGATTGTCTGGATCGTACCAACGCCGCACAATTCGTCATCGGCAAACGCGCTTTGGGTTATCAACTTCATGCTCTTGGAATACTGGGTGACACGGTCGTCAACTACGACACGGACGCAGTGAATTTGTTCACTCACATGTATCATGATCATGGAGACACCATTGCCGTGCAGTACGGCGGATCGCAACTCGTCAACACCATGGAGACGTATCGGAAGATCAACCAGTGGACTAGTCATTCGCGAGACATGCTGGAAAGCTTCAAGCGATACTACAACAATTCATTTATGGATGCGCAGAGACAAGAGGCGTACAATCTGTTTTTAGGCAACTACATCTTCGCCCAAGGACAGCCAATGCTGTGGGATTTGGCAACGGATTATTATCTGCATCACGCAAACCCTCGCACGTGGTCTGAGGTTCGGAAGCGTAGCTACATCAATTGGTACACTCCTCAAAATCTTGAGAAGCGATCGCTTCCACCTTTCCGTCCACCAAAAGGCCCAGCGAAGGAGAAGCCAGTCTCATTCTTTGATGACTATTGGCTAGAGTACTACCGCCCTGCTACTCTGTCCTCATTCCTAAAAATGTTCCCGTACAAGATGAATTCCACTATCAAGTACATCCCTTTCAAGTCCACCCAGGAGGGCCGGTATGATTTGAGTCCCTTCCGTGTTCGCAACGAACTGGAAGGCGATGCCCAGGATAAGAAGAAGACTAAGAAGGAGGTGACGATACTTGACCCTCAGGAGCTCGCGAAAGCGGGAGGTGATGATGATGATTCCACCATGTCACCAAAAGTCCCGGGCCTCAGCAAGGACAAGGAGACAAATGGTACTGGCAATACCCATACTAGGGGCATTTCTCTCCAGCGGTGGCTGCAGCCATCAGTCCAGGATAAGAACAGTAATGGTCCCCAAAGCATCATGAAAGAGACGGGATTGCAAATCAATGGATGGGGTGAGCACCCTAAGAGCAAGCCTTCTGCCATCGAGAAATCTCGGCAAGCGCAGTGGACTTTCACGCAGGTCGTTCATGAGTCTCTCAATCCATCCGTTAACACCCAAGAGGCCGAGGATTACACGCGCTATGTCAGCCATCCTCAGAATTTGCCTCTGGTCGTCTCCGCCGAGGCGCCCGCGGATCTTGAGGTCGACGCCGAGTATGAGGAGTATCTCAACGGTAACTGGCGGTCCGATAATCTTACTCCCATAGGAGGGGAGGAAGACTACGCCATCTACTCTGAGCTGTTGAAGGTGGGCGAGAATCCTCTGACAGTGACGGAAGGCGACGCGTTGAAGAAGCGCTACAAGGCATATGGCAAGTGGCTGCGCGGGAAATCTCTCTTCAAGCAGCAGCCTATCGACTAGTAATCGACAAGGCGAGATCATCACGAGCCGATTCACACCTTCGTCCGTAGTGCCACGCTCTTATTTGGTCAAGAAACCCTTGAAAAGACCTTCGAGAAGAGGTTCTTTTGCAATCAGAGGCGCAATCTTCTCGGCTGGGTCGACTTTGGCAGACTTTAGAGCCTCCGAAAGCATGCTTGCAGTCTTGATAAGTGCGTCGTCTATCTCGCCAGGGGTTTTTGCCGCCTTGTCGTCGTGGACATTCAGCCAGCATACGACGAGGATCTTGATGATCTCATCCTGTGTGGGTGATTGCGCGATGCGTGGCCAGCATATGGCGATGGTAGATTGGAGAGATTCGATAGCCGCCAGCAGTAGAGGCGGATAGGAGAGGGCGAACGGGTCGGTCATGATTGTGGAGTAAATGGGCATGAGGTCCTGTAGAATGAAATTAGCAATGATACCCCTAGCATGAATGAAAGAAATGCGATGTTGTCAATGAAGAAAGGCGTACCTTCATGTGCTTCACTGCCACCAAGCCCATCGCTGTGACGACTTTGCCGGCTTTTTGCACCAGGATCTCGACGATGCGGACCTGCTCCTTCGAGTGGAAGTATCCCGCGAAGATGCCGTCTCGCATGACCTTGTCTAAAAGTTTGAGTTTGTCCTCCTTCCCGAGTTTCCAAGCTAGTGTGAGTAATGATTCGTATGCAGGCTCGAGGAGCTGAACCGACTCTTTCTCGGGTGTAAGGCTAGGAAGGAAGAGCAGGGTTGGCAAGACCGCCTGCTCGAAGACACTGTGAAGCCCCGTGTTCTTCAGGGTGTCATTTGGGAGCTTCTTCAAGAACTCTCCTAGAATGGTCAGCCCCCTCACCCGGATGGGAGTGGCCGTCTCCTCTAGCATTGTAACCAATACTGGGACGAAAAGCGGCCATTGCTTGCTGACGATCTTTTTCTGTAGACTGTTAATGTCACTGGAGCAGCAATAGAAGACCCCTACTCACAAAAGCGACTGATACTGCCCACTGGAAAGCTGGGATGGCTCGCAAATCGGAGAATTTCCATGGCTTTGCCTGTGGTGTCTCCTGCTCTAGCCCGCGGTGAACACCGGCCTCCTCGGGAAACTCGGCTTTTCGTCCTGAAGCCGTCACGGATGCGGGCTTGGACTTGGAGAATAGTGGTCGAAGATAGCCCTTCAAGATGGTGTCTACCACAAAGATCTCGAAGTCGAGGTCCGGGCGACAGAACTGGAGCTCGATTATATCGTCTGCCATGGTTGCTATCCCTTCGTTGGAGCCGAATGGGTCACCAGCGTGTGTAAATGCCACGACCGTGAGCAAGGCCTCGTCACTGAGCTTGGCGTCGCCGTGCTTAGTGAGGGCATGGAGAACACTAAGACCGTAAGGAGCCAAAAGTCGGCTATTTGCGTCTATTGATTCTGGATCTGGGCTCCCCTGGTCATCCAGCTCACTCGCTCCTGCAACGGGTGCTATAGATGTCGCTGCGAAGTCAGAGATAGTCTCGATGGCAGCATCATCATCCTCCTCGCTGCGGACTCTGCTCTCATGGTGAAGACATGCCGCAAGAGCTGCGATATATTTGCGCTTGCCCTACATACCTCCACTCAGGTCATCTATAAAGATGGTTTATAGGGTCTTGCAGACATACCGGTGCGTCGGGCTTGACCAAATGTTCGACGAGCTCCCTGCACGAAAATTCATCTGGCACATCTATTGCCTGTCAACTTGCTGGTCATGTATTGAGATAGCCGGACATTCTAAGAACATACATGGATCCGCAGCAGGCCAGAACCGTTCAAGTGGCACGGGCTTCGAACTAAGCCGGTCGACTGCCGTAAGTAAATCGTCAAATGCAGCCATCGCAGGTTCAGCCGGCAATACGCTCGATGTTCGTGAATTTCTCTCCTCAAAGATGTACTAGTGGAGAAGGATAGAAGGCTGATTCCAGGTGCTCAAGACGCTAAGAACTCAGCTCGTTGGACTCCATCTCACCTACCGTTTGCGGGGACCCACCCCCCATTTTCAGCAGGGCAGTGGACTAGAGAGTGCTCACCTGCTTTGAGATTTGTCTGATTGCCATTCTTTTGGATTTATTAAAGGCAGCAACTTAAGCTCATTTACGGCGCAATTAAAATAAAATAGAATAGGCAGAGATTTATGTCATATTGGGTATCTATCCATCCCTATTTGGAAACATGAAGGCAAGTGCCTCTTCTAAGCGTGAGCAACTGGAGGAACATATGAGTGCATCAGATAGGGATGCCGAGCTCAGCACTACGTCCCCTGACTTCCTCAATAGCCCCGGCCGTATCTGTCTTCCCAGGATTCCGAAGTTGCCACGCCATGCAGACATCCATCGCGGCTGTCATCCACTTCCCCGGCTTGATCCCCAGGGCTTGGGAGAGCTGTCTCCCGTCGATCAACCGCTTGATTGACGGCGCATCCATAACATCTAGTTCCTGTAGATGGTCCAATAACTCCTGCCACTCACTCAGCAGCTCCTCAAGACCAGCAAATGGTTTCCGCTTCGTCTCCTCGCCGTTTGAAGATGTGGTTGGCGTGGCTACAGGTCTCGTCAAAACATCGAACAGTAGAGCAGCCAACACCTGCAAGCGCCAGTGGCCGCCTCGAGCATCCCATTCGCGGATGGCCATACCATATCTGTCCCGCTCATTCATTTTTGCATTCTTCTCGTTCACGAGACTCTTAAGCTCGAGAATCTTCTCTCTGTTCCGGCATGCAGCGGTGATAATATCGGACAGCTTGTTTGGTGCTTTAATGCCTTCTCGCGCAGCAGTCGTAGCATAGGGAGTGGGGAGTTTGCCAGATTTTGGAGCTGGCGGATCTGGAATTTGCACCCAGGGGATGATGGCGGCAAGGTTCCACGCGAAGTGTCTGGCTTCTTCTGACGTGACCAAGAGCTCATAGATAGAGCGAGGGCTCTTGTGTGTCTCGAGGTCATCGAGGCAGTTGTACGCTCGGCTCCAGCTAGTGATGTCTGGCTGAGGCATCTCAGTGTCTGCAGAATCAGTGAAGATCGTGTGATAGAGCCCCAGGCGGTCTATCAGGCGAAGAGCGTCGCATGGATGTTGCCCTGTAGGCTCATTAGGACATGTGCATTCAGCTAGTAACAACCAACCATAGATTGCTTACCCGTGAGCATCTTCTCGACCTCAACGCCAACTCTCTCTCGGCTGATCTTGAGGCGAAGGGCCTCCAGAACACGCGGATCACCCATAACCCGTTCAGCTTCCGGGTCGATACTGAAGGTGAGGCGGCTGGCAAAGCGGATGAGCCTCAGGACTCGGAGGGGATCGTCCATGAAAGTCTGAAAGGGCTCCATAGGCGTCCTGATCAGCTTAGCATCCATGTCGGGGAGCCCTCCTGTAAGGTCCTCAACCTCCCCGGTGTTGAGGTTGTAGAACAGAGCGTTCACAGTAGCATCTCTGCGTAGCGCATCCTCCTCGGCAGTGCCAAATTCCATCTGCGGATTGCGACTGTCCTCCGCGTATGTCTCCTTGCGTAGATTGACAAAATCCACATCGAATCCCAGGATACGCGTCGTGACAGTCTCCAGATGCTTTGACTTCTCTGGATTTTGCGCGATCTTGTGAAGATTTCCGATGTCAGTCGGCCCAATGCTGTGCTTCTCTACATTCTCTGGCTTGTCGCAGAACTCACGCAGCTTGCTTGCGAAAGCGAAGCCGGTCATCGAGTTGATCGCGGTGTCAATGTCATGACTCTGAATACCGAGAAGCTTGTCGCGCACCCAGCCGCCAGCCCATCTCAGTACCACAGGCTCATTGGGAGCCTTACCCCCGGCCTTGTCGATGTAGGCTGCGACATCTAGAAGCAGGCCCTTAAGCTGCTTTTCGCGCAGATTGAGCTGAACCGTCGCCATGATTTGTATACTGTGTGGATCTGTAATGCTCTCAAATTTCCTCTTCATCTGTGGATGAAGGAACGTCCTGGCCAGGAATGGTCTATGAAAGAACCGTAGCATCTGTCATCTGCGAGGCAGGTTGCGGCTACTGAGATGCGTCATCCGGGCAGGTGAGAGTCATCCCTAGTCATTAAGTCTAGATCGAGATTCTGTTCTAGAAGAGAAGGTTTCAAACAATGAGAATAATTCTCTTAGGCAAACCCAGTAAGATTACGTGTGAGGTGAAGCTTGGCGTGTGGATTCAGTTTGGATGCTGTTGTTCGGTGATTTTCATCCATTTGATAGGTTTTTTAAGCCAGACGGTGCTACCTACCTAGGTAGTGGTGGTGATTTGTGATGGGCCAATCAACAGTTCTGGTCCCTCCACCCAGCCCGTCAGCGCTCCAGCCGGCTTCCCCATAGTGCCCTGAAACACCACGAAGCAAGATGTGAAAACCCTTGTTCGCCCTCAATCTTTCTGAATACGTTCAAAAGTGGAATATGGCACTCTTCTCATATGAAATATTCCATATAATCTCCCTGGAAACAATAAATAGACGTTCATTAAAGTTATGTTGATTTCCTCATGCTATAGTTTACAAACACTGAGCCAAAGGCCAACAACCATAAGCCGCTAAGGCGTCTTCTCCTCCCCAAGTATACGCCACTCCTTCCGCAGCTACGATCAATTTAATTGAGGAACTCTGATTCGGTTTTTTAGAGAAAAAGCATCGATCTCTTCTGAGGATCTTGACCCAAGTGGTCTAGGTTGATGTTGCCAGTGTGGCCCAAGCGAAGAATCGGTCCATATTGGTTTTCTGCCATGCCTTGTTGCCCTCATCCGTTCTCGCATAGAGTCTGATCGAGATGAAATCAAAAGTACCAGTAACTCACGTTGTCCCCTGAAGTTTGCGAGGTCGATTGGCGAGAGGCCGAGTCTGTTTCGCGCAGTCACATCAGCACCTGCTTCTACTAGTTCTCGGCAAACAGCCAGGTCGATTACTTCACGTCGACAGGCAACTAGAAGAGGTGTGTTAAGATGCACCGTCCTCAGGTTTACCTCTTGTGCGTATTTCCGTAAAAGCTGTCGAATAATTGGAGCAGAGGAACAAAGCGCCGCTTGATGAAGTGGTGTCCAGCCCTTGGTCTCATCACCTCCTAGAACAGTATCATTCTGCGGGATATAGCGCAAAATAAAATCGCAAATGGTAGAATCGCAGGATGTGATGGCATTTTCCAGCACTTGAAGAAACAGCCTAGTGCGGATGCCTTTCCTCGATCCATGTTCGAGAAGGAGGCCCAGCATCAAGATGTCTTTCTTGAGTGTTGCAATGACCGCTGTTGTGAAAAGTGAATGCTCCAATTGCGCTCTCGATTCAGAGTCATCCCAATCATGAACCAGTATATATCTTGTCCAAGTTTGCAGCCTGTTTTCTACCGCATACGCGAGCACAGTTCGATTCGAATTTCCATCTTCCCGAAAGCAACACCACCGTGCCCAGCGTTTTTGGTTCAAGAGTTTGCCCACGATTGTGCTCAAGTTTGCCCTTCTTTGGTCTGCATAGTGAACATGATAGACAAACATTTCTGTCACATATCTGAGCAATTCAGGAATTGTGTCAACCTGCGTCGTGGAGGTTGTAGAGTAGGACTGTGTAGGTGAACTACATACAGCAGTGTGCGGTGTACTCGGATCGATTCCTTCGCTTATGTACCGTTGAATGAGTTCTTCACTAGAAGCCCTTTCAATCTTTGCAACCTGCAATCGGCTCAAGCCAGAAGTTCCCCCGGTATCAATGTTGTCATGAACAGAATGGGGGCTAATCTGCGCCGAGATATCTTCGGATGGTAAGGTTACTTCAAGTTTCCGCTCATGTGAATGATGAGATCCAACAAAATCTGACCCTGCAGATGATCCAAAGCTGACAACACTGCCTGTCCGCCGGTGTCGTTTCTTAGCACGATCTTCTTTGTGTCGTGATAGTGCAAATGCTTGCATCCTTCTAGACATTTTCCTATCAACAAGGAAATCCATCTCTTCAAGCTCGGCATAGGCTAGACAGCAATTCATGATGAAAACATGACCATCTTGTTTCGAAGCAACACCGTCTCGGTGCTTCAGAATTTCAAATCCATTCTCATACAAGAAAAGGGTTCGCACAGATTCATGAATAGGCAAAACGACTTTGCATGTTGCAAACGATCCTGCACCTGCGTGCAAGGAACCCGTCTCGTTCAACTCTTGCCCTGATGGGATTACGCAGAGGTCTTTGACTTCAACAAGCCCATGAGACAGACTTCGGATCCTTCTTTCCATTTGCTCCTCATCGTCCAGGAAATCCGGTGAGCTACGCCAGTCTGGCAGCCTCTTCAGTGAAGGGTTGTAAATTAGCGGGAAGATATGGGACCATTCGGAGAGCCTTAGGGTCCTAGCTGAGTAAACAACCCATTGAAAGAAGCGCACCGTGACATCGGATTCTATCCCTGCCAGAAGGCTTCTAAATAAATGTGATAGTTCAGGCGGTACTTGTTCAAGCTGTACCTGGAGATATTTCCTGCTTTGACCCTCGTCCCATGCTTTTCTTTGCATCTCAACGACAAGAACGGCCCAAAGAAAGACTCCAGAAGCTTTTTCGATGATCTTCTCCTTCGTATCGATCCAAAAGGGAGTGTCAAAGAACATTGATAGCGTATTGTAGACGTACCGTCTTATGTCGACATCGTTGAAGTTTTCGATGCTTACAGAAAGACATGAACAAAGTGACACAGCCAGGATGCTCTGGCTAGAAATGCAGACCTTAAGTCGAGTCCTCGCTAAGTTGGCGCATTGCGTCAGGTCACTAAAGAAATACACAAGGTTCCTTGCGCCGGAATCGCTGCATTCATCAAGCCCGTCAATGAAGAGGCGAACCACACCAGACCCTAATCTCGGTCGAGTCAAGATAGTGTCCAAGTAGTCTCTCAATTCCGCTTCCTGCCAAGAATTCTCACTGCTTTTGAAAGATCTTCGACGCCAAATTTTCAAGAGTTTAATGCTCTCCTTGGGGAAGAATGGCAAGAGTTGATAGACTAACGACTGAAACAACCCGCGAGTGGTGCGTTCAAGTTGAGTTCCCTTGCCGTTGAAAAAGAAAGAGGCGGCGATGTCCCGAGGATGCATCTCGGAATGCTCTAGGATGAACTTCATCAAAGTAGACTTTCCAGAACCCGGCTTCCCTTTTATCCAGAGAAGTTTCTGCTCATCGTGCTGACCGTTCCAAGCTTGATAAGCTGGTAGATCTTGTATCCATTGACATGTACCTATCATTGCATTTGAAATCGTCTGAGATCGCGTCTCCATTTCAGGGAAGTACAGCGACTTCCGAAGTTCTAAATGATAAACTCACGGAGTTAGTGATTTTCTCCTCTGACGACCGGACAAGAGGTGCAAGTACCTCGCAAATCTCGTATATTAGGCCCTTCGTCACACTCATCTCCTAGATCACGCTCAGCTACATGCAAAGTAGGGATATGATGATTCTTGGGTAAGTATTATATCTTACCAAGTGAGTACTTAACGCGTTCCTTTGTCTGGACCAACCGACAGATACTCTCTAATTCGCCGCCGACTTTAAGATAATTCGGATCATTCGGACCATTGAACCGACACATGTTCATATGATTTGCATGAAGAGTTTCTGCTTCTTCTCGAATGTCACCCAAAAGGGAAGAGAGTTTTGGTACGACCTCAAGGGTAATTAGCAACACATTGTCAACCGGGGGATTGAGCATACTGTCTCATTGAGCACCGTACCTGGTATGTTGACACCAGTAAGGGGCAGTTCTTCCTGAAATGTCTTCACTTTGAAATCGTACTTCTGCCATATCCTAGAGAAGCTATCTTGCGTCCGTTCAAGATCAGCATTGCGAAGGCCTAAAGAGTCCAAAAGAGCTGGATTGGTGGCTATGCAAAGCACGCTGATAATTTTCCGGGCTACCTGGCCAAGATCTGCGTAACGACCGCCGCCTCGATGGGGAGTACCGAGGAAAACCACTGCAGCAGTAGACTCGACTATGTCCTTCAAATTGGAATTCACTGCTCCATCCGATAGTGCTAGAACCTTAGGCATGTAAGTTAGGCCATGAATATAAAAAAAGCGTGATGCAGAACTCAAACCTCTTTAACAAGCAAACCACCGAGTGAGTGTGCAACGAACACAATTGGCACCCTCGTACGATCCTCTCTACCCAATGCATAATATAAGTCTTTAGCGTGGGAGTAGATATTGTTTTTGTTCACGGGTCTACCAGGTCGAGCAGTCACAGAAGTCTCATATCCCCAAGTCAAGATCCTGCATTGACCACAAGTTGTTGACTTGGACAACAGATGCAGTGGCCAAAATACTTCATCCGAAGGGTTCTCATGCACAGGGTCATGCACAGAACTTGTGTGGTTCTTCGTCAATGATTTAAACCTAGCGCGAAACGACTTCTTCGTCTTCTTGGTTTCCTTTGGTATGATTTGGTCCTTCGGCAGCATCGCCAATTCACTAGCTTTTGACGCCCATGTGTGATAAGGATGACCTTGTAACCCGTGGACAAACACAAGGCTGTCATAAAATCAGTATTCTGCGACGTATCATGGCCTGCCCATTAGGAAAACTTTCTGCGTAGTGAGGCTACATTCACTCTGCGTCCTGGAAATCTGGAATTCTTACTCAGCTACTGGATCTCTGTCGTCTGGCTCATAGATGATTGACAGCCCGGTGTCCGTGATCTTCTGGGCCATGATCACGGTGCTGTTATGGATCGGGATGACTTGCTCGGATGTGGGCAAAATCATGGAGGCGCTGGGAAAGATTGCAGCTCCCTTCTCTCCAGGCATCATTGCCAGGCGAGGCTCTGGCACCTGACCAGGTCCCCTCCATTGTTTAATTCGCTGCACGAAAGATGTTATAATTGGTCACTCCAAAATTGCACCAAGACTCTTTACTGTGCAAGCTGTCATTCAAACTTTTTGATGCATCAGTAGGTGCCAAATGCCTCCTCTGCTAAACTAATGCCATTCAGGAATACTTCACAGTGCCATCTATGAGTCTTCTCTTTTCTCAAACTCTAACTTTCGAAGGAGGAGATGTAACTTCTGCCATCAAAAATGGGAAGTTGGAGCGACTTGCGTCGATACCGAGGTCCAGAATCATCCGATGTTGCCAGGTTTCAACTACCACGAAACGACCATAGCGGAAATCTTGCGATTGGCTCTCCAGACCCTTGACACGCAAACACAATACCACCAGTTCTATCCAGCCCCTGCGGCGATCAAAAGAAGCTTGACAAGTCTGAGGCTCTCGCTTTGATTGCCATTCCTGTACAAGGCTCCCCAACCCCAACCATATGATGCCCGCCAGGGGGTCCGCCAGCATCAAGATGCACAGCCCCCCCAAGAGCCGCATGGAGCCAGCCCGCCTCAGATCCACGGAGCCAAGACGGATCTTCTGGAGATGCTACATGATCGCAAACGCATCCTTGCCGCAATCATTCTCCCCGATAGGATCGCGAGCTAGACGCCAAGAGAAACAAAAATGGCAAGCGCCGGGTTCTTGGACATGATCTACGCCAATCGGAGATCCGCTGCGGTTGTCGCATGGCTGCCGCGAGCCTTCAACTTCTCAGGAAGCCCCAAGACTAAGATCCCCGAAACGCGGCGAAAGCTTGACCGCGCGAGATCTACAGCGGGGATTCACAGCCAGGGCACTGGCGAGCAGCCGGAGAGAACCGACTTGGCTGCAGGTTCCCCGGAAGCTGTCTGGCTCTCGTCGACACTCCTCGCCACCTATAGAGACATCCCCTGTTAGGTGCCAGTGCGGCTCCTGAACAGAAGCTTAAATGTTTGGCTTGGCAGTTTGGACTGATCAGAACTCGAAACCCACTGCGGCTTGTTCTTGAGTGCAGAGAATAGTATACGAGGCAGGAGTCATTGTGATGATAGCTGCAGTCCAAAGTCTATAAATCAGGCCATGCCTTACCGTGAGTCCATCTCTTATTCTCATCATCGGACAGCATCTCAGCATCATCGGGTCTCTTCACTTCAATCTCTCTCTCCTCTTCCATTCAGTCTTTTAATAGCCCCTTCCTGCCGGACAGGTCACTTACCTTCTCTAATCAACCACCTTACCTTCTTTACAAGACACGAGCATCAAACAGCAGCAGCAGCAATGGCATCCCTCAAGACCCTCCTCCTCACCTCCCTGCTCGCCACCGCCGAGCTCGTGGCCGGCCACGGCGCCATCATCGCCGCGACCGGCGACGCCGGCGGCTCGGGCATGGCGCTGGGCATCGACACGAGCACGCCGCGCGACGGGACGCGCCGCAACCCCTTCCAGCAGGACAGCACGCGGTTCAAGGGCGACGCGGCGGACACGTTTGGCGAGACGGTCGGCGCGGGCGACAACGAGCTCGAGGCGGGCACCAAGGCCATCATGGCCGAGACGGGCGAGCAGCTGCCGCAGGTGTCGCAGGGCGGCGAGGTGCAGATGACGCTGCACCAGGTCAATGCTGACGGTGGCGGTCCGTACACCTGCATGATCAATGCCGACGGCACCGGCCAGGACTGGCAGAACATTGATGTCACGACCACGCCTCCAGGCGAGAACTCGCGCAACCGAGTAAGTTCCATCCATACCTACCTTGATGGGGGACATCATCTCCCGCAGCTGAAAATGTAACACTTGCTAACATCGTACCAGGATGGTGCCGCCACCGACTTCCCTCTGAATGCGGCCATCCCGGCCGACCAGTCCTGCACCGGTACCGTGGCCGGCCAGGACAACGTGTGCCTCGTCCGGTGCCAGAACGCCGCTCGCGCCGGCCCCTTCGGCGGTGTCGTCCCGGTACAGATGGCCAACACCACCACGCCGGCCCAGGCCCGCCGGGCGCTCGCCCTGTCCATGAAGCGCAGCGAGCAGCTGCTCACCAAGATGATCAAGCGCGCCTCGACTATCGACGTGTCTGACCTGGACCCGGAGTATCTCGCTGAGCTGCGGGCCGATGGGGAGGAGATCTGAAGAGAGATTTGAGCGCTGAGTGAAGATGGGATGCTGCAGGATGTACAAAAAAGGGGTCAATGACGGGAGGGGCGCCGAGCCTGTGGCGCCGGAGGGGCAACGCTGCTGCACGGTGACCTCGCGATGACGACCATGCTGTTTGTTACCTAGTTGCCGTTACATATGTTGTATTGCCAGACCTATTCCGACTTGACTAGATGTCTTTAGAATAAACCACATTCTTTGAATCCCGAATGCCCCAACGTGAACAATCAATTGGATTCATCGAGTGACGCCGTTCACAAAGGTCCTCGCTAGTGACCAATTTCTCACCCCCCCTCCGTGATGCCGGCAGATAACATCATCGGACATTAGACTAATTGGCCTGGCCATCCCTTGGGATACATCGGGCAGCGCGGGGTTGGTGGGTGTGGAAACGGGGAATGGAGGAGGAGCAGAGGATTGGCAGGTCCTTATATTGCACGCCAAGAAGGGACCCCGAAGATCTTGCTCCAAGCTGTAGATTCGGAATCTTGCGATGCACACAGCCATTGTCTAGCGGCAATATCAGGCCGTTTTAGCCAGTCATCAGCCCCAGAACTGTCCGTCCGTGAATCTCGAAATGCTTGTGTAAGGTTGCCTGTGATGAGCGATAAGTGAGATAAGGAATTGGCCAACAGGCGTGTCCTTGAGCTTGCGTATTACTCCAGAGTGAGCGAGCGACAGCGAGACGAAGTGAATCAAGAGCAGCAAGCAGATCGGAGGCGCTCTAGAACCTCCGGAGATCTGAGGGGGCGATCCCTTCCCCGTGTGGATGAGCTGTTACGCCTCAACCCCGCCGCCTGACCAACCAGAGGGGCTCGCCTAGCGCACGGCAGGTGCTGGGGTGGCTCGGGTGGCTCAGAGGCTTTGAACCCTCGTCAGGTGCATTACGGCGACGTCACTTGGCTGCTTTGTGCCTCTCCCGGATTGGGTAGGGACATGCTGGTGCCCGGCTGCTTCACGCTTCGCTCTGAGGAGCACTATCTCCTGCCGGCGAACCAGATGTGCGCCACGAGCCAGTAAGGCGGTGGCAGTGAATGGAGGGTGACCATGGGTGACGTCTGGGCAACCTGCGAGTGTATCTCTCAAGTGTCTTGGTAGGTAGCTCGCCTCCTCGCCCTCCCTCACTCATACACACCAGTCTGTCTGTTTCCCTAACTAATAACTGACAATGACATCTCAGCTAGCACGCCGCTAGGGCAACTAGATGACGGAGGCTGCCTAGCTGATTCGTGAGCATTTGCCTGTGATTGCGAGCAAAAGGAAAAAGGAGGGGGAGGGGTTTGCATGTAGAAGTTAGAAGTCGAAGTAGAATGTGTCTTCACAGAGAACGGCAGTGGCGATCTACATTTGCATTTGACCTCGTCACATCACAATGAATTGAATGGATGGGATGGATGGGATGGATGGGACTAACTGAAGAGGGAATGAGAGGATGATGCTTGAATCTCGCCTGAAGTGCCCGTCGTGCCTTCCCATGCCGAGCCATGCCCATACCTTCCCATATCGTTCATCATCGCCCGATGCCGTAATGAAGTAACCTTGTCACTAACTCACTCACTGACGACGCCTTATCTCTACCGGTACTCTGATGTTAGTATTTGAGGCAATGCCCCCTCCCAAGAATCATTCAAAACCTTCTCCGTCCCCTCCCCCTCTAAATACCTCAACCTGAATATCTTCATTTTCCAAAAAAGAAATCCTAGAATCAACACGAATCCAAGTATCAGAGATACACCTTCTTTACACAATCATACATACCACATACCATATACAATGGAGAGTAAGTTGTTCTGTCCTGTCCACTTCTGCTGCTATAGCACCGGCCCCCACTCTCGCTGTGCTGTCTACCCCAGACTCCACTCGTAGGGCGCGCATCGTGCATTTGCGGCAAGCCGGCTAACAGGCCCTCTCTCTAGGCCAGAACCAGACCCAATTCGAGAACACGATGCAGGAGGAGGCTCCCGCCATGCGCGACACCTCTCCCACAGCCTCGTCGCCAGTCGACCGACGGGAAAGCGTCGAGTGGGGTAAGCAGCTTCTCCCATCAAAACCCCCCCAATTTAACCTCAGAGCTCGTGTTGAACTAACATCGAATTCCACTTAGACGCATCCAAGGTGCCGCCCAGCCGGTTCCAGAAGCGCAAGGGCTCCATCTACGCCGTGCCCGCCTCGCGCGACGGCCACGTCGAGAACAACTACGCCTCAAAATACCACGAGAAGCTCGCCGAGAAGGGCTGGGGCGGCCGGAAGAAGTCTGTCTCGAGCAACTAGAAGTCTGCCGGATGACTGATTCTCGCTTATTCGATTGATTGATTGCCGATGAATCCGCCCGTCTTCTGGCTTCTTTGAGCTCCTTTGAACCTTTTTTTGTCGTTCATGCGAGGTTAACGGGACGTGTCTAGATAAGAGTATCTGCTGCGTTTAAGATGTTTGAACGAAACGAAATACCAGCCTGTGTTTGGTCTACCGTCTTGGGGGGAACGTTGCATTTTTCCTTGTATACGTGTAGTGTAGTCTTACGATGTGTCACTTCTGTGAGTTTCACGGAGCACCGGCCAAAGGAGTCGTTATCATGAAATGAACAACTCTTTTTTCAACTTTGTTTCCGCTCTCTCTCTGTGTGATAAGCACTATGTCTGTGTTGCCATTCCAGAAAAAAGAGAAAACCAGCCATGCCCCCCTATGTAAGACCCTAACTCATGTAAACAAATGAAAGAAACGAAGGCCTCCCCTTTTCCGAGATAATACAGCTGTTGGGAAATAAATTCATTCATCCATATCGTCAATGTCGATTGCGTCGGGATTGGAGGCCACCACAGGAGGTGCGGGAATATTGCCGCCCTTTGGCCCATCGCTGGCCGCCACGAATCCCACAGGTGCTCGAGCCTGTCGCTCCAACGCCTCCATGGCGTCCGCAACGTCGTCGTCGACCACAATGTCCTGCGTGGCTTGACTCCTTGCCAGAGCTTGAGACGCGATAAAGTTGACGTCGGTGTTGTACTGTGCCTGGACGCTGCGCTTGATCCTGCGCATCTCCTTGAAGGTGTCCTCGTTTCCGTGCTGCACTTCGAACTGCTCCCACTTCGTCCAGAAAGCCGGGTTCGTGCGAGGGTCGCAGAACTGAGAGGCATGACCATAGATGGCACGGGCCCGGTCGATTTCGCCCAGTCGCTTTTCCATATCGGCGAACTTCAGGCACATATCGCGGGCCTCGTCGTCTGGTAGGGCTGCAATAGCCCTTTCGTAGATCGGACGTGTTGATGGCAATCCGAAGTTTGATGCGGATTTTGTAATGTAGAAGTTGAACATGTCGGCACGGTCCTCGTCCGAGACAGCGCGGGTGGCCCTCTCGTAGATACGCATGGCATGACGAGCTAGACCTCGCTCCTCCTCTAAATTGCCGTACATGAGATATAATATCTTGGCGAACTTGGGCGGGCAGCCTTCCACTGCCTGCTCGAAGAGATCTCGTAACCTCTCGATGCCAATCTCCCGATCGACGGCCTTGGTCAGGTATAGATTCCATAGTTCGAAGGCCACCGGGTAACTGAACAGATCGAGACCTCGCTCGTAGATCTTGAACGACTCTTCATAGTATTTGTTCTCCTCAAGCAGGTTGGCATAGTTGACCACTGTCTGGGGTGTGGCAATTCTGAGCTCGAAAATTCGCTCATACACCTTCTTCGTCTCTTCTAATGAGCTGACGCTCTCTACCAGGTCAACGTAGAAACTCCATAACTTCCAGCTCTTATGAACTCTCTGCTGAGGGGATAATGTCTCGTCGAAATAGTCAACCGTGGAACGTTTTGGTGCCTGTACAGCCTTCGCCATAATTCGGACGGCCTCATCAAAGTTTTCGTTGCGCAGCTCCATTTCCGCCCACTCAATCCACATGTCGGCGAGTTCGGCAACGGACTTGAAGGGCACTTTAACCGCCTTCTCCATGATGATGCGGGCGTTGCGCAGATCACCACCCCGCTCGTAGAACTTCGCATAGTTGGCCCAGAGTTGGTGGAATGCGCCGCTAGCTTTCTTTGGCTGGATCGCAGCAATCGCATCGGTGTATGTCTGGACAACTTCTTGCTTGTTGTCTCCCCAGAGAGCGACACGCTTCTCCCACTCGGAGACGTTGTTTGGATTCTGCCGTAGCAAGACATCGTTAAGGAGGAAGGGGCGGCGGTCCATTAGGTGCTCAAAACGCATCATGCGGATGTCAAGGTCGAAATCGGCCGCCTCATCAACGACTCCCTTCTCTGCCCGTGTTTGAGCAACTTCCATGAGCGCACCGATGATAGATTCCTCGAACTCCGCGTACGAGTCGAACACAAGAGTGAAGTCTCGGACCGTCATCACGGTTGTGATGCCCTCCTCAAAGACATCTCTCGCACGTTCAAAGCTACCTCGTCGAATCCAGTACGTTGCAAGACCAACCCACAGCTTTCCTCTTTGATCTGCGAAGCGGTCAATGCCGCTCCGGATGATTCGCTCCACGTCGATACCGGTCTCGTGACCAGTCTCAATCTCGCCGGCATGATCAACTAGTAAATCTACCATCTCGCTCCAGAGCTCATAGTGACCCTTGCCCTGCTTGCTCTGGAAACGAGGATTGTTGAGTATATCGATGTACTTGTGGACCGCCTCTGTATAAAATCCAACGTGAATAAGTAGCTCGATAAAGTCCTCTGCATCCTCCGGATGAACCTGCATATACCGCCTCCAGATCTTGACTGCCGTCTCGCCCGATGCTGAATTCGCAAACGGCCTGTAGAGAGCCCATATTCTGTTGTGCTGAGTGATCGGCAGCGCCCGGAGTGCTCGATCGAACGCGTGGCGGGTAACAGTGACGAGAGGCTGCTTCATCAGAAACTTCAGATACATTTCCCATATCCGCGGCATCTTGTTCAGGAGGATCAAGGCCCGCTCAAAGAGCGCGTTGACCTTGCGGTACTCAGAGGCGAAGACGGCCGGATTCAGCTTGGCGAGATGCTTGACGCGAAACCTCAGGTAGATCTTCCACAGCTTGTAGGATCGCGGCAGCTGTATGCAGGCGCGCTCGAGGACGAAGGCTTGCTCGTGGACAGAGCCGTGCTGGAACTTGAACTCGACATAGGCGAGCCATGGTTTTGTGCTGCCGGGATTTCGCTGGATGTCCTGCTCGTAGATGAAGTCATCGTCTGACTGAAAGATAGAGTTAGATCTACGAACAAGACTCACAAACAACAAGTAGTCGAGACTTACCACAAGAGTGAGGTCTGGCTGTCGTCCCAGCCCGACGCCGTTGGCCATTCTAGTCGCCGGCATGGCGGCCCCCTGGCCGTGTCAGAAACGCGAGATGAAGGGAAGAAAAGGTGAATCGAAGTTTTGGTGCACTTGTCAGCGCATTTCGGTGTCTTTTGGCAGCTTGCGCCGGGTCGCGATGACGGCAGGGCGTGGCAGTTGACAGTTTCAATTCTATTCTCCTCGACGGCGTCTTTTGCTTTTTCCTTCGCGCCTGTGCCAGTCAACCCAGTTAAATTCATGCAAAACTGCCGTGACGAGATACAGTGGGGTACCTTCTTCGAGTGCGGGCGCGGCATTAATTGGGCGATAATTGCGACTCCAGCAGGTACCACTGAGTCACTCTCGATAAGCTATCGTTCCGGTGGAGCACCAGCCAAGCCAGCCTGAAGAGCCGCTGGGAAAGTAGGCCAGAGACAGCTTGGTAGCGCTGCACATGCACCTCAGCTATTTCATCGTCAACGATCCCCAAGCTCCCCCTCTTTGCCTTCTCGAATTCAGACATATTGTCGCCTCAATTCCATTCGCCTAGAACCCGATTGATCTCCTCGGATACTTTTTATATCTGAGCTCTTTCTTTCATCTCTCACTCTTGTCGAATAGCGCAGAGCAAGATGTCTGGCGCCGCAGTATGTACCCCATTGCGAGATATTCGTACGCATGGCAAGAAGCTCACCAGATGCTCGTAGGACCGAGAGGCGGTCTTCGCGACCCGCCAGTCTCTTGCTTTAATGAAAGCTAAGCTCAAGGGCGCTGAGACTGGTCACAGCTTGCTGAAGCGAAAGAGTGAAGCCCTCACCAAGTGCGCCTCCCCGAAACCCCCTGTACTGGGTCATTTACTAATATACCATCCAGGCGTTTCCGAGAGATCACACGGCGGATAGACGAAGCAAAGCGGAAGATGGGCAGAGTCATGCAAATTGCATCGTTCTCTCTAGCAGAGGTCACATATGCCGTGGGTGGAGATATCGGTTACCAGGTACAAGAATCAGCACGGTCGGCGAGGTTCCGCATCCGCGCGAAGCAGGATAACGTGTCTGGTGTGCTGCTCCCCGCGTTTGAGAGCTACACGACCGAGGGAAACAATGACTTTGCCATGACTGGCTTGGGCAAGGGTGGTCAGCAAGTTCAGCGATGCAGGGAGACATATGCACGAGCAGTGGAGGCCCTTGTTGAGCTCGCCAGTCTACAGGTGCGCATGCTGCTTTGAAAGGCCCCCACGAGTTTCAGGCCTAGAACTTACTCTTTTAGACCGCGTTCGTCATCCTCGATGAGGTCATCAAGGTTGTCAACCGACGAGGTATGTCATCGTTACCATGCTTTATCGATCTTTGCTAACGTCTTGCAGTGAATGCAATGTACTACATACCCGTATCGTCCATGTTGCAAATTAGATACTAACGTGCCATAGTGAGCATGTCATTATCCCCCGAACCGAGAACACCATCAAATACATCAACTCCGAGCTTGATGAGCTGGATCGAGAGGAGTTCTATCGACTAAAGAAGGCAAGTCTTGCCGGTACCATTAATCTTATACGTTTACTAATTCATTGTAGGTTGCCGGAAAGAAGCAACGAGATACTGCTGTAGAAGATGCAGAGATGAAAGTTAAGAGGGCAGCCCGCGAGCAGGAGGACAAGGACGATGCAGCTGCTGCAGAGGCAACCGGTACTACGGACATCCTAGGCGAAAACGAGGATGACGATGTCATATTCTAAACGATATTTTGGACAGCCTTGAACCAAGTGATTTTGACTGATCGGCGACTGGGGGCATTGCAAGATTATTTGTATGGTATCAATTGGTTTGTATGACGATGCTTTTTCTTGCCCTGCCTAGTTCTGTATCATAGCATCCTATACCTAAGCATCTATTGCTATAGTTGGCCCAGCCCTGTTTCTCTACTGCCGTTGGTACGTAACTTTCATGGTATGCGATCCACCATTCAGCGACATGCCAGCGGTGTTCTCCTTGGCCGTGATAGCACCCGCCTCCGCATCGTACTCGACGAATGCAATACCGCGGCGACCAGGCACCAGACGCGCTTCGCGGAAGCCGTCGAAGCGGCCAAAGATGCTGGTGAGCGCCTCGACATCGTAGTCGTCGGGGATGTTCTGGATGAAAAGGACCTTGTTCGGCGGGAGATACTCGTCGGGCACAACGGCAGCGGCAGAGGGTCCTGTCGCCTTGAGACCAGCGCCTCTCGCCGTCTTGGCTGGTCGTACGGCTTCTGGGCCAGCGGCACCGGGACGCTTGAGACGTTGCTGGTCTTGTGCCGCCTCGATGGCCTTCTTCTTGTCTGTTGTAAAGAACAAGATTATTAGCTATACTCCACTGGAGAATTCAAACATTCACAGCACCCATTCGCCACGTACCTTTCTCGGCGGTTCGTCGTCGCTTATGCAGCTCAAAGTCCTCCTCAGAGCCGAACGTCTTGACCGTCGCATCACTGCGTGTCCTTGCCAGCGCTAGCTGCATCGGTTTGTCGAAGAGCTCAAAGCCTTGGACTTCCTCGATAGCTTGCTGCGCAGCCTCGGGGCTGTCGAAGACGATGAACGCCTGGCCCTTGGCCTTCAGGTTCGTCTTGGCGACGATGTCGATGATGTTGCCATACTCGGAGAAGATCTCGCTCAGGGCCTCCTTCAGGGGCTCCGGCTTGACGCGCTCCTCGAGGTTGCGCACGTAGACACTGCAGATACAGAAAAAAATGTTAGTCCAATGCGGCCTACGTAGTGTCGGAGTGCAATGACACGTACGTGGCGATTGGGGGGCTCGACGCCATTTTGACCTACCGCCCTCAATGAGGTGGAGTGTGGTTTTACAGAGGCTATGCTGTTGCTGGAGAGCTCAGCTTTTGCTTGTGGTGCAAGAAGCGTCGATGTAGTGGAAAGATGCCTTCTTCCGCGAAAAGTCAGGTAGCCGCGCCACAGTATGCGCCTCAGCGACACTGTCTACGGAGGTGCTAGATATTTGGAGTTCGCACTGTTCCCTTCTGCACTGCCAGCTACCTAGCAGACTGAGAAAGAGCGTGTAGAACGACCACACGAGGAGAAAGTGAGAAATACCTTGGACAAAGCATTGCCAAAGGCTTACGTAGGAATCGGTAGGATCACAACCACCCCTTGGAGCAGTCACTTACTGCGTTATAGTGCCAAAGGGTCCCTTGATTAAACAAACAGAGCAACATGGGGTCTCAAGCTTTCGATTTTGGATTTCGAATATAAGACTTCGAAGTTTTATTTCTATACCCATACAAGGTATTACATAAGATTACAGCTCTTCCCAGAGCATCCGTCTAACACTGGATCTATATGCTCGTCTTCTCCGGTCTCATGCACTTCGGTGTGCCATCTTGATGGCTCATGTCAGGAACAATAAGGAAACTCTGCACTGCTCAAGCAGCCTTCTCCTCAACCTTCTCAGCAGGTGGTACCTCTACCTCTGGCCCCTTCGGCTCGTCTAAGGCCAGCTCGCTCCGTAGGTCTGGCAAGAAACGATCGATTCTCTTCCAGGTCTCAACCCACAGCTTCTCCTGCGACGGGTCCTTGCTAGGAGGCACCAGGTAGCCGCTGCTCGACATAAACAGGAGCACATTCTTCAAGTTCTCGGGCACTGCCTCCTCCTACAAGCATGCAATTAGCGAAGAAGTTAAGAAGGTATGATGAGTTGGAGCTTACCAAGCTATCGCCTTGACCACTATTCATGAGGCGATCCATGATATCGATAATCTTCAACCAGAGATCCAGCATGCCATCCCATTGCGAGAGCAAAACAAGGTATTGTAAGAACACCTTGCAAAGCAAAGATGAAGCCTGTACCCTTGTTTCGCTCATACCGTCACGATCTGAAGAGAACACCTCAGGCTTCAGTAGGGTTAGAATTAGAGGGAACAGGACTTCTCCAAAGATGGCTGTCCATTCGCTATGATCGCTGGAGGTCAACTCAGGTGACAAGAGGGACCTCTGCAAAGAGTTGACAGCGAGATGCCTGATCTCCCGGCATGGATTGGTACACTGAGTGGTCAATGCCTTGAAAATGGGAAGCCAGTAGGCGGACCATGCTGCTCCATCATTAGCTCACTTCACATGTTTATGACTTTCTTTCATACCTTCGCTGCTCTCCAGGTGAGATTGCTCTATTAGCTGCGGGATGCGAGAGGTCATGCTATAAATGATGTTTATGGCTTTGATACCCCTTTGCACCGTCTCATTGTCACTATGTTTGTCAGTTTTCGCTATTGCCAGAGGAAACAAGGTGGCTTGAAACATACCTATGGGTCTCCTTGACCGGAGTACGAGGTTTCCGCTGTTGCTGTTTGCGATCTACTTTCTGCTCCTTAACAGCGCCCACCTTTGCTGCTGAGGCGATATCATTGAGCAAAGCGATAGCTGCCTCGTAGTTATCAGCCATAATGGCAGTAGACGATGGGCTTACGCCACTCTCGAGAATGTCGAAGACGACTGGTGCAGTATCAGGGAAAGCGGCCAAGGCCCGCAAGATAGCCCAGAAATCAGGCGAGGTCATGATCTCATTTCGCAAGGGACCAGCCTCGTCGATGCAGAGCTTGAGCCCCTGGAGCACCAGCTGAGAGGTCTTCTTGAAGACGCCTTTCGGGAAGCTGGAGACAGTGTGTAGCAGGACGGGAGCCCGAATGAAGTCGTAATCCTGTAGGTGTTGTTGAGTCTCGTGGGTACCTGCATTATCCTTTACGGGACTTACATAGGTAGCTTTGAGGAGTCGGAAAAGGTAGAATGTTGCTCTTGCAACGATTATGGGGTGATAATTGTTGGTATCCCGTAGAACGGCTTGAAGAGCCTCAACAACCCGTTTGCCAAGCAACTCGGTGGACTTTTCGTCTCGAAGCGCAAGAACTGTACAGAATTCCAATATGTAGACCAAGCCCGGATCATACGAAGCACTGTTCTGAGGCTTTGCTCCATTGGGGGGAGATGAGGGCGGTGCGTTCTCAGCCTTGACCGTTATAACGATACCCGAGCTGTCTTCAGGAATCTGGTCAAGGAGAGCGTCCACCAATGCCTCGAGGCCTTCTTCTGGCAGATCCCTATGGAAGTTAGAGACTTAGTCTATGGAGGAAGAAATATACTTACGCAATATTAGCGAATACATCCCCCATTTGACATGCGTTGACACAATCAACAGTGCAAAGTGTGCTTTCTAACTCCTCATCTGACGGCTCCGGAGGATCGTCCGCCGCATAACTCGTGATGTATGATGTAAATGAGGCGAAAAAGCCAGTCTCGTTTTGCTTGGCAGCCCGGTCGATGATCTGAGAGGGATTTTGGAGGGGAATCGATGGGAGAGAAAGCAAACTCGAATCAGTTGAAAAGAATGAGGGTATTAGCGAATTGACGAAAAGGTTCAACCAGATCCGAATAATGTGCGCCCAGCCCTTGCGGATAACGTGCTCGTTGCTCGTCACAACCCGGAATAATACCAAAGTAGCAAGCTGCGCGCGGAAGTCTCTGCCTAGCTTAACAGCAAGCTCGCTAACCATAACACTGTTCTCACCGACTTGGACCTCTGTGTTCAAGTTTGTGTTTGATGGTATCTCGGTTGAGAGAGTGGTCATGAAACTCAAGGAGTAGATAATCTGATCCAGCGCTTCGGTAATGCCATACTTGGATGCTATCCTAGCACACTCGTCGAAACCAGAGACAACACGTGCAAAGACTGTGTCATCGGTTGCCGACATGAATACATAGGACAGCGTTGAAACAATTGGCCTCCATGTTGTGGCAAACATATCGGCGTCGTATATGTTGGTGTCGCAGAAAACCAGAGGTCCTGCAAAATCTGTTTTGGCAAGCAATTCTCTCCATGCATAATCGAAGGCATGCTGGTTGTCATGTTCATCTGGCAGGATGATTTCGTTTGTCTTGATCTCATCATATATGGCCTGCAGGTATTCAGGCGGGAAATCCTTCCCTCCATTCGAGCCGCGTAGATTTCTCGCAAAGGCCGTGAAGTCCATTCTCTTCTCTTTCTTGATGTTCGGATTGTGCTGGTCGGTATTGAGCATGATGACCGCAAAGGCGAGAATGAAGGCAGCGTCCTTGTCGGCAACCTCTTCTGCCTGTGCTTGCTCACAATATTTCTCTCCGAAGATTTCAACAATACGCTGGATCAATTGGGTCTCACCGGGAAGACGGAAGCTCTCCAGAACCACTCTGAGAGCTTCATCAAGACGCTTGCCGGCGAAATCAAACGCACTCATAAACTCGTCCAGGATGGGCTCATTTCCCCTCTTAGACAGGAATTCTCCCAGCACCTTCTTGTTCACCCGTGAAGTGCCCCTGAAGAATTTGCCGACGCACTTGGGATCACTGGCATTTTCAATAATGCCCTTGTCCTGAAGGTACGCAAGACCGCCTTTCGGGCTTTCGTTAAATTTGCTAGTGCCCTTCACAATCAACTTCTTCTTGCGACGCTGCTCTCTGAGCCGGTCAGGGTCAGGGTAGCCTTTAGTCGTGGGTGGTTGGTCCAGTCGCTCCGCAATAAACTGGATAAATCTCAGCAAAGCATCAAGACAGAGAGGAGGAACGCTAGTCGTGCTCCATGTTGCTGAGTCTGGTAGTGCATTTCGAGAGAGCAGCCCAACCATATCTTCACACAAGTCCGCGCGATCTTGATCACAGTCATAGTTGACAAACAACTCGACCATAAAAGTTGGCATCCTGGCAAGGACACCAATGCTTTCGACCATGGCTTGCCGTGCGTCTGGCTTGCGAGCACCACCCTCCATGCCTAGTTTTTGACGGTCTTTTATCGGGACAGGCGTTGAGCGGCCGCTGCTTGTCTGAGACGGAGGAGGCTTAACAAGCTTCGGCGTCTGGGGAATACCAGAATAGAGCGATGGGTCAATGCCAGCTTCTCTCGGAATCTCCACAGACGGGTGAAGACACGCTACCAAATATGACAGATAGAGCTCCTGCTGTAGCTTCAAAATTCCTCGGCAGGTTGAAAGTAGAGTACCCGCAACGATCAAAGACTCTTGGAGAATAGCCATGTTGTCCGATCTGACAAGCTGAAAAAGGTGGGAACATAATTGGTTCTCGGCGATTGAAGCCAAAGCAGGGTGCCGTGCTATTGACGGACCGGCAACCTCCAGGGCCACGTGAATGATCCGAAGAGCCATGACTCTCATCTGATCAGGGTGCTTACGATCATGGGGATCCAAGAAGCTGACAAGAACCCTGAAGAGCTCTCGAACGGAGGGAAGAGAGTACGGCCTGAGGTCTATAGAGGGCGTGTCTTCAGTTTCCGTAGCAGTGCTAGTTGCATCACCCTCCCCGCTTCCAGATGACTCGCCCGTACTGCCTTCCTTCTCGGAGCTCTCAGACGGGCGAGGGTCACTCGGCGTGGGTTGTGGGGATGCAGGGATGTCAGTCCCGTTTGCAGAGGGGTCCATCTTGACATTGTCCATGTCTCCATTGGTCTTCTTGTCCAAGGCATCACTCTCTTCACCAGCTTCCTCTTCCAGGTGCTTAAGATCCTCAAAGATAATCTGGCACATTCGCACCATAGAAGCCTCTGCAGTCCGTCTCAGGACCTCAGAGAACCTCGCCCGAGAGCAAATCGTGAGGCCCCGGCCCATCATGTCGCAGACGCTCTCGTCGCTGAGAATATCCCCTCCCGGCCCTGCGAGCATGTCCTCCATCAAGTGCAGTATCATCAGCAGAACAACCTCCTCCTGCGCTGAGTCGCTAATATCGAATTGGCAGTGGGTGATAGCCGCTGAAAGGGACTGCATGGCGAGGGCGAATCGAGGGGCGTCGGGACCAATGAAGCCGTACGCAAGGAACTTTCGAATAGCTCTCAGCGCCAGCACCGTTACGGGGGCAGCCGTGCCCTTGGTCTGTATGATCTGGAGGAAAGGATAGAGTAGCATCAAAGAATCGAACTTGTATATATCTTCTGCACGTTAGCCAACACACCTTCAGCAAAGCAAGTAGCTCCAACAGAGTCCATACCTTTGATTCCTGTCAACTCATGTCGCAGCCTTCCAAAGCCAGAGATCAGGGGATTATCCTGCATGCTCTTTCCCTTCTTGCCGCGCAGTCCCCACCTGACCAAGTCATTTGTGCCATCTCCCACCAGATTCGCCGCCTGGCTCTTGCTCTTGCTTCGCAGGCCCGGGCTCGGGGGGCCCAGCTGCACGGGGCTTGGTCCGCCGCCCAGGATGGCCGAGACGGACGAGTGCGGCGAGCGGGCGAACTTCTGGATCGCCGAGGTGATGGCGATGCACTCGGAGATGACCAGCGAGACGGGGTCGACGGCGACGGAGACCGGCCGGCTGCGATACTGCATGCGAGACATGTGCGCAGGCACTCGGCGGGGGAGAGGCGTCCCCGGCGCCGACAGCCCAGGCAGCGCTTCTGGTTCCATTATTCTGGGAACTGGGCCGCGCGCATCTCGACTCATCCTGCACTCCAGCAGGACAGAATCATGCGATTGGGGGGTAGGAGAAAGAGGGCGGGCGTCTCGATGGCAAGGTCTCTGCTGGCAACTCGTTTACGACCGTTGAAGAATGCGGGCGAAGGTCCCAGCGGCAAAATGAACACCTGTAGATCTCCTGGGGACGTGGCCAGAAAGATAAAATGCAAAGAGGTCTAAAAGAACGGGTGCCTGGTTACTGTAATTAAGAATCCCGAGCCTGGACAGATCGTTGGACACGTCAATGATTTACAATGACGCTGAACGTGCCCGAATGCTATGGCCGTAACTTTTGGACACATGGAGCTTCCCGAATCCGCTGCGTCGAAATGTCATCCGCTGGAGTAGGCTGGCAGCCCCCGGTCAGGCAGCTTTTGGCACCTGGCCACTCAGCATCAACCTTGGGAGGGCACGCCCCGCCAGCTGGCACTAGCCGATGTTAGCCTTGCCTTTCCTCCCCTGACAACTTGACCATATTACGCATCGGACAGCACTCATCTCGTGAATGAAAAGGAGTTGGAGAACAAAGAATCGATCTATGCTTGTCATTCGAAAACTAGACTAGAACAAGGCAGCTACGGATACAGCCTCAATAGTCGAGATATTCGACACGGTGATGTTGGTGTACCGATGATCTGTCCTAAACACCGAAAAACGCCCCTGCCATGAATCGTGCCCTCGACTCTGCTCAGTACTATACAGGATATTATGTGTCCTTTTCTCTTCCCATTCGCGCGGTCTGATAACGCCATTAACATGAACGAGGACCCATCTAGCCTGCAATCAAAGAGGCTGAGGAGGGGGGGATGAGAACAGACAACATATGCAAATCCAGCCAGGAATATGCCCCCACATGCTCTTCTTATGCATCCGTCGTGAAAGCTCATTGCTGCTTAGGGACGCCCTTAGCAGCACCGTCGGCAGCCTTGACCTTCTCCTGGACGGGCTTGCCATCCTTGGGCTGGGCTGGTACCTCAGCCGCCTGCTTCTTCTCCTGTTGGGCGAGCTTCTGCATGTCTGACTTATCCTTCTCCCACTGACCGTTGGCGTCGGCGAACTGCTCCTTGACTTTCTCCACCTTTTCTGCTTTCTGCTTCTCCTCAGCTTCCCGGGCCAGTCTCTCCTTCTCCATTTCCTAGAAAGAGTCAGCAAGCTTTCAAAAAATCTACGCTAGCAAGATATGATTTACCTCCATATGCTTGATATCGTCAACACTAGGCTCGTAAAGATGCCAGATCGTGTAGTGAGGCAATCCAACTACGGAGAAGTCCATTCTCCTTGCCATCTAGTAATCCGTTAGCTTTATCCATGAACTAAACCAGATCTGCTAGCCATACCTTTCCAAAGCCTTCTGTCTCAGCATGCTTCTCGAAGCTGAAAGCCGGGAAGTGCACTCCATAGCGGAAGACGCGGGCCTTGGCCAGGATACTGACACCTCCAACACCATCAATCTCCATCTCCATGTCCGGGTCACCATAAGGATCACGAAGGTAGGCCAAATGCGGGCGCCAAGTAGCATACTCCGCGTAACCCTCGACAATGACCGCATCCTCGTCCAAGGTGTCAGCCAATGCCAGGGCCGTCTCGGACTCCTGCCATGAGTTCAGATCGTACGGCTGCTCTCCGCCCAGCCAGTCAGGCAGCGGTCGCCACACATCTGGAATAAATTAGTATTCATGGCATCATTTTAATATGTCATGCCACACTCACTTGGAACGATGACATCCTTGTTATGGCGCATCAGATCCTCCAAAATAGTGAAGGGAGCCGTCTCCACGTCCACATCTCGCCAGTAGACCCAAGAATGGTACGGACGTAGGGCTGCGCTCAAAAGCCAATTCCGAGCCTGAGCCATGAGCTTTCTCCTGCTAGCCTGTGCCGCGAAACCGTGACGGCTCTCCACATCCTGGTTGACCTTCTGGCCAAAGTCCTTCTCGATGATCGAGATCTCGCCGTAGTGCTGCGCCGGGTCCTCGTCGGCCTGAATCTGCTCGAGGCTCTGCGACAGCAGGTCCAGCGTCCTGTCCTTCGAGTCGCTGACCAGGAAGGCGAGGTCGATCAGGTGGTGCGGGTAGGTGAAGTTGCGCAGGTGCGAGAAGAACATGGGCAGGTGGTTCTCGGCGTCGCGCAGCGGCACGCAGAGCAGGATGCGCTCCTCGCGCTCCCAGCCGCGGGCGGTGCCCTGGACATTAGACAGGTCGTAATACCGCACCGTCTCCAGCTGGAAGTCCTCTGCTCCGGACAGCAGGCCGAGCGAGAAGAGCCCTGCGATCGATCCCTTAGGCCAGACGAACAGGCCAAACAGCGCTACCACCGCGAGGACCACCGCGATTCGTACGAATAGACACCGTCGTCTTCGGAAGGCAGGCGTCGCACCTCGAGGCTGGAATCTGGACAAGGTGAGAATTGTCAGCAAAATCTGGGCCCAAGAATCGTGGGAAGCTTGCTTGATGCTGGGATTTGAGATGGATAGCTGGGCTGGGTGGTGGGATAGGCAGGGGGCAAGAAGGTATCTACCTGTGCGGCGAGATCTCAAAGGTGTCTCCTCTTGGGTATCCGTTTGCGAATGCGCCGGCATGATGCCGTGCCATCACCTTGGACCCGGAGGATGCATATGAGGGCAGCATTGGGTCGGGTGCTGTTGTGTGAAGTCGTGTCGTCGTCGGTCGTTGAACAAAGTTTCACTTTCCGAGGGTCCTGCAAAGCCACCCCGTTGTCCCCCTGGAGCCAGACGAAATCTACCGCCCAGCCGGGAAATGTTTGCAGTCAGGTCACTATTGCACATGCGCCAGGGCCGGGACGCAGGACAAAGGTCTTAGATGAAGAAGCCCCGAGGGTTTATCGCATGGCCATCGGGGATAGAAGGAAATGCTGTGTCGTGCTGGTGATGAGGGATGGAATTATCTCGTATTCAGGTGCCACGGGCCAGTCAGTAAACGGTGTCTGCATCTGCCCTCGCTGCTGGCGCGCGAAAATGCTAGGCTACGCTAGCTACATAGTAAGGTATGGGTATGGGTACCGGTAGGTGTGATAGGGAGGTAAGGTATGCACTGGATGGGGTACTACAGTAATCCAGGGTGACAAGCCAGCATGTAATTGGTGAATCGAGTCCGTCTTTTTTATTGTCAGCTCCCCTTTTTCCCAGCGACGTAGGACCCCTTGGCGGCCTGGTCAGCTCTCACACACGCTAAAGCTGCCGCCAGAGTGCTGTTTGAAATGTTTCGGCAGGGGTGCCTCAAGCCACACGATCATCATCACTGCTCGACTTTGGCCCTAGCTCAAGAAGGATAGACACGCCTCTTTGCGGCTCCACGCGATAATTTCATACAAAATGAGGGCTTTCATCACAGATATGACCGCCGAAATACGTTACACGCCACGATTTTGTTACATTCAGCGATAAGGATTCAATTTTGGCTACATTACACCTACCCATGAGGTCATCATGTACTGAAATCCATCGCCTTGAGCTCGATGTCTAGCCTCCTGAAGACAAGGACGTACACTAATTCAGGCATGGATGGTTCGCCAAGACAGATATGGCCATCATCAAGATACAATAGGCAGTTCAGACTGCCAACAGACAAGAGGTGCATGTATAATATCGTGAGTCGGAATACAGCGGTTGCCGTATTAGCAGAATGGCAAGATCTGAAAGCTTAGTCAGTAAATGTACAACCAACAAGTTGCAACAAAGCATCATGAACATATTCAAGGGTATTGAATCAGACAAGCCATGTTTAATCAGCCATACCGACCCGCCCAAGAGCACCCGAGTGTCAAGACGACCCCCGAGCCCCCTCGAGCATTGGAACTAAATTACATCCCCGAAGGGACAACTCCACAACCTGTCATCACTGACCGTGAGGCCAGCTATGGTGCGGAAGAATGGCTCGGCCCGTATACATCGTAGAATGGATAAGCTGTTGTCATCATGAAAGAAATGGGAGGTGCAGGGGAGATGAAGCAAGACGGAAAACCAATAGCTTACCATATCACACATGGCAGGATGTAATCGGAAATGTTTGTCAGTCCCTATGAATCTGTAACATCAAGTCAGCAAAACGAAATCTTTAAGCTGGTGGGATGTCAAATGACAAGAGTGTAGCATGATCAGATAATGTTTTGGTATAGGGTTTGTCATCAATAGATTCAGTAGCAGAACTGAAAAAAAGGTTTATCATCATGATGCATGGGGTAGGCGAGATGAGGAAACGTGAGGTATAGCTTACCAAGTAAGTATAATCAGGGCAAGACCAACTACTAGAGTGTCTAGACGAAGCTGTATCGCCATCAGCATGATGAGCACATCTCGTTGAGGGCACATGATCGGTGATAGAAATGGTGCTTCAGATGGTAGTGCATGTTAAGTTCGTTCGCTCAGGTAATCGCGGGAACAAGTGGATATGATTTCATCAACAGCAGAGCTGGAGATGCCGAGGAGGATTGGAGAGCAAGCTTGAACGTACCACTGAGTTGATCCATCCCCATTGCTTAGGAAAACGAGACATAGGAGAACTAAAGCAAAGGCTCAGGCAGAGTCAGGTCGAAGCGGTAAGCGAGAGAGCACACGTTCCAGCATGAAACTCCTTCCGCTGATCGAGAAAGAAATGTTAGCCAAAGCAGCTGAGGTTAGCATTGCGCAATCGGCACTCAGCAATGAAGCTGTGCATCGCGTCCCGGAACTTTGGTGTCGGTCTACAAGTGATGTGAAATTTTGGGAGAGACGAAATTTGAAGTCGCGCTTTTTAGCTGCAGGAAAAAGGTTGGTCATGTGTGGCCCCACAAAAAGTCCGAACATCTGTGGCTGGTGGGAAATTCGCTGTGGCTTTCTAGTTGAAGGCTCCTCTATCAAGGCTCGAAATTTACCCAATCTGAACGTGCAAACGAGCAGTCAGCCATCAAGACAAAAACATCTCACAGCAAGAATCCTCCCACGTCGACTTCTCATAGCGCAGTAAATGACTGACAGGAGGCGAATCAATGGGCCGGTGGGAGGAACTCTCCCCCCGGTTTTCGCAGGCGATGATCTTTCACAAACGAAGACCACAACTTTTGAGAGAACGAGGCAGCCCAATGCTATACGGAAACTTTGTCAGTCAAATCTATGTAGCTAATTTTCGAAAGAAACTTCTAGCTGATACATATCTAGTTCTCAAAACAGGTGTGACTCCTTCCGCCTCAGGGTCTGCATACCTTGAGGTCGAAACAACAGCAAAGTCAGGGGTGTCAGGGCTTAAGCTAAGCTGCACAGTCCATGGGCCACGAGCACTCCCCAGATCTGCGCCATTCTCACCTCACATCGTTCTCTCTGCTCACGTCAAGTACGCGCCGTTTGCAACAAAGCAACGGCGGGGCTACCTGAGAGACTCGACAGAGCGAGATCTAAGCATCCACCTTGAGACTGCACTCCGGGGCGTGGTCATTGCGGACCGATGGCCCAAGAGCGGTGTTGATATCATCATCTCTGTTATCGAAGGGGATCAAGACCGTGGTCTGTCCCGGGGCGACTACGACGAGGCGTGGGACACAATGAACGTCCTTAGTGGGTGTGTCTCCGTCGCATCTGCTGCTCTCGCTGATGCCGGTATTGACTGCGTTGACACTGTCGCCGGTGGAGTTGCTGCACTCGTGGCTGATGGAGAAGAGTCTACACCGAGAATTGTGGTTGACCCCGTACCATCACAACACAGCAAGGTCCTAGCCGCCTGTTGCGTTGCATATCTACCCACTCGCGACGAGGTTACCAACCTCTGGTTCAAGGGTGATGTGCCTGCATCAGATGCTTCGACCTACACGAAGATGATAGAAAACAGCATTCTAGCTTCACGAAAAGCTAACCGGGTTCTTGTCGACTCTCTAAACGAGACTGTTGTGCAGGCTCGATGATGATATAGCAAAGGCCTTTCGGGCAGACACTTGAATTTACACACAAGCCTCTCGCGAAACCCGCCACATCAGCTAAAAGAAAACACCCAATGAGCTACGATCTGATGAGAAAGGCATCACACACGTCGAGATTGAGACGGCCAAATAACTATCAGCCCTGTCTACCTACCTCAGAAGGGCGTTGCTCGAGAATTCCCGAATGGATTCTGCAAAAGGCCTTGTCTAGGCGGATTATCTCCTCAGAGTAAAGGATGGGGTTGATTGCTAGAAGTAGCCCTCAGGAAGCGACCACTGGCCATATATCAGTAGGTATGGAAGCTGAGATAGTCATATCGTTGTCTGAGAGCTTGTGTTACTGGATCAGTGGCACATCCATCCATTGACTCAATCTCAAACTTTATGATAGCTCAAGGCTGCCCTTATCTTACCGCCAGAGATAATCAAACAAACCTGCTTGCAGCCTTCCTGCCATCGCTGTTAAACCTTATCCATGCGTGACTTATTCTCAATACATGTATGCACGTATATGGCCGCAAATGCTCTATAGCAAGCAAGAAGTGGGTGAAGAGTGCTCTTGAAGTTTGCATATCCCAGCACCCCGGATCGTGGCAGATCAGTTAGGGCGGGGGACCATGCGGTTTCCAGGGGTTTGCTGGCCCATTTAGCAGCCTGCATTCGACAGTCGCTCCTGCAGGTTCAAAGGTTACGTTAGAGCACGCAATTTGGGCTTCGAAGTACCTCGCTGTCTGACCTCTTACGTATTTCACGAGGTGCAGGTCCGTGGGTGGTACTTGCGCCGGTTGCGTTTATTAGCGAATCTAAAACGACGACCCCGCTGTCTCAAAAGTGGGCCGCGGTCACTTCAAGCTGTCCGCCGGGCGGGTCGCGACACCTGAGTGAGGTCAGGTTCAACTAACTATCCGTAGGCCGGCTGGCTGGCTGGCGCTGATAAGCCACCCACAATCAGTCAGTCAGTCAGTACATGTGAGATCGTAAGTCCCTCCTTCAACACCTCTACCTCCATCTCACTGTACAGCAAGCACCAACACGATCGCGATCACAGCTGCAGCCGTCTCTACCAACGACGTGCTCGCATCGACTCTCTTCCCCCGAGGATGGAGATGTCCCGTCCCTTCCAGTGAATCCTCAACTAGTCGATCGCTACCTCGGCCATCCTTTGTCCCCGGCACAAGGTGGCCAACAACACCCCGACCGAGCCGCACCTGCTCCTCGTCCCTCGACGACCAACCATCGTCTCACCACACAGTTGCAGCCATGGAGGGTGCCGTAGTGGTGCCGTCGCCCGCTGCGGCATTCAACAATGCTACGATGTGGAATAACTTCACCGTGTGGACGACGCAGCATCTTGGCGTAAACATGACTAAGTTCGCTCCGTCGTTCGAGGATCTGGTCTGGGCAGGACCGAGAATGGTCATGAAGCTGGGAAAGCTGGGCTCCTTTATATCCTTCCCCGACGCCATCGACGGCTTCGGTCAGCGCGTCATTCCCGATGCTACCGGTGCCAACCATGTCTTCTCCGCCGGCGCCCCCGCCGCCAGCAGCTTCGTCACCAACAACGCCCCGGCTGCCGTGGAATCGCTCGCCGCAGACCAAGACCCGGCGGCGATTGTATCACGCTTTTCGATGGAGGGTGCGAGAGGACTGGGAAGCGTATTCAGCTACGCAACGAGCAAGTGGGCCCTGTGCTGCATTGCCATGGCCGTTGTCTTGAACCGCACACACATCTTCGCCGCTACCCGACGACGACTTCGGCTACGATTGCCGGTGCGATTCCTCCTCCGCATCGTGCCCATCGTTCTCTTCGTGCTCCAGGCACGCAGTCTACTACAATCCATACAATGCCAGACCTCCCCTGACTTTTCCGAATTACGTTGGGGCAACGCAAGCAAGAAGTCCGATCTGATGTTTGCGCATAAGAACGCACTACTCCATGGGCTAAGTTCTACCCTTCTGTTCGGCGCTTCCGACGAAGAGTCTTGCCTTGCAGTACGCATGATCCCGCCTGATGACCGTGCAAATCCGGAACTACGCGGCTCCTTGTCCCTCTTGTGGCCATTATTCGGGACCTTCTGTATGAGCCAGTTCCTCGAGACCGTCTCATGCGCCGTACAAGGCCGACCTGTGGCCGCCGAGACTGGGATGACTCTTTTCGAGCATTCTCTAGCATTTGCTGAGGCTGACGCAGCCGTCAGCAACCAATTGGGGTGGGGTCTATTCAGTCCTTCAGCAGGAAACTCTACCTCGCAAGCAAACATAGGAACTAACATCGCTATCAGCCGGGCTATGATCCTGAAGAGGGTGAACACGCCACCTGAGGTCCTCCTTGTCGCTTTCTTGTCCACCATGAGCCACATCAGCAGCCATGTCCTTGGCGTCTTTGGCCTCCAGTCCAAGTTTCGCCTGATCAGCACCGGATTCTGGGCACTTTGCTTTATGGCTAGTATCATCTGGTATACCATCACATTCTCCCTCGAGGACCCAGCAGGACAGGGTCTCCTTAGATTCCCAACGGTTTGCATTATTGGCTTTATACCTCACGTCTTGGTACTCGCAGGGATCTTCATTTGTTCCTCGATCTACTCTCTGGCCCTCCTATTGTCTGCGGCAGCGACACCACGTACCGCTGGAGATGGGTCTCGACTGACATTCAAGGAGAGGCTCTTACGGGCGCATCATAATATGCAGGCCAACGTATCCCTGTCTGACCTCCGAATCACGATGGAGATGGACTTTTACACCGCGTTACTTAGGGCTGGCTTCGGTGCCATCACAATGGCGAGCGAGGCTGTGTACCTAAACGAGGACAGGCAAGTCAATCTTAAGCGTTTTACTTGGCTGGAGGAGGAGCGGTTCCGCGAGATCGAAGACCTCAAGATGCAATGGAGCGGAACTGGGGTTCCTGGCTCGCGATACGACTCGATCGGCGCCATAGGCTTGGTGCCGGTCAAAGAAGGCCAAGTAGGTGCGTCTAGCGGCTATTCTCGCGAAAGGGCGGCTCAGAAGGTGTCCAAGTCGCGAGCAGGCGAGCGCAGACCTGTTCGAGATGGTGTTGGGGCTGCCGAGCGAAGTGGGCGATGGCTGATGGCGATGGAGTATATGATGCACATCAACAAGCTTGTGCTCACCGCTTGGGCCATAGCAGCTTGCAGATTCCTTGCGGCGTTGGGCATGCAGAACCCGCCTTCATGGCTGAAGTGGCTCTCCTCAAGGCCGAAGGCTGGACGGCCAGAGGAGAAGCGTCCCGCCGAAGAACAGGCCCATGAGTGGCTTGCTGCCCGGGATGGCGTCATACAAATTCCTCGTAACGACGGAGTGGACGTTGAGTATGAGCTTCGTCGGAGAATCCCCAATACTGAGGGCCACCACTGGCAGAACGATATTCCACGGGAGCAAGAGGTCGATAATAAGCTTTATAGCTGGTGGCTTAAAGGCGGTTGGTGGGGAACAACCGACACAAGCGGTGACTACGAACCTACAGTTGTGGAAGACCCGGATTTCGATGCTACAAGTGTCATCTCTACGACAGAGACGGACATATCAGCAGATTTTGGCAGTGAGGCAGACTGGGAGTCCGACGATGGCAACAATGACGGCGTGCGGACGCCTACACAGCGCTCGCCGTTTGCTTCACGAGAAAGCACACCAATGATGGATCATCCCATGCAGATGACCGACCTCGCTCGGCTGTTACATCCACGAAGCCCAGCCGAACGAGAAGAAGCACGGGCTCTAGCAGCTCATTTCGGCAATGAAGGGATCATGACCCGCTCAAGCTATCGACGTTTCGAGCAACGACAGCGATCACAACTCCTCTTCTCGAACCACCAATTCCGAGCTCCGGCGAAGATGACGCCGGACGAGGAGGCAGAGGTATTAGAGCAGATTCTAGTCTCCCGCCGAGCCGCCGGCGCAGTGACTGCCGGAGCAGCCGCAAGCAACATGGCGGAATCGTCCTGGGCCACTGGGGCAGCTGGCCTCGGCCCAGACGGGCCGCAGTGCGTCATCTGCCAGAGCACGCCGCGCACGATCATCGTCTGGCCCTGTCGATGCCTGAGTCTCTGCGACGACTGCCGGGTGTCATTGGCTATGAACAACTTTGACAAGTGTGTCTGCTGTCGACGGGAGGTCATCAGCTTCAGTCGCATCTATGTACCTTAGACCATTGATTTTTGGACACAGGTTTGAGGACTATTACTTAGGCTTTTTATCACACTATGGGCCCGAGCGAGGGTTGGCGTTAGGACATAGTTTATTTGTCATAGCATTACAAGCGTAGCAATGATACCGAGTTTCTTTTACTCCAATTACACGCTAAGTCGCCGAGTCCTCTTCCTCAAGAGCTCAGCGATCTTTTCACGACCTTCCTCAGAGGCGTGTGCCAGGGGCGTCCAGTTGTTGTTGTCCTTCGAATTTGCATCCAGTCCATTTTCAAGTAGCAGCTTCACCGTCTCTAGATGTCCGTACCTAGCTGCCGATGTCAACGCCGTCCTGCCCTTAGCATCTCTCATCTCGAGGTCAATATTCTCCGCCTTCAATAACAAACTGAGAATATATAAATCCCCATGTCCTGCGGCTCGTCCCAGGATCGTTTGACCGTCATCAAAGGTTGCACTTAGATCTGCCCCCAGTGAGAGTAACACCTTGATAACATCCGCGCTTCCGTACATTGACGCAACTATGAGAGCTGTCCGGCTCCTACAATCCCTTGCTTCAATATTAGCTCCATGGTCAATCAACAGTCGTGCTATAGCATCCCAACCGCTCTGTGCCGCCATTATGAGAGGCGTACGGCCGCTGCTGTCCCTGTTTTCAATATCAGCTCCATGGCGAATCAGCAAATGTGCCACAGCATAAGAACCACTGCTTGCCGCGCCCAAAAGTGGTGAAGAGTTGTCGAGATCCTTTGCGTTCGGGTTAGCTCCTCTCTGGAGAAGTACTGTAGCATACGGCAGACCAAAGTCGGATCTGCTCCGGGCTAGCCACGATAAGAAAGTGTGACCTCCTGCATCCTGAATGTCAAGGGGAAAGCCCGTCTCACGTAGGAGTTGACACATTCTGGGTGTTGGAGAAAACACCGCGGATTGCAAAAGCTCAACCATCCAATCACCCTTCAGGTGCCCTTGGTACTTTTTCCATCTGATAGAGCGCCTATACCTCGGAAAAGAAAATAGCGTGAGTGACAGCTTGGCAGGGGTCCATGACTTCGAGCTGATTCCGCCCTCAGGCAAAACCTGTACGACATCTTGGTGCCTTGCCTCGGCTGCGCAACAAAGAGGAGGATAGCCGCTTCTGTCCTTTCCCTCCAGAGATGCTCCCTTGTCAAGCAGCAGCCTGACAGTGGTCACCTTACCGCGCTGTGATGCCATTAGCAATGCTGTTCGCCCGCGCTTATCCCGAGCATTTGCATGAGCGCCACCATCTAATAATGATTTGACAACGGCCGCGTGGCCCAGTGCTGAAGCCCAACGTAAGGGTGTTTGACCGGTCCCATCTCGGATCTCTGTGTCAGCACCCTTCTCCAGCAATAGTCTGACGATGGGCTCGAAGCCACTTAATGCAGCCCACAATAAGGGTGTCTGGCCATTCTCATCACGTATTTCCACGTTGGCACCTTTCTCCAGCAATAACCTAACGATAGACTCAAACCCTTTCTTTGCAGCCCACAACAAGGGGGTCTGAAGGTTTTTATCAAGTGTTTCGGTATTAGCTCCCTTCTCTAGCAATAACCTGACGATAGGCTCGAAACCATTCTTGGTAGCCCACATCAAGGGTGTCTGATAGTTCTCATCACGTATCTCCACATTAGCACCCTTCTCCAACAATGTTCTGACAATGAGTTCGAAGCCACTTTTTGCAGCACATAACAAGGGTGTTTGACCAGTCTCATTATTTGTTTCCAAGTCAGCGCCGTTCTGCAGGAGTAGCTTGACGATGGCCTCGAAGTTCTTCTTTATGGCACATAATAAGGGCGTTCGACCAGTATCGTCAAGTGTTTCCATGTTCGCAGCCTTGTGTAGGAGTAATCTAACGATAGCCGTGTGGCCGGATATCGATGCCCATGTTAAAGATGTTCGTTGGTTCTTGTCTTTTGCGTCCTTTAAAGCACCCTTATTTAGCAACATCTCAGCAATAGTTTCGTGACCTCGAATCGATGCCCACAGTAAGGGTGTTCGGCCGTATATATCACGAGTCTCCACGTCAGGGCCCCTGGCCAGTAACTGCTGAACGATACATTCGTGACCTTGAAAGGATGCTGCTAGTAGAGCCAACTCGCCCCAGCCTATCTGAGAAGTTGGAAAAACTTCAAAATCGGCGAGAAGGTTTATCACTTGAGTGTTTGATACATCCGGCCATTCTTCTGTGTTTGAAAGACGAGCTTGGGGGTGGCTCTGACCCAGTAATTTGATAATGTCCAGGTGCGCTCCTCTTGCAGCACGTACAACCGCCTCGTGCATGTCTTCAGAACCCATTTTCCCTGTCTCTAGAAGAAGCTTCACCGCTGTATAATAGCCTTCGTCGACAGCAGTCATGAATGGTGACCACCCATAAGGGTTCTCAACAAGTACGTCAACTCTACCGCTTTCGAGGAGTAAGTTGGCCAAGAGCTCGCGCCGGCGATCTAAAGCAAGCATGAGTGGTGTCCATCCATCTTGGTCTTCCTTATCGACTCTCGTCCCCTCGAAGAATAAGTAGAAGTCGACCAAAACCTCCTGCCCGCGATCCAAAGAGGGCAACAATGGCTTCATTATCGTGGTAGAATATACAACATTCAGGTCAACTCTGTCTGTTGCTATTAGCTGCCTCATTGTCTCCAAATTTTCATTTTCGATAGCCCAAACGATTGGAGAGAGCTCGTTTTGTTGAGTCCAGGATAGCAAGGTCTCACCACGCCCATCGGTTACATACGCATCGACGCCGTACGCTGCCAGGAAACGTAGCACAACTTCAGTGAAGCCAGATCTGACAGCCCAGGCCATTGGTTCCTTACCATAGCTGTCGCCTTTCTGGAAATCCCACCCATCTGCGAGGAGAGAATCGACAAGCTCGAGGTTGCCGTAGTGAGCCGCTAGGTGCAGACCTGTGATCTTGTTCGGAAGTGTAGACCCTCCAATGAACCAACTCATCCAATTGAGAGTGCTCTCAGCCTGGAGGGATGCTTTCATCTTTGGTTCGCAGCACAGAAACGGCTTCAGAACCTCATACGAAGAGGGCGCCATTTGAGCATGGTAGCTCCAATAACATGCTGTATAGGTGTAAAAGGGATTTAGCTGACGCCTTTGCTGAAGTTCATCTCTTGTTTCACAATACCCGCTCTCGAACGTGGAGAAAGAGAGATACGTGACACAAGTTTGCAGCAGACTGGTCTCTACATTTGGAAACCAGTCCTCCCGTGTTCGTTGAAAGTACTCTTGCGTTGTATAATGTACGAGGCGGATACAATCACTTCTCTTGTCGACTGTAACCAGTCCAGCACAGACAGATACCATGTCTTCAAGCGGCGTAAGGTTTTCCGGATCTAACTCAGATTCGCCGGGTTCTACAGCTATTGCGTGTTGGAGCTCAAGTGAAGTAAGGGGTCTCTTTGCGCAGACGATCCATGACAGCACTTGCGTCGCCAGACGTACCTCCTCTTCAATTTGTCCAGAAATTCGCTTCATAGCTTTTTCGTATGCAAAGTCATATGCCTTCTTCTCGGAACCTGCTGGTAGGGTCGACAGGGCCTGTCTGATAGCTTTCGGGGATGTTTTGCCTCGTAATAGATCGAAATACAGCTTAGCTAGAAGAAACCTGTAAAGCTATCAGCACTGAAATCTAGCCTATGATGGAAGAAACTCACATTCCTTCTGCTGATCGGACGATATCGGATTTGATTTCTTCTTGCAAAATTGAATTGTTCCTTACGCAACTTGAAAGCTGGCACAGATGGCTGTTGACATATTTTCGAACATCTTCAGTGCTGGCAACAATCTCTAAGGTGGCGTTTCGATCGAATGCATCTTCGATCTCCCGAATAAATCTCGAAGTTGCAAAGAAGTTCACCTTCAGTTTGGATACTTCCTTCAATAGCATGCCAAGGGAGCCATCAGCGGTTGAGCATTCGTCAAGAGCATCAATCACGATGAACACCCTAGTAAACATAGCAACAACAGATTGTAAGACTTTTGAAAGTTTGTCCAATGGCGGTCGGGTTCGTCTGGAGTGGTGCTGCTCGTAGAGGTCTCTTAAGCTGGTGGGAAGGGAAGAACGCATTTGGCACAACTGCTTCAAAAGACTTGCGAGCAAGTCATCGGCCGTTTGCTGGGCTTTCTTATTGTAGTTACAATAAATGTAGGCGATCCCTATGTCACTGTCCAGAGCATTGTCGGTTTGAAATGTGTTGTATAGATAGTCGATGACAATTGATGTCAGAATAGTCTTCCCGGCTCCTGGAATACCAGGGCAGAATAGGATATGCTCGTCAGATTCGATCCATGCTTTAAAGTCTGTTGAGTCGAGAAACCACTGTCCAGTTCCTGGTTCACGTCCGCTGAAGAAGTCACTCTGTTGAGGTGCATAGTCAATCGGCGTCAACCATTCAAGAATAGTCTTGTCCTCTTTATTCACTTGTACTTGGTCGCTGTTTTGCCTTAATTGGTTGATCCCCTTATTTAGGTCATTTTGTGACTGCTGTATCCGAACGAGATCGCTACTCAATTTTGCATATTGAGTTTGGGTTTCTAATGAGGTAGATATGATCATTTCGACCAATAGAGATAACTGCGTTGTATTTTCCTTGGAATTCTTTTCGAGTTCCTGAACCAAACTCTGATACTCAGCAGTCAGAGCTAGCATCAGCAACCCCTTCTCTCGCTCGATTGTGTCAATCATTTTCTCCACCTCTTTACTCTCAAAGGGCCATTTCAAGGCTGTCATTATCTTGCTCTCGGTGTCTTTGGGTGCTAATTTAGCTTTAACAGTATTCAGAGCAATCGACAGGCGACAGAGTGGCGCATTTGGCCTCTCCAGGGCTTGGATTCTTCTGGCCCATGTTGCGTCGTCTTTCGAGTCACCTCTCTTGGCTTTGAGTTGTTGCAGAACGTCATTGCAAGCCTCCAGTTCTTCACGGAGGCGCTTCCGCTCCTTTTTCGCTCCCTTGGCTCTGCTGATGAACCCTGTTACCTCGGTTGATAACTCTATTATGGCGATGATACTAGCACCGGCGCCGAGAGCCTCCATCTAGGTAGTCTGTCTTTAAACTATTGTCGCTCGAAGGCTGCACTCCAAAGCTCGTTAAACATTAGCTGTTCAAGTGTGTCCCCAATCTTGAAGAAGAAAATTCATGTCGATTAGGTACAGTCTGTCTGAAGAATCGTCTTTCTGTCATCTCTAAGCCCGAAGCGACCTCCCAGAGCCTCGTGGAATCCAATACCTTTCATTTGCGGGGGTGACACACCACCATCTTTCTCCGCGTCTGCAATGCTGCCTGGGGCAGCCCAATTCTCCAGTGCTCGAGGCTCATTCTACTTTTAGAACATCATCATCACATCTTATGATTGACGGAGCGAATTTGATGCAATATAGTACGTTTTAAGATGTGAGCAATCTTATGGCTATTGAGTGACCTGCTGGACTTGACAGCCGAACTACATACCTGCCCATTCTAAGCAAAACGCTCTCACTGGGCGATTATTACTGCTGTCTCCTTGCGAATCATCTTCTTTCGAGGCCTGGCCACCTATGAGAAATCCCTTCTTCACCGCAGTGCCCAACCGTCCTCCGCCCACGATATCAAGCATGGTGATCTCCTCTTCCCACTCGAAGCTCGTGGCTATGAAATGAGCATGATACCGGAACGGGTCGCCAGGATAGACACTGTAGTCTCCGCCAAAACGTAGACCGGGAGTTATATAGTATCCGAGCGAGTTGAGGTGTGCATAAAGTGGATAGGAATGGGGTGTGTCTATTAGAGCAGTACTCTGCGCAGTCGGGTCGACAAGATCTGAACTGGCTGTTGGTGTAAGATGTACATGCTGCTTGACGACAGCGCGCTCTACATCTTCCTGGGGTTTCTTCTCTGAAGGCTCGGCAACTTCAGTTGAGAAGAGCGAGTCTTCGGCTTCATTCGAAGCTTCAGCAGCCTTTTTCGAATTCTTCTTAGCCCGTGCCTTGAGGCCAATCTCTTTTCTAGCAGCTTGCTCCTCATCTATTGCCCGTTGTGCATTCCGTCGACGGGTCTTCAGAGATTGTATGTAGGCTGCGCGGCTGCCCGCGTCATGGGAAGTAAGGCGTGCTAGGTGAGACGCCGTATCGTCTACAATGTAGCCTGCTCCTTTCTCAACGAGTAATTTAGCTTCTTCGGGATAGAGTTCTATCGGCAGTCCTTGAAAGATATTCTGGGTCGGGTTCTGTGGTGTGGTCCCCACAAACACGGCGCAGATGTTATGATTTCGGCGAAGAGAGGACACGTCCTCTACGTCGAAGACAAGATACCTCCCCGCTATCTTAGTGATTCTGACCGGCTCGATTTCCGTTGAGGCTGCCATCTATGCGGCTTCCTAATACCGAGCAATTTGGTCAGCTTCAACTCCTTGGTAATAAACATGGAGAAGTCTTAGAAAGGAAGTCCAATATCATAAACAATTTGTTGTATCGCATTCAGCACAGAAATATCTCAGGGGATTGACAGATTATGAATACATTATGTAATCATATGGCAGGCTTCGAACATTCAAGGAGAGTAGCACTTACACGAGGGTGCAGTCGTGGTCGATAATGGGAGCTTGATGATCTTTTTGAGTCAATCGAGGAAAATTTGGAGAGCTCCATTGCTCCAAAGTGGCAGAAACTGGGCGGTGAGCCACCCACCCCGCATTATGCAGAAGCCGAATTACAGTGTGCACCACCCCTGCAGAGGCGCTATAATTCGAAGCTAGGAATGCCATGCTAGAAGGTAGACGAGGAACTTCTTTGTCACCAGCTCAGAACTCGATGCCGTCCTTAACAGTACTAGCAGGTGACTTTTCCTTGTTGTCGTCATCTTCAAGCGGCGGAAGACTGTAAGGTTTGATGACCAGCCCTTTCGAGCTACTTAGGCTGAAGGATAGATCCTCCCGGAAGTGATTGCCCTCGGCACCACCACCCCCCTTTTCATGGTATATAGGGAGACTGTGTACTCGAAGAAGGCCCTGGCTTCGATCGGCATCTTTCGTGGCAGATTTTGAACTTGCTGAAGGGGCAGCAGCCTTGTTGTCTGGCGGCAGTGGAATCAACTCCAATACTCCATCAGACAGAAGCTCCATCCATCGTGTCAAGCCATTGCTCCTTGGATGCAGAGACACCGGAAATGTAATCATCGCACTGAGCTGGCTGCTATATTGGCGCAGCAGAGCCCTCAGAGAATGAAAGAATTGCAAAATCTCTGTTGGGTGGCAGATGCCCGAAGGGTACAGCGTTGGCGAGAGAAGACTGGGTACCACAACTCGATGTATGGTAGATGGTGGCGAGCCGGCAATCTTTGTCTGCACGTTTTTGAGAAACTGCCGTAATGGTGATTGATTACCGAAGGCCTCGGAGCGAAAGCTGAGAGGGCTTGATGCCGGTGTTGCAAGCAGCGACCCTTTGATCGCCGCAGGGGCCAGTCTTTTTGTCAAGTCAAAGTTATGGCAGAAGATGGCTGTCGCTGCACCATCTTTGTCCCGGATGGGTAGACTACCAGCATTGCGATTTCCCAGGGTCTCGTATCTCCATGCAATTTTCATTTTCTCATCAGGAGGTGCTTGAGACTTTGCTATGTCAGAAGCTTCTTGGCGGGCGGCAAGAGCTGGAAGCTCATGTCGCCAGGTGTCCCCGAAGCCCAGAACATGAACCTGATGACCTTGGACGAGACCTTCCGCACCGTAGTAGCGCAAGATGACACCAGAGAAGTCCGTAGTTCCTTGCTCTTCAATTAGCAGAGATGTTCCAAGTGGAAGTCCGGCATGGCCAGCGAGGAGCGTATCAAGAGACGCCGTTCCCGTTGAGGTTGTGAGGCGGCCATCGAGTGGTGATGGGCGAAGGCCCGGCGCGAGCTGCTTTTCAACTCTCTGTGCTGGACTTTGTGCAGAAGCAGCGGACGAAAGGACCGCGCTCCTTTTTCGAAATGACATGTTCAAGCCGGCTTCATTGTAGAATTTAGGCCGATCTACTGGAGACTTTTACCCGGTCATTGGTATGTCAAGCAGCCTTGCATGATTGTCAAAAAACTTTTGCTGTGCCTGTAGCTCGATCTGTAGTGGAGGGGAGCGCCAAAATTCTGCCATTACAGCGCCTCACCGCCCAAATTCTGCTCCTTTGTAAGGCATCCCGGAAACGGCTTGCGGGTCAAATTTTTGAGTCCATTCGTATCTTTGACGCTGAAGTTCGCCTTTACCTTGTCGACAATTCCCACGAAGCCCTCGATTGCCTAGGCCATACGAAATATATCACACCGAAGCTCAAAGCTTACATAAAACCCCAAATCATGGCAGGAGTTGTGGGCGACAGCCAGCTCTTCGAGGACACCTTCCAGGTGACCAACTACGACCAGAGCAAGTATGATCGAGTGGCGCGCATCTTTGCGACATCCAACGATGCGCAGACAGTGATGGAGCTTGACATCAACATCGAGCTGTTCCCCTGCAACGTTGGCGACAACCTCCAGATCGTGATCGCCACGTCGCTGCAGCTAGACGGCAGCCGGGACGACGACAAGGGCTGGCGCGACATCACCCGCCCAGGCGCCGAGCCCACCATTGCCGACATGTTCGACTATGTGTGCCACGGCAAGATCTACAAGTTTGACGACGGCGCGGATGGACAAACTATGTAAGTCTTGAAGAGGAGCTAGAAACCGCAACCCCCGTGCTAACATTGTGCTTGTAGTAAGGCATACATCTCGTTCGGTGGCCTGCTCATGGCCATTGAGGGCCCTTACAAGAAGCTGACTCCTCTGAGAGTAGACAACTGCTATCTTCTCATCAAGAAATGAGCGATTTGAATTTGAGTGCAGTGGCAATGCAGATGCCGGTACACACTGGCAAAGGGTATATGATTCTAGGCAGTCTCGCGGAGAGGAGATCTATCTGAAGACTATGTAAAGGGTCGTGCCAAGGAAGGTCCTAGCAATGAATGATACCCAGACGGGGAACCGGCGTCAAGGGGTTTGGGGCAAAGGGAAAAGTCTTTATGTGCTATTGATAATACTTCTCGTGCGGCCCGGGAAAGGGTATCTTCCTGCGGATTCGGGCTTTGATCTCGTCATAGTTGGGCTCGTTCTCCGGGGTGAGAATGCCATGGCGGATGAAGAAGTCGATCATGACGAGAGCGCAGTTTGGCTTGAACTGACCGAGCGCAAGCAGCTCCTGGATCTCTTCGATAGTGAGGAGACCGAAGGACTCAACTTCGCCATCCTTGGGCGCTGGGATGACGTTCTCAGATAGCTCAAGATCATAGACCCACTGGACTTCCGGATAGATGTATCCATCTTCGCCTCCTGATCGTGAGTCTGTGATGTAGACATAGTGCGCCAGCCCGACTTCCTTGGCATACTTGCGCACAATCCCCTCCGGCAAGCTGGCCTCTTCGTCTGCCTCCCGAATCATGCACTCGAACGGATCCTCATCCGTCATGAGTCCACCAGCGACAGTATTGTCCAGCATGCTGGGATAAGTGGACTTTGTAGCGGCACGCTTCGGCACCCACATCTTGATACCATAGCTGCTCCCAGGCGACCGGATGAAGGCCGACATGTGCACTCCGTAGCGCGTGGTTCCAAATAAGCCCATCGCTGCGCGCTCCATGCTGTACAGCAGTTCACCCTTGCGACCGTACACCGGCCACAGCTCATTGCGCCAGCCACGGAGGAGTTTGAAGGTCTGTTCCGTCCGTAGGTAGTTCGTGAGCGCCGTCACCTGCTTCGTACGCTCTGGCTCTGACGCAAGTCCTTTGTGGAATATCAAGATTGTGCCTGCGGCTGGGTCGAAATCGACTGGGCCTCTGATATGCTCGGGAACCTTTATAATTTCCTCAAAGACAGGCTTCAGCATGTACCCGATTGGAAATACACCATCTTCATCTTGCCAAATGAGAGTATACAGCAAGTCTTTCTGTTTTGCATACTTCTCGGGATCTTTCACCGGATCTGGAAATCTTGAGTAATTTAATGATGTGAGCAATGTGGTTCCAAAATAATGTATAAAAGCCAAGTCAGACTGCCGAATGCTGCCCGGTGTAACATAATAAAGACGCCTCGAGGGGCTCAACATGCAGGTAGAAAGATATATTACAGATGGCAGCAAACAGCAGCCTTGTTGCTTTGCAAAGTAAATTGAGAAACAAAAACTTGAGATGAAAAACTTGACTTACGCATCGCAGTAGTTTATGAGGTCGATATTTCTCAACCGAGTGTCTGCCATGACTCTGAGTCTCGACTGCTTGTGTTGGTGAAGTAGGTCTGTAGGGAGAGTGATACTGTGTAATGGTCGTCCAATCACAGCAATATAACAGCCTTTCAAGTATGATTCACACCTGACCCAATGGTTGAGACCGCTGATCGTCTACCTTGGCTTTAACTTCGTCTTGGTATGTACAATTGCTCAACTTGCGAGAAAGTGAAGCTATACTAGTAGTGAAGTTGTATTTCCGGCACCCGTCGGCACCCAGAGCTGCCCCTCCATACCGCCATTGTTAGATCAACTAGTAGCCCCTCCTGCTCGATCTATCACCCCACCATAGAGAAACAAGTATAGTGAACGATTCAAGCTCAACGGATCCCCGTTCCTATTTGATACAATCTCTCGATTCCAATATTTCTTCTGCCAAGTTGATCGTTTGGACTTGCCCGTGGGGCACAACTCGATTGCGACTTCTGATGCTGCAGGTGTCCGATTTGGGAGGAGAGTTCACCCGTCGATCTCGGATTCTCGCGCATTCTAGAACACCCCGCGATCATTGGGCGCCTAACCCCTGCAGTCAATTGCTCTTAGACAAAGGGAACTTCTTTTTCAATAAGAGAAAAAGTTGAACGCGCCGATACAAAGACGAAAGGATCACCGCGCTTTCTATTGCTTTGTATATCCACATCAATATAACCGCTTTCTTTCAGAGCCGAAAGCACGCTAGGAAGCTGTCCAATCCGGTATAAAGAGCGCAGTCCGGCTCATAGCAGGGCTGGCTTCGAGCTTCACAAAAGATATCATATAAAGGCAACTCTATAGGGAACCACAACTCCAAGTGGACTTGTTATTTACGAAGAGCTCTCCTTTCTATTTCAATACCCAATCAGACATTTCCAATGGCACAGCAGCTCTTCGGCCTCGTGCCCGCCGGCCTCCCGGTGTTCACCACACCCACCGAGACGCCCTCGCCCACCTCCTTCATCTACACCATCCCCACCGCCAAGCCCTTCTCGCACATCGTCATCTTCCTACTACCAGGCGTCGTCCTGCCCGACAACACCGCGGCCGCCATCTACCTCGTCACGCCGCCGCCGCCCGGCCAGCCCACCCCAGCCTTCAAGTTCCTCGGCGGCGTGGGCCCCGGCAAGGAGTCGGCCATCTTCAAGCTCAACGCGGCCGCCGAGTCCAGCGGCCAGGTCGTGCTGGGCATCAGCGTCGAGGAGGCCGGGTCGGTGGCCCAGCGGATCGAGGAGCTCGCGCAGGCCAAGAGCGCCGGGGCCGGCGCGGACGGCGTCGCGCTGGTGCCGGCTTCGGCTTCGGCGCAGCAGAGGCAGGCCCCGAGCACGCTGGTGCTGGCGCAGCGCATCATCAAGAATGCGTTCAACTTCCTCTCTGGGTTCAGTGGCCAGGCCGGTCAGGTGGAGGTCGTGCCGCTCAAGGCGTTTGAGGAGTGGTGGAGGAAGTTCGAGAGTAAGGTCCGAACAGATCCAGGCTTCTTGGAGCGGGATGATTCGTGAGCGAGGGTAATGTAGAGTAGGATATTTTCTTGTTCAGCTGATCTTGGCTCCAAAGCCTTGGATAAGGTCTAGTAGCGAAACTAGTTTTAGAGAAGCGTTAGGAAAGCTCCGACAGGGTCGGCATAAAGGAGAACCGAAGACGCAAGTCACTCGAGCAGATGGCGAGATTTGGAAATACCGAGTTCAGGGACTCGTTGTGAATTATGTATAAGGCTTTTTGGAGGCAGCAAATGCTGACCGCCTCCTGGAGCTAAATATCTATCAAACAAAACTTCCCTTAGCACTTAAAATACCAAGAGGACCCTGTTTGTGTAGGCCCCTTTTCCGAACGCCAATGCCGCGAACCCCTCAAAGCGTGTTCATAGACCAAAATGCTATACATCGTGGTGAACGTTATTATGGTACCGTCTTACAATCAGTCCTGCATCATGCAGATAACGATTCCTCCTAATCTTCTTGCAGTGGTGACATCAGAGGGCTCTTTTGCCGAGTTGGAGAGCCAGCTCTACTGCGCCGTCCTGCACTCAGCATCGAAGGAACCAGTCTCTCCCTGCTTTCTGTTCGGACAACTAAGCCGCTCCTGTCAAGCGCGGAGCTAGGTTTCGGGTCGTCATAATTCTCAATGGTCAATTTCGGTGTGGCCAGGCCCGATGTGCGCCCAAATCGTGAGCCCTCGCTGCTGTCCGAATGATCATTCTCGTCTGAGTCAACCTCGCCTAGCTCGAACATACTGGCCTCTCCCTCCTCCAGAACACGTTCGTATTGGGCGGATTGACGACCAAATAGTTTGCTTGTCAGGCCTGATAATCCTGATAGCCCGCGACCTTTCCTAGGGCTACCCGGCCGCCTGGAACCGTTGAGGATGCTGCTCAACCTGCTGAACCAACGCATCCGCCGCTCTTTCTTTCGCAACAGGAAGGCAAGGAATAGGAGTATCAAAATGAAGAAGAAGAATCCCGACGTCTTCTTTGAGGGTGCCTTATCGAGAATGTCTTCTGCCTTGTCGCCCCAGTCGTCATCGTCATCTGAATGCGAAACAGGTTTCCAGCTCGAGCCAGCGTAGTTGAAGTCTGACGGCACTTTGCCCTCGATATTGCTGCCAAAGCCAACGGGCATGTCTTTTCCTTTTGGGGGAATCTGGCCAGCGGCGTAGAGAACCATTTTCCCAAGTGTCCAGCTGACTTCGATGCCGTCAATCTTGTCCACAGGCTGGAACGGATCTAAGAAACCTTTTTCCTTCGCATGTTCGAGAGCTTCCTTGGAGGCATTATGATTTGACGATGGTGTCTCCTCGAGACCGATGCGTGGGATTCCAATGCCATCGTGAAGGACATTGAGCAACCAAGAAGCCTTGAAACAAGCTTCCTGGGCTTCTTTAGGATCGGTCTTCTTCTTCCGTGCAGCAATCTTAGGATCCACGATCTCATCCCAGTCCTTGCTACAGAATGTCTCAACATTCTTTTGGTAAGTATTGAAATCATAGGCTTTGTCACCCTTCCCGCCAAAAACACCATGAGTAGTATGCCAGTATTCAGAAACACCGATGAAATGATTGACATCGAAATCGATGGCGGGAACATGTTGCCCATTAAGCAAGCAGGGTTGATCTTCACACGGCGCATCCTTGCCCAATAGAGGATACGTCTGTGCTAAGCAAGTCTTGAAGTTGCCCGTTCCCAACAAGATGAGTTCTCCCTTCTCAGCTTCATTTGCAGGCTTTCCGGATGTCGTTGTGCGCAAGCCCTTGGGCATGCATGGGTCGGGAATCTCCTTCGCGGAGGGATCGTACGCGTCGAGCAGGTTTTTGACATAGGCTTCTCTTGCTTGATTGACACCAAATCCTAGCCACGTCGCGGTAAAGACCTTGTACTCTGCAGGTTCGCCATTCATTGTTCGCATTCGCAAGAGTTTAAGATCATTGGCATGCTTCTCAGCTTCAGTCGCATTTGGCGCGAATGCAATCTGGGCTGAAGCGCCGCCCATGTCTAGGAAACCATAGGTGTGATGACCTTTGCCGTGCGCATGGTCTTCTGGATGATCAAAACCACCTAGCAGATAATTTGATGCAATCCAACCGTATAAGCCCTCTGTCTCGCCCTTGATGACTTGGATGTGTAGGTCGCAATCTGGCAAGGAGAACTCTGTGTTTTGACGGAGGTAGGAGCATATTTCGCGGGTCAACGCTGTCTGTTGAACCTGAGGAAGCAGTCGCATGCCAGCGGTGGCCATCAGGAAAATGGGGGTATCTTGGACTTTGTCCTCGGGAATGATATCGAGAGCATGATTAACGAGAGACTTGAGGTGGTCCGGGCCAACCTCCTTCGGCTTCTCGCCAAATGTCGACACGCCAGGACGAATCTTCTTAGTCCAGTCCTTGTCGGTTTCCAGCTTCGGCAGGCTCTTTAAATCCTCCTTCGATGCCTCCTTAAGAACTTTCGCGGGATCTTTCCATCGATAAACGTGTAGGCGTGTCCCCGAGGATCCTGCGTCGAGGATAACGCCATATCGCCCTGAAAGGTCAGTTGTCAGCATCACTGAGCAAGTTATTGCGGGTACGACAGCCGGCGACCGTACATTTCTTGCCCATTAGGACGTCGCGATGGCCGCAATCGACCCAAAATGCCGATTGCGATGACTTGGTTTCGGTCTACCGCAGGGACTCGTATCAATCGTTGATGGCTTCGAGATGGTCGGTTGTGACGGGGTAGACTTTTTGTAGGACGGAGATGGAGCACAAGCAACGGACGTCACCCTGATCGCGCAACCATGGAAAAGTGCCAGGGGTGCAAACCGGATGATCGTCCCGGCCGGCACGGTGTTGTCGCGCGTGTCGTGGAGTTGGATTGCTGTACTATGTAAGGGTGGCAGAGCAAGGCCGATCAAAGCGGGTATTATTATGGTTGTAATTCGTACAGTAATGTAAGGATAGTATGGGGTATCGAAAAGAAGAGGAGCGAGTGTAGGGGAAGAGAAGAAGCTGGGACAATTGAAGATAACGAGAGGAGGCTCCGTCGCTGCCAAGTGACGAGTGTTACGATACGAGGTTACAGCAGATTAGAAGAAGGGAAACGGGAGATAGGAGGGCCCGTTGCTGGGAAGGCTCTTGAGATAAGGGCAGGTAAGCAGAAAGTGCAGCCGGGCCAGTGGGTGGTGGCTCTGCTAGCTGAACATGAAAGTCTTTTTTTGGATGTTTAGGGGGTTCCATGGCTCCTCAGTGGTCAATCCCAGCTTCTAGTGGCATTTCTGCGGACGTTCCTGGCGAGGTGCAGGCCCTGAAAACGGCGAAGCATCCATGCTAATCGTCAACACAGTTTATGTAGTGATAAGCACTGTCTCAATAACCAGATAATCTACAGCAAATTCTCTACTGTGTCAATTCGAACTAAGACTGTACACGAGTTATCTCCAGATGCGAAACCTGTACCTGGTGTATGAGACATGCCCAGTGACGACACGTCAGCTCCACCAACGCTGTTCGTATTGGAGCATCCAACATGCAGCCACTACGAGTCAACATAACGCCATTGTTGATTCTGGGGCGTTTCGGCTTCAAGATGCCGCTATTTAGGTCGTTCTGTAACCTGATTGAAGGCTCGCCATTTCCTGTGATTCAATCATTTGCTTCAAAGTACTCTTTGCACAAACTTGGTCAATGGGACTCCTTAATACATAATTCAGGGATGGGTAAAAATTGAAATCCGTTGTTTTCATCATACATAGCTTTTCAGAGTATGTATATGTTTTACTACCATAGGAAAAGTGAAGTAGTCTAGTGTTTAAGCTCTGCTTGAGTAAATCGATCCGTCTACAAGTACCCACCAGTGTATCCTAACCCAGAAACAATGAGAAATAGTGTCTGATGAGACTGTTACGCATTTACCTCAAAGGCCACAGCGGCCTATGTCGTTGACTGCCCACTGCCAGTGGTATGTACTCGGGCATCTCTTCCTCCTCAGGAGAGTAGGCATCCAGTGCCCGCCTGAGCCGCCTCAGCTCCTTCTCGGCCTCTTCTAGTTTGCGCTGATTGGACATAGCCAGGCGCTGGTTGTGCTCGGCGATCGCCTTGGAATTCACGACTTCGCATTGCATCCGGTTGCGTTCCTCGACCAAGGACTGCACAGCGGTCTCCAGCCGAGTGTACCAGAAGGCTTCATCGACAGCTTCTTCCGTCACCGAGGGCCTGACAGCCGCGTCGATGCGGTCAAGCGCGTTCGTCATACCCTTATAATCTTCGTTCATTTCCCTTATCTTTGTTTCTAACGCCTCCACCCATAACACATCTTCGTCTTGCGGGATGTCGGGATTGAGTAGCAGCCACAGGTTGTTTAGGGTGATCACGGCCCCCGACTCTTCCCTCTGATCATGGACGAGGGAGCGGATGATGGTCTCAAGCTGAGCTGGCCTTGATATGCTTTCATCTCTCTCAACCAAAGGGGCAAAGAGTTGCCAGAGGCTGTTCAATACATGAACGGCCACTGCTTCAGCCTGCTTTTCTTCAGCCAGGGAGCGAACCGCAGCCTCGAGCTGTCGTGTCCACGACATCCGACCCCGCGGATTGATGTATGGGCTGAGCACGGCCCGAAGCCTATTGACAAGCTGGATGGCAGGAGTATGCTGCTTGACGAATAGAAGATGGCGTTGCCGTTCTTGCCACGCATGGTCTAACGCAGATCTACGAAAGTCGAATGGAACCTCGGGGTTTGTAGTTGTGGTTGCTGGTAAGCTTGGTTCTTGTTCCTTATTGCTTTCACCTTTGTCAGTAGGGGATTCCTCCTCAATAGATGCAAGGGCGCTAGTCAACTGCGACTGGGAGAACACACGACCGTGACGTCGGGGATTTGCCGTCCGGGTCCGTAACTCACCATAAGGTGGATGAGAGCCCAAAGCCTCTCGAGCGCGTCCTAGTTGTGCACGAGGTGAGGATTGTCCCGTGGGATTGATAGGGGGAAAATGACCCTCTGCAGACAAGACAGGTCTTTCTTCCACGGTGCGATCTTCATGTGACTCTGAAAACACCACCGGAGGCTTTGTTAGCCTCCCTGTGTGTTGCTGTAGAGGAATAGAACCTTCCATCAGCAAGCTCTGGGCCCCCGGGGTATTGCCTACCACATCCATCGGCGAAGAGATTAACAGAGGCCGCTTGAAAATCTTGCTCGACTTCTGCTTCTGTTCACGACGATGGCGTTTCATGTGAATCATTGTGTTCACGATGTGCCGATTGAGGCCGGTCCTGCTGCGAGTAACGGTGTCGAGGGTCAAGCTACTGGATCTAGGGGATGAGGAAGCGAGGTTGGATGATAGGGGCTAAACATCAACAGAGCAGAACTGTGCCGACCTTTTAAAGTATTCGGCTACCCGCGGGCTTTTGCAAAGAAAAGACTACAATTGCGTTGTGTTCTTCATGATCAAAGAAACTTGCGGGATCCAGCCTTTTGTGGGCAAACGACAACAAGAGACTTGTAAAAAGAACAAAGACACATTGTTTAAAAAGCACTCGTTCCTGCCAAAATCATTGTGGTAGTCCTATAGCAAATGACAAGACCGAAATCAGAGCACCTCAGCCCTTGATGTTCGCCTACTTCACCATGATCTCCATCAGTCCACAACAAGACCTTGATATCGTATAGCACAATTGTAGCACGTCTGGTGTGGATTATAGGCTGGGACCCGACAGCGAGATTATAGATGATTGGAACCTGACCCAAGGTTACTGGCAAAGGTGTCATATTGCTGCGATGCAAGCCCGTTGGAGAGAAGCGGACCGCCAGGACGCTGAGCGACTGTTGTCATTCATTAGTCATGGTTTTGCATGTAACATAGCCATCCCTGTTTACATACCTCTTGGTCGCCCTGGTGGAACGGTTAGACCTCCAGCTACGCCTCCTGCCTGGCTCACTTTCACATTCGAGCTCAGCCCGACACCTGAGAAAGGCATGGCATTTGTAGCGGTATTATGTTGAGGTGGTTGCAAAGGCTGTCGCATGCGGCCCGATCCATGGTTTGATGCCGGAGTGCCAGCGACAAGACCGGGAACTGTCGACAAGCCCAGTCCGGCCACGCCTATCCTTTGACGATGTGTTGAAGGTGTTGCCGGGAGTTGATCTTCCTGAGTCAGCTACCCTCTCCTTCAAGGGACGAGCTAGCACACTCACTGTCATCAAAAGTTGGCTGTGAGAGACCACTGTTGACCGCACGGTGTTCAGGATTATTCAAATATCGGCCGCTTCCGTACGACATGCCCGGATGTTGCCCATCCTGCCACTGATTGGTAGTATCTCCAATACCCGGCCCGGCTGCCGCTGCCGCCGCTGCTTGAATCGTAGAGTCAACAGCTTCAGACGCCGCGTCCTGCATCTGGCCAAGCATGGCTTTACGTTTCAGCTTGTCGTACAACTCCTGGGTTTGAAGGAGTTTTCGATTCTTCTCCTTATAGGCCTGCCCTAATTCCTCGTTCTTTCGTAATAAGCTGTCCTGGTCCAGCGTCAAACCTCAATCCATGTTAGTATATGAATATTGTTTGATCTCTTGGCGAACCGTACTGGAGACCTTGTTTTGCAAATTTGTGAGCTCCGAGTTAGCCTCTGCGATGACTTTGTCGAGATGGACGCTTAACGTCGAGTATTTGTTGGTGATATTCTTGCACAGATAGTTTTGATATACTCTGAACAATTATTAGCACAGAATCTAAGCCAACCTTCTGGGACTGTATCGCTGTGTCCAAGGTGAACGAACATTTCCTGTGTCATCTGATAGGCCCAGAAACTCAACGCTCGACCTGCGCATTCCATGATCACGTTCGGACTTAATCCGCTGAGTACACTGATTTTGTAATCCTCAGTCGGATTCAGGTTCGAAATGACAGCGTCATCAGGTCGAGAGAGCGATCCTCTACATGCCGGACACACGCGATGTTGCTCCGGCAGATTTGAAGCAAGACCGGACTTGTTGGCACAGTCTAGACAGAATATGTGACTTCATCATGTTAGACATCAAGAGAGATAGATTCGCAAAATCTGCGGAAGCGAAAAGTTGGTGCCATCTTTACTTACCAGCAGGTTGTGACTAGCGCGCGATCCCCAAGTTCAGCCCGACACTTCAGAGTGTTGCATCTCAGGGGCTGTTCCATGCTTGCACCAGAAGTCTACGTCTCACCCGCCGGACGTATTGCGTATTGCTACACACAGAACCGAATGGAGAATGAAGAGCTGCATCCCATAGGATCCTTGAATTGAACATTTTTTTTTTTGTATCTTTCTATTTTTCTCAAGACTTTCTTCGCGTACCTACCCTTCCTGAACTTCTTGAAGATAAAGGGGGAAGGTGCATTCCAGCTAGAGCCGTAAGCCACACCGCTCTACATCTTGCTGCAGTTGACGTAACGGCCCCCAATTGCCCCGCCAAATGTGGCTCAAGCAGGCACCACTCCTAAGCTTACCAAGCCTGTGTCTCAACTTCCTCAACGTCTTAACGTCGGCGAGATCGTCAGGCACTTCTCTTGTGGTAGGTAGGAAGCTATCTAGGACGCAGCGATACAGAAAACCATTCAAGGTCTCTTTTTATAGACTGTCGCGAAGACTATCAAGCATGCGCAGTTACGAGATACGCTCAAGATGACGGAGATTGTGATGACCCAAACGCCGCCAATTCTCCATGGGCCCTCTGAGAAGGAGAGGAAATATGATCGCCAACTTAGACTGTGGGCTGCTAGCGGTCAAGCTGCCCTCGAGTCTGCGAACATTCTATTGCTGAACTCTGGCGCGGGAACTGTTGGCGTCGAGACTCTCAAGAACCTGGTGCTACCTGGTACAGCTTCCTTCGAAGCGACGAGGGCTAGAGCTAATGCTAACTCGCAATGCAGGTATTGGGCGCTTCACCATTGCTGATGCCGCAAAGGTTGCGGAGGCTGACCTCGGGGTCAATTTCTTCTTGGACGAAGATAGTCTAGGGAAGTCTAGGGCACAGAGCTGTACAGAACTACTCTTGGAACTGAATCCAGAAGTGCAAGGCGACTGGTTCCCGAAGAATGAGGTAAGCTCATGTAGCACCCATCAAGCGGCTCTTCTAACGTATTATGTCGCAGGAGCCTCTCAAACTTGACAAGCTGCTCGAACACTCGCCGACGTTCACCACAATCCTGTACACGTGCCCGATCCATCCCGACGACTTGAAGCTCGTAGAGGGTTATGCCCAGGAGCATAAGACCCCAGTGATTGCGGTTCATTCCGCAGGTCTATACTCATATTTCCGCATTAGCCTGCCAGGGGCGTTTCCCATCGTCGACACACATCCCGACGTAACCGCCACTACGGATCTACGGCTTCTTGCACCTTGGCCTGAGCTGCTAGACTTCTCCAAAGGCATGACAGAGAATATCGAGAGCCTAAGCGACCACGATCATGGCCACTTACCTTATGTCGTCATATTACTACACTATCTTGACCAATGGAAGGAGACCCACAACGGCGCGTATCCATCGACATACAAGGAAAAGGCAGAGTTCCGTAAGATGGTGGCGGATGCTACAAGACGAAGTAATGCTGAGGGTGGCGAGGAGAACTTTGACGAGGCAGTAGCTGCCGTGATGGTGACGGTAACTCCACCTTCGCTGCCGTCTGGCCTGAAGGAAGTATTCGAGTATGGGCACAGTGGCCAGGTTCGTTTTGCGTTCCCCTCTCATTTCGCCTGGCCAGGCGAGATGATCAGGATGGCTCATGACTTACAATCTGTCTAGGTTAAGCAGAAAACAGGGTTCTGGCTTATCGCCGATGCCGTTGAGCAGTTCTACCAGAGACACAAATGCCTGCCCTTGACTGGCAGCATCCCGGATATGAAGGCACAGTCAAGCGTCTATATCCAGCTCCAGAACATCTACAAAGCCAAAGCTCGACGGGATGTAGCCGAAGTGCTAGAAATAGTACAGGGCTTCCCAGATGGTCGAAACATAGATCCTGGAGAGGTGGAGCTCTTCTGCAAGAACGCTGCGTTCGTTAAACTGATTAATGCGGGAGGAGCAAAGGCTGATCGTCTGGCCACAGTCTTTGGTAGGTCATCTGCCCTCTCCGCCTCTAAGCGAGGAGTTTTGATAGAGCAGAATGGAAATCTGATATATTAACATTTTGCCACAGAGGAGGAGACAGCAAAGGACGCGTTTGCGGAGGAGGCGATGTTGCCTCTGTCGCTCGTCCCCATCTACCTAGCCCTCTTTGCAACCTCCCACGTGCCGGCGGCCTCGGCTGAGGAGATCCTCACAACCGTGAAGAACCTTCTGCCCGGTTCTGCCGACAATGAGCGGCTAGCGCAGGCTGCCCAGGAGGTTGCTCGAGCCGGCGGCGGCGAGCTGCACAACATTTCCGCCCTAACGGGCGGAATGGTGGCCCAGGAAATGATCAAGATCATTACGAAGCAGTACATTCCTATCGATAATACCTGCATATTTGACGGCATCGGTAGCCGAAGTCAGGTACTCCGGCTATGAAAAGCCCGCCGGTGCCGTCTGATGGACCCTCGAGGCCACCATCATTTGTGAAGGCTAGACAAGGTGGAGAGCAATTTTATCCGCTCCTGGCACCGTGACATTATGGCTGGGGGGAATTCGGCACTCGCCTTACAGATCCGATCAATGAGGGCCTATGCTGGGAAAGTTGGAGAAAGTGGAGGAGAGGAAAGTTGGAGGAGCAAGGACAGGCACACACCAGCACAGACTGGACTGCAGCACTTTCGGATGTCTGTGGGGTCTTTGACCCTTCAGGGCAGCCCTCTCAGAGGGCCTCGTTGATGGGTATGTATCGGTGGCAGCTCTCGCAGTCTCCGGAGCGCGAGAGGTCATCTGGCCTGGACGGAGATCTCATCGGACCGCAGGGCCCTGGCAGCTAGAGTGCAACCCCGTGGCTGCAATTGCAGGCATCCGTCAGGAATGGTGAGCCGAAATAGCAGAAGAAAGAAGACGGAGAAGAGACTAGCAGAAACTACCTACTCTTGCTGCAACAAGCTATTTCCCTTCCAAGGTGACAGGTCCTGGCCTGATTTCGTGGCGTCCACTCGGAGGCCGTCGACGACGGAACGGGCAAGTGATGCACATGCTAAGGGGGTGAGATCTTGCGTGCGTGCGTGCGTACATGTGTCAATGTCAAAGGATGATGCTGCCAGCCGCTACCTGCGTGCGTGCCCAGAAATCAACAGTCGCGGCTTGACGACGTATATGTCAGGAAACAGAGAGACAGCAGCATGAACCCACTGATTGCGAGGCGGGCCCCCAGCAGTCTATAGACTAGGTATAGGGGACGACCCTAAGGCGGTTCGGCGGATCTCCCGGCGCCATCGGCCAGCCCCCTGTGGCTTCTTTGTATTTGAGATACGTGAGTATTGCGCAAGTCAGCGCTCAGAGGCTTATCGTGGGCCCTGATTTTACGGCGTTGGTCGTGGATGATGGGTAGGTAGTTGGCAGTGATGGTGAAACATGCAATATGTGTTGTCCTGCGAAACAGGTTGGACTTCCCCCCCCCCCAATGGGCGCTGCACCGGGAGTGATAGAGACAAAGCCGAAAAGCTGGAGAGGATGACAAGGTCGAGGGGCTTCGGGGAGAAGCCGGACAGAGGGCACAGCGAGAGCGAAAGAGAGCGAGAGAGAGAGAGGCGGAAGTGTAAGACAGACAGTAGCAGGTCAGTGTCAGTCAGTTCATGGGCCATCCTTCCACCACATCCCCGGGGATCAGACTGGGAGCACCTCACTAGCTAAGGTCCAGGTCATGGCCCGCTATCCTGACTTCGAAGTAAGTGAACGACATGGCGCCGCGCGGGATGGCCCACGATAGGGTCGGTAAAGAGCTGGGTAGTCAGGTAGGAACAATGGAAGAAGAGGGAGTGTGGTTGAGCTAAAGTTCGGTACCTAGCTTGCAGGGATGTCATCGACATCCACTCCAATCCACATGCCTACATACATAACATGTATCGAACTTACAAGGGCAGTACCTAGTCCAGTGAGGTGGTCGTCCAAGTCAGGGTAACCCGAGACGTGCAAGTTTTTCCATTTCCTGAAGAGTTAATCCGGTTGGGCCGCACGATGTGGCCCGGCCAATCCAATACATGGCATGCTTAATTGGAAGCGCGCCGCCGGATGGTCGCAACAGATTAAACACCACAAGACTTGGACGGAAGTGACCTGAGGGCCACTTCGTTAAGTGAAGCACGATATGGTCAGGTGCTCTCGGCCTGTTAAGTTTGGACTGATTTAGAACACACATAGCAGACTGAAAAGGCTTGACATTTGAGATAACCTGTTTCAATGCGAGGACCTTGGAAAAGCGGAATGGGCCGCTGGACTGGATGACGGTTAGCTGTAGAATGTCTCGACCGGAAGCCCGTAGTAACCCGTTTCGAGGCGGCCTCGGGTGTGGGACGGTGCAGTATCAAACGTCTGACAGATCCTCTTGTCAATTTGTCGCAGGGCCACATGAACAGGTGGACAGCATCCCTTAAGCTAAGCATGTGGAGTGGCAGGACTGGACAAATTAAAGAGGGAGCGGCAGGACCAGCAATAGCAATATACACGTCCATGGAGTCCCGATGCCCATTTTTGCCCTTTTCCGATTCGCCCGTTGCTGAGCATCGGTAGGTTCGGTCATCCTCGAACACGCCAGGAAGCAAAGGACCAGAATATAGAGCGCGCTAACTATGATGCGCCATCCAAATCACGAAACTCGGCGGGCGAGGCAATCTCAAGCCGGACATGAGGGCACGTGTTTGGAGGTCATTCCCGTTCGTGCCAGACTTTCGAGAACGTAGGATACACGATCAAAGCATTTTGGCTGCTGCTGACTACCCACCACCTCGATACCTCATTAATTAATATGGGCAGGCCACTTTAAAAGACACCTGGATCGATAAAGCACGCGGGTATGTGTGAGCCTCTCGCTGGTCAGCGAGCCTGCGTAGTTTGCAATTGTGCTCGTGCCGATTTATGGGCGTCGCTGAGGGTGTGAACTGCCCATTTAACTAATTAGTGAGTGAGGGAGTTCATTCGTCATGTGCGACGGCGAGCCGAGGGATGGCACTGTGTCTTTTCCGGGGTTAATATTATCAGATGTCGATATGGCCAGGGCCGGTGTTACTACGAGGCTGGGGTGTTGATGGGGTTTTTGGAGAAGAGCCAGCGAGCCAGCACACAGCTTTTCCACCTGTAAGCCACGGCTGCCACCACATTTCGCCATTGAACAGGGCCGTGAACCGTGGGCCGGCAGACGAGATGTCGGTTACAGCCTCTTGGCGCTTACCCATGTTCTGTGCCACAGCATGTTCCACTACGGATAGAGGCATATCAGCAGAGGGAGAAGCAGCCCAACTCTACCTGTCAAAGTGGCTGCCGTATCTCATAACGCCGGCAGCTGGGCGGTAGGAACCGAGCCTGCCGGCGCGGCCAGAATTCTTATCGCTTGATTTCTCTTGATTTCTGTCTCGGCGCAACGGCGGTTCCCCAGCTTCTCAGTAAGGAGCTCAGGAACCCCCCAAGCCGGGTGATTCTCTGGGGGAGGCTTGATAACCCCGCAAAAGGAGCAGTAGGCTAGTGGGTGGTTCTGCAGCGGTTGAACAAAGATCAGCGCTGCTCTCCACAGAGTCAACTTAAATTCTGGCAACCACCAGGCATAGTCAGGGTCGAGATCGCGTGGTGCGCAAGCAGCCGCCGAATTGGGTAGAAGTCATTCATGAGCCCCTTCTATTTCTTCCATCGCTCTGTTCCTCCAAACAGGTAACAGAAGGGACATGTCAGTATATGCAAGTAGGCTCGCTTGGCCGTCGTTCCAGAGCACTTGCATAACTAACAAGGTTGGGTGAGGGTGCCAAATTGTGGGGAAGACGGCCAGCCATCGCGACTGGCTCGATGGGGGTACTTGGGGAAGTACAATACCTCCCACCTTGTCGTCCACCTCTCCATATGCTGCCCGCTGGCTGGACAGGAACACTCACTCTATTGGGCAGTGGCCTCGCATGCGCCCAACGTTTCTGGCGTTGCGAGAGCCAAGCCGCTACCGTTTTTAGACCGATGACGATGCATGAATCTGGCCTCGTGAGACAGAAAAAGGAGTGTGGGGTTCAGCACCTGAGACCAAACTCCCCAAACTCACCTCGATGAGGAGACAGCGCCGGCACACGGGGCGGTGGACGATGGCCCTGGATGCTACCGCTACTCGACATGAGGCGAAGATCGTCGAAAGGCTGCGTGAAGCCATCCAAGTGGAGAACGGGAACCGTGAGAAGTGACTAATCGCGCGAATTCTACTACGGCGTATCAATGTTGGCCGGCGGTGATGCCCTGGACAAGCCGTCCGGTGGGAGATGTAGCCATGTGGGATGTAGAGGATCGGCACTCAGTGTAATCCGCTAAAGTTCGTGAAGAAGCCGCTACATGGAAGGTCCACAGGTGACTTCTCTGTCAAGACATTTTTTTCAAAAAGCGCTAGAAGGTATCAGGGTTTGGAAGAAGCCATGAACTGGTTAGAACAGGAACAAGAGTCTTCTGGCTGTTGCTGCGGTGAGTTGATGGATCGCTGAAACGGTTCATGAACCGGCACGGCCTACACGCGGCTTTAGGCGTATTAGAGATATCCTGCGCACCTGGGCATGAAGCCACTGACGAGCGGATTAGATATTAAGTAGGTCATGGGGAATGCCCGTCCTGCCATGCCGTTGAGTGAATATGCTGGGAGACCAGGGGAAAGTGGTGTAGGATCCGTAGCAAAGTTGTATATCGACGGTGGCGGATCTCGTAAAGCTGTGTGATTTGAAAGGAGGGATGTGCTGTCGGTAGTGATGCAGGACGACGTTCATCACATCATTGAGAAGGTGAGCAGCGGGAGCCATGTGCGGTACTGCAGCTGGCGGGAAAGGTCCAGCTCATTCAGAGAAACGACATCATACGAACGCGGCCATCCGGGTGGCTGTCATGTATGAGTCTGGCCGCCACTGTGGTTATTGCTGTTGCAATACTGACGATGATCAGAGGAGGAGCAGCGTTACGGTGCGATGGCCAAGGGTAGCATTGGCCGGCTCGCCTCTCCTAGAGTCCTGAAGAGCCTGGCATTGCCATGTGTCCATCGTGCTTTCCGTGGCCGTCGATTGGCTCAGGGATATATTGTGCCTGCCCCTTTGACTTTAAAGAAAGAAAGGCCCTGTTAGTCTAGAGCGAAGGCGGGCAGGAACGACCCTTTGAGTGACCTCTGACTTGAGCAGAACCCCAGACAGCCCCGCAACTTCCCACCCTCGATCCCGGCAGCCCTGACCAGAGAGGCAACGGGAAGGGAGGGGATCGAGCAGATCACCAAGGTTTAAAGGGGGGAACTTCATAACGGGGGTTATCGTTATGTGGTTATCAGGAAAGGAAAGGTAGGTACGTTGTGGTGGGGTGGAGATGGAACTCTTTTGTCGATAACGTGCAGGTCAGACTAAACTAGAGTGTGCGCGGTAAAATTGACGGTGCCGAGGGGAGGGAGGAAGGAAGTGAAGAGACTGGAGAAGGAGGGAGCCGAAAAACCTGAGTGAAGTAGAGGCAGGAACGAACCACCATTCCTTCCAAGTTGTAGCTGCCCTTCTCAACGAGTGATAAGTCAAGTTCCACTCAATAGTCATACCGTTCCGTGCCGGTCCGTTATCCAGACTCAAAAGTTGAACAGAATCTACCTAATCCAAGGCATCACGCCGTTTCGTGATCTTATCCTCATGTCTGTCTTCCACGACTCTCGCTCTGTGAATCTCTCAGGTCTCAGGGCAGTCATTCGATTTCTTTCCCGAAGAGGCAAAGCTGCTGGAAGAGTGAGCGCATCATTGCCCGTTCGAGTCAAGACTCGATCTCGCTCTACCTGCCGAAAGACCAGGCTCTGTCCGTTGTTGCATATCTCGGCTCCAGACTTTGAAGGTTGAAGGCACGCTGCTGGAATACCTGGACCTGCACTCCGATACATGCCCAGTACCTACGTGTGTCCTCACTGCTCACGGCCCTGTTAAGAGACCTCGTGCTGTCATGCATGTCAACTTGCCTACAATACCCAAGTAGGCAAACTAGGTACCTACATGCTGTGTCTTGCGTGCTGTACCTGTTCTCGGCGCATGCTGGGTGCTGGGCCCTTGCGCTGAAACAGCGCCACCGAAATCTCAACGTTCAGTAGCTGAGGTTTCTAGGTAAGCCAGACGCACTAACTAAGAGACATGGGACTAAGAGTGAACAGAGCATAGCGCCCTTCCTCTTCCCCTTCCCCCCCTCGACCCCTCAACTTCTGGTCCTTTTACGGCATCCCCATTCCCAACTTCGACCGACTTGGACCGACTTAAACATAACACCACCATCTCGTAGTCTGGTTACGGCCCTGCGCGCTAGCGGCCATGATTTTTCTGGGGCGTGCTCTGATATTAATTTGTGTCTTCAGGTACTGAGGTACGGTGGTTCGGTTTCTCCTGAGCAGGTGATATACCCCAAACTGTGCCTGGGTGCCTGCGTGGACCCTGGCCCCTGTCCCGCTCTTCACTTGCTCGGTCGTCCTCGTGGCTCGCCTTGTCCAGCGTCCGTCCGTCACTCAGTCAGTCAATCAGATACATCATCCATCATCCATCGACACACACACACACACATAAGCAAACACACACGGCATTGACTTACCACACGCCCTACATCCGCCATCACCTATACCTATCTTAACTAACTACGTACTATTCACTTTACATTGCCTTGCCTCCTACTTTACCTCAACCACACTTTCGTCCCCTTCATCATACGCCCCAGCTATAGCGCGCTCCACTATCTCCATGCCCATGCCCATGCCCATGCCCATGCAGCCATCACCACCACTACCAGCCGTGCTGTCTAGAGACTGAAGAGAGTAAGGTACCTGCCTCCCTTAGGTCGAGAAGGTATACCTCCTTCATCATTGTGCGGTGCGGATCTGGCTCGTCTGTCAAGCTTCTCCACAGCTGGGGCATGCCCCCTTGTCATATCCTTCTTTCTTCTCAAATCCCTCTCCCCACACTCTCGCGATGGCCCATCTCCAACTGCATGTAATGTAGATATATAAGTCTGCATCCTCATCCGCTTCATTCCTCCCACTCCATAGTGGTCTCGGCCAAACCCTTTCATATCATACACTGCATTACACCTTCTTCGACTGCCCTCCCGCCCATCTATCTATCTTTATCCATCAGGTTACCCCAGATCGATCATCTCGCCACTTCCCCACGCCAACCCATTCATGTATATATGACGCCCCAGACCATCTGCGCAGCATCTGTCTGACCATCTTGCTGCGGCTCTTCAGTCTTCGTTTCTTTGATACCCCCGTTGGCTCTTCACTTTGGGCCTTCAATTTCACAACAGGCAACTATTCTTCGGTCAATATGGCACCAACCATCCCCGTTCCCACCCAAGGTGGTATGTTCCACACCTTCCAGGGAGTCACTCCCAGAAAGCCAACTACGGACAACTCGGAGAGCGCCAAAGCCAGTGGCAACGGCACAGCAAAGCGGATTACCACTCCTCATGCCTGTGCTGAGTGCAAACGGCGCAAGATGTGAGTATTAGAACACAGCACATATCTCTGGAGCGTCTTTCCTGACTGGTTCCATGATAGTCGATGCGATGGCCAGCAGCCCTGTGGCCAATGCCTCTCAAGCCGGGCTCCAAAGAGGTGTTTCTACGACAAGCATCGCCAAAGAGTGATTCCTTCTCGGAAGTATGTAACAATTACCAAAATCACATATGCTACTTACTAACAGGAACAGAACCCTTGAGGCTCTTTCTCAATCACTGGAGGAGTGCCGCTCTATCCTCAAGAGATTGTATCCGAGTCAGGAAGTATCAGCTCTTCTGCCATTGTCAAGGCAGGAGCTCTTGAGCCTACTTGACCGCCCCATGATTGACACATCTGTGGGCGCTTTGCCATCCCCACCTCTCAATACTTCACCAATCAGCCCCGACCTCGAGTCACCATTGTGCCCAACAACAGGGGAGAGCCTTTCCAGCCTTGAGCAGATCCCAACCAGAGACACAGAATGGGATGAGGAGCGCAGAGGGCGAGACCCAATTCCAGTCGAGGCTGACGACGTCAATGCTCTATCGCTATCAGTGGACCGCCAAGCCTCCTACCTGGGAGCGTCATCTATCAAGGCAGCGCTCATGGTTATGCTCAAGGTTCAGCCTCAACTCCGCAACGCGCTCGCAGCTCCTCTCAACAGTGTAGAAGTACCACACCAGTTCCCTGCCATCAGGCAGAAGACGACAGCTCAGAAAGATCCTCAGCGTGTTCCCTGGTCGTGGAAGGGCCAGACCTTGATTGATGCCTATTTCAAACGCATCCATGTCTTCGTTCCAATGCTTGATGAGACCACCTTCCGAGCTGACTACCTCGAGGGTCAACGGTTTGATGCTCCCTGGCTAGCTCTTCTCAACATGGTGTTCGCGATGGGCAGCATTGTAGCTATGAAATCTGACGACTACAACCACATCAACTACTATAACCGCGCCATGGAGTATCTACCCATGGATGCCTTTGGCAGCAGCCACATTGAGACTGTCCAGGCACTGGCGCTCATTGGCGGCTACTATCTACACTACATCAACCGGCCAAACATGGCCAATGCAGTTCTCGGTGCCGCCATCAGAATGGCAAGCGCTCTTGGACTCCACAGAGAAAGTTTGGCTCAAGGTGGTAGCGATCTTATTGCTGCCGAGACTCGTAGACGAACCTGGTGGAGCTTGTTCTGCCTCGATACTTGGGCAACTACAACGATGGGCCGTCCATCATTTGGCCGCTGGGGACCCGCTATCAATATTCGGGCGCCAGAATTCGGCATCAACGCAGCGCGAGACTCCTCTCAACATGCTGGCATCTTGCCTCTTATTGAAAACATCAAGTTTTGCAAGATTGCCACTCAAATTCAAGACATGCTCGCAATCTCGCCTCTTCTCCGTACAGAGGATCGCTGCAATCTGGATGGTCAGTTGCTCAACTGGTACAGCAATCTACCCTGGCTTCTGCGCACCACAGACCCTTGTGCCGAGCCTCTCTATATTGGTCGCTGCATTATGAAGTGGCGCTACCAGAATCTACGCATGTTGCTGCATAGGCCAGTGCTTCTAAGCCTTGCCAGCGCTGGTGCCCAACACGCAGCTGAGATTGATATCGCAGCCATTGAGACTTGCCGTGAACTAGCCAAGCAGACAATCGAGGACATTGCGCGCGAATGGACTCGCAACCAAATGTCCGGCTGGAACGCAGTCTGGTTCCTCTACCAAGCAGCTATGGTACCCCTCGTCTCCATTTTCTGGCAGTGGAACAGCCCCCGCGTGGCGGACTGGCACAAGCAATTGGAAACGGTTCTCGAGCTTCTTGAGGCGATGGAGGACTGGTCTCTGGCGGCACGGCGCAGCCGGGAGGTTGTGTGGCGCATGTATGAGGCTAGCCGCACAATGATGCACCAGCGCTCCGAGAGCCCTAGCTCCCTTCAAGCAGCCCTGAGCCAAGATCTACTCCTCGGCTCGCCCGATATGCACATGTCCCCCATTGGACTAGAGCCTGAAGGTCTGCCCATGATGGGCATGCTAGACCAGCATGGCCTCTGGGACCTGGACGGCATGTACTGGACAGGGGCGGAGGAAGTTGACTTCGCCCCGTACGCAGTTCATGAGGGTATGATCCACATGGACTACAGCATGATGGCGGCAAATCACGCGGCATCTTTGGATGGAGGCTACGGCTTCGTTCACTAAATGGGGCTGAAGGTGAAATGTGCCTGTTGCTATTTCCGACGCAAGGGAACTAACGGGAACTACGGGTTTCAGGGGATCAAAGTGTGGAGTCGGGGTGGGTGGCATACATGCCGAACTTGACGAATGATGTTTTACATGCAGAGTCTTTTCATGACTCGGGGGCAACTACTGGAGGCTGGTGTGTCTTTTGCTGTTCTATACCACTGAGAAGAATATGTCTATATGGTGTCTTCACTCACAAAAAGGAGGTCTTTGTATATGGGAAGAAAGAAGGGTTACGTTTACGACAATGGATGAATGGATGAACATTCGGCCGGCCGACAGGCTGGAAGAAAGCAATGAGAGGGAGGCGAATATTGGAATATACTTACTTACTCGATCAACCCACCAAAATAGGTATTCAGATATATCCGAAATGAGTAACGGGGAAAATGCTACGTATGAAAAGTCTCTGGAAAACCGGCCCCCAATATGTGAACAGCTGCAGTCTCTGTGACCTGCCCTCCAATGAAAAGCGAAGGAGAGGCACGTCTCCTGCTTTCTGTACGCAATCCGGCTGCAGGTCCCGTCTGGAATAACCGGGGAAAGTACCTCAGCATGGCAGTTCCTTGAAGGGAGCCCAGGAAATGGCATGGCATTGCTCCCATCAGCCAGCCATAGACGACGGCCCGTATACACTTTACGGGGAGAAGTGCGAATCCGCTCATAGTGGTGGAGCTACACGAGACAGACAGCCAGACATGCAGACGACATGTAGACATGCAGACAGAAATACACGGCGGCTACAAGAGGACTAGGGAGCGGCATCACCTTTCATCCGTTTCATCTCGCTGTGGGGAGGTAATCGAGCCTAGTGGCGAGGTGTGCGTAGTTAGCCCGCCCCCGTCATCAGCGTCCGGTCATCGACGGGCTGTCTTGAAGATATTGCGGTCTCTCTCCTTCGCCTCCCTCTAATTACTCTGGGGGGCGTTAGTGGAGCCGAGGTAGTAGGGAGGTGCTTAAGTGCTAGCCCTGCGTGTGTGGCTTAGTACATGATGTGTCTGGGGGAAGGGGAGGCGGATGTGTACAGATAGGTAGACTGACAGGCAGATCTGCATATGGGTCAGGCGACGCCTCTGGATTTTGCTAGTAGGACCGTTTTGATGAGAGGGGAGGGCCTTCTTTTTGGTCGGGCCGGATCAAAGTTTGCACCTCCGGGGAAGGGCCAGGGCAGGAAAAGGGAGTGGAAGCGTGATTTTTCCGGCGTGGGTTTCTGGCCTTGATACACCCTCCACCCCAGGTCATGAAAGGAGCATTCACTAAAGTAGACCTGCAGCAACATGTGTAAGTGTGTGTGGGGAGAGACATAGAGACAACGGAAAAAAAGTAGGTGTGGCTGTCTGGGGTGATCGTCTTGGAGATCCATCCTCCGCAAATTGTTTGCGATGTCTATCATGACGACTGGCCGGCGAGGGAGCACTCGAGACTAGTCGTTATGGCATGGTGGGTAGCAGCAGGTCAGGCTGGCTAAAGAAACATGGCATATAGAGCGGACGACGTCTCAGCAAGGTCTGTCGATCAGGGACTCTCTGCTTCGACTACACCCATTCACATCGGCGGAGGCCCGATCGGCGAGGGGAAAGACAGCGTGGCCGAGTATGCTTGAATTGCTAGCGTGTGGCTCTCTGCACCTAGTGGTGTAAGTGTGTCTCTACCCCAGCTGGGGGCCAGGAGACGGAGGCGGACGAGGAGGAAGTGGTGGTGGAGATGGTGCCGATGGTGGTTCCTGACCAGCTGGACCAGCCATACACAGGCCCGCGGCGGAGCCCGGTGATGTCTTGAAAAAGTTCTTCCATGGCCGGGCGTGCATGTGAGCTCTACATACCACCGTACATAGCATCGTGATGGTGTTGCGATTTGGAGAAGGAGAGGGGACTGCAGTAGCTCCGTATTCGACCGTGGGCTGCTCTGCGATTGGCTGGATGAATAGGGCGGCTGGACAAGGAGAGCTTTGACGCAATCTGGGTTTTCGGCCCGTAGCGAGAGGGTCGCCGCCCCTGTAGCTGTACAAGGCGACAGGGGTCCGTCTGGGGTAGATCCGCCGGCTTTACCCCACACTCCGCGGTACCCTCGACTTCAACACCATCACCCCCTGCTCTTCTCTTGGATGAATCTCGTGCGGGGTTAGCAGTTGATTCTGACCTGACTGATTGACAGGGATGAGGAATTACAGCAGGGGATGCAGGGGATGCAGGAGGGGCAAGCACAGGGAGACCAGCACTGGAGATGGACCACCTGTCCTACGTCTCCCCAGTCTAGTCTCCGTCCAGCCTAGTTGACACTGGACGACTCTGTTACACAGCTAGAGAAGGGTCTCGACTCCCGTATGACAGACAGGAAGGGACCATGCAGGCAGGGTCGGAGGGGTGTGGGTTGGGTATGGGCTTGGATGGACGGACGGACCAGGCGAGATGAGGTGGGAGGCGCCTCTGGCAATGCATCAACGCAAGTTTTTCCACGAGGGGAGTCGCGCACACAGACGCTGCCAGGTGCTTCAGTATGTCTTGTGTCCTGCGAGAATGCGTGCAACCGAGGCGCGTATGCGGAGTGAGGCAGGGAGTTTCCGAAGAGCAACAAAATTCTTCCTTCCAACCCATCTTCTCGAAGCCTGTCACAGACATAACTCCTAATTAGAGACGCAATGCACTGGCGGCTGTCTGAGCATGCTTGCAGCTTGACCCCAGATGACTTCAGACACTCCGTACAGGGCAGATCCTCACTGCGACTGCCGTGTGTGCATTTCCCGCTGTTTCTCCAGCGGCATTGTCATCATCATGCTGTTGCTCACGGCTGTCACTGCTGTCTCTTTCAGGCAAGAGAACGAAAGGATCGGTCAAGCTGCAGGAAACAACCAGAAATGAAGATTCTCCAACGACAGATAGAGTAAGTGTCAACTTCCCAGACTACGGAGATGTGTGTCTCAGGAGCTGCATGGCAAACCGAAACAAGCTACACCCGTCCACCTCGTGGGCAGGTCCGCCGTCCCAAATTGATCTCGCACCGGCCGACTGCCTCTTGCCGGACTCTGTTCCAGTACGCTCCAGTCGAAGGACAAAATTTCAAACCCCGCCGTTGCCCGGATCTGGTCGCATGGCATGCCGGCAGTCAACAATGGAGACAGCCCTATATCACCCGGTATTAAGCAGGTGTTGCGGCGGCCCTCCGCCAGTCGATCGACCAGCCACCATCACATTACAGAATACCTTTTCCCCAACTCACGTAAAATACACAGATGGCTGACTGGCACAACTGCAAGCGTCGTCGTGTTTTTGTCTTGGCGGTTTCGTGATGATGTGCTGTTCTGTCTATCCCATTTAGGACTACTAGCAGCCATCGTCGACTGCAGGTCTCTTCACTTGCCGCACCTCGTGTCGTGGGCAAAACCGTGGTTGGCTGCTGTTCAGCTCTGATATAGCCCTCCAGAACAACGAGTACTGTCTTGTACAGGCTTCCTCCCAGATGTATCTTTTCCATCTGCATTTTCAACCCTCGATTTGACTGATTGGGACGAGACGAGGCCGTCAAGTACATCCGGTTTCAAACATTTTACTACTACTGCAGGTTCTTCTGCACCGCACTCCAGAGGTGAGGCGCACCATTCCTGCAGCTTCTTACGATGGCATCAGGAAGAGCATAACCAAGTCATGCTATCCCACCAGAAGAAGCCTGCTTCCGACATACGGAATGTTATGCCATTGCCATCATACCGCGCATCTTTCAAAGCTCTTGATTTTGGATCTCCTTATCTTGGAGCCATGTTCTCTCATCCGGTAGATGGAGCAATCCATCGTCATGGTATCTCTTATCTTTCGGCAGTCAAAGCCTGATGGGGTGACGATAAGGGTAAGGTAAGAGAAGAGGTAGGGTAGTGATGGACAGAGGCGGCCACAGCTCCCACACAAGAAGCACGTTCTGTCCCAGGCCAACGGATACGACTCGCAATTCGAGAAGGTCTTGTTGGCACTAAGAAAGAGTAAGCGGCACAGCAAGCGGGGTGAGGAGTTGTTGTGTGTAAGAGCTGAAGTTGGTGAACCCGTGGTCGCTGCAGAGGGCACAGACACAACCTCTTAAGCGGACGGCACAGTAAAACCAACAGAGCCTGCTGCGTGGCCCACCCTGAAAGCTCTGTTCTCTCATTGACCCAGCCTCCCAGCCACCCATTCGGTCATTAAAACATTTTCGCCGTACCTCGTGGTGATTGGCCACCGTCCGGCGAAACATGTTTCAGGTGAGTCGACTTCGCGCATCGTTTGGATTTTCTTGGTTCGGGGTTCTGTGCGCTCCGAACAGCACGGCTTGGAATGGCGTCAAGCAGCATGGTCAAGCCTTCATGGGCCAGCACGGCATAATGTGCTAAGACTCTGCAAGCCTCCCGCACGTGCGGCTGGGGAAACCCAGGATCCCACGCTCACCAACTTTGACATTTTGATGGTTCTCTGGATCTAGACTTTGTTCCTTCTTGGGTTTCCTGTTTTTGACAAATTCGAGATCCTCCACTGCCCGGAAGCCATCGTGAAACGACCTACGAGCCGTGTTTTCTGCAGGCTTGAGGCTGGAGATCACAGATCTGCAAGGTTACTCCTTGAGGCTGACGATCCTGCCCAGAGCTGGAACCTCTTAGGCGGCCAATATTAAGCATATCTCGAAACAGCCCGGCTGTGCGCTATGGGCGTTTTCTAGAAGGTTAGCTGACTTTGATATCTATCATCTTGTCAAGCAATCTGGATCTGGTATAACCTTAGCTTCTGTCTCCACTTACACTTCGAGATCCTGAAACCACGAACGGTGGGGCGTCTGCGATAGACATATTCCGAAGGTTCGAATAGAGTTATTCTCCGTAACTTGTGGAGTATCTAGACCCTTTTCCATAGGGAAAGATAAGGGATAACTGATCTAACTCTGTTTCAACTGCAGAGTAAGAAGTATCTTCCGAACACTCAAGCACAGAGCGGGCCGCAGGA